CTCTTCTTGCCTCTTCATTGCCAAGGCAGGTGGGAAGTATTTATCCAGAAAGACCTTCTCAAGCTGAGCCCATGTCGTGATGGAATGTGGTGTTAAGTTCTGAAACTAGTGTGATGCATTCCCTATCAGAGAGAATGAGAACATCCGAAGACGAATTGCATCATCAGACACAGTTGGGCTCTTCATCGTATCACATATGCTCGCAAACCGGCGAAGATGCTCGTGAGGATCCTCAGTGCTAGCCCCAGAGAAAGTATACCCATTGGTGATCATGTTGATGAATGCTGGGGTAATCTCCATGGTTGCATCCCCAGCCGGAAATACAACACATGAAGCTCGGGCTCCAGTTCTTCGATTCAGACGAGCCCTGATCGAACGATCCTGTTCTGCCATGATGACATGCTCGATATTGAGAGGTGGTGATATCGGTGGTGTAGGGAATACAGGTGATTAAGCATGTCCTCTCTGTCGACGACTATGGGTTAGGGAAGGCCTAGGAGTTGTGGTTGGCTGCTTCCCTAACTTGACATGCTTCCTGTTCTGTCGGCAGGTCTTCTCGATCTCCGGATTTAGTGGCAGTAAATCGCCGGTCGTCCTCCTAGGCATGCACGAAGAGGACAAACCTGAAAATTCTTCTGCACACTAACACCCAGATCAAAATAGTTCACTCACAAAAATCAATAAAAATAAGGTATGGCAGTCTCCGGCAACGGCGCCGAAAACTTGATAGGGCAAAAGCGTATATGCCTTAATCCTATCTTGTAGTAAACCGGAAAGTCCGGGTATCGTCTCTCAGGGACTGGTACAACCTTAAGATCTCTCAATTTTATAGAGCAAACTATAGGTGAAAATGGTTTAATGAGACTAATTATCTAAAAGAAAAATTAACTAATTAAGCAAAGTAAATTGGTCGGGAGAAATTCAATGGAGAAAACTCTGGGAGAAACACCGGGATTCACTACCTATCCTATCCAGATTAATTCACATATTCCAATCAATTTAATCCAACTCTCTACAGCCAGGATATCACGAATGTGCTAGCTATCCCTGTCGGGAATTACTACGTACTAAACAATCAATTCAAATCCTACTGTCGTAGCTCAATGAATTAACTATTTAGCCTAAAGAACGATATCCCAATCAAGACCGCATAGTACCTTATTTAATCCACTGTCACTTCGATAAGTTACTATGTCACATAAAATATGTTCAGTTATTAGGATTTCACTGTCGCTAATAAACTAATTAACTACAAATCAATGTATTGGTGGCCAGTCAACACAAAGCATTAAGCAATTCCATGCAATAGAGATTGGAAGAAAAGAAATACGAATCAATCCATCAAATATAGAAATAGCTACATCCTATGGTGTTTCACCCAGAAATCGGGGTTTAGTTCATGACGAAAATAAAACACACAATCATGTTCTGGTTGTTCATCATAAAGCTAATGAAAGGAGTGGGAACGAAAATACTCAGAAAATTTTCACCCGATAGCTTGTCGACTCCTTATCCCCTGGCAGCTCGCGATGAGATTTTTCCGCTGCCTTTCTTTTTCTTCGCCCAAAGGAATTCGTCTTCTCCACAATAATTCCGCCGCTCAGCCAATTCCCAAAGAAGATTTTTGTTCCGTCCCCCGCAATTTCTTTTCTGCAAAGAAATTCTCCACCCGACTTTTTTCTTTCTTTTTACAAGCTCCCCCGTCCAAATAATGGTGTCCAATCCAAAGTCCCTTCTCCCCAGAATTTCCTTCCGTCAAAATTGTGTGTCCAATTATTCCCCCAGCATTTTGGGCCGCCAATTTCCTCCTGTTCCAATTCAATTTGACCTTCCGCTTAATAATTCCTCCTGGCCCAATTGCGTCTCCTCCCCGAGACAAAGCGATTTGGGCCCAATTAATTGCTTGTGCACTCGCTTCTTTTTCGTGCTTTCTCCACCTGTAACATATCAAACTCATGGCACTAGGCAGTAATGGTTTTTCAACCATTCTCGGGTTAGCGAGCCCTAAAATAGCACCAATCGGCTTAAACAGATCATAGGATAGTCACATAGAGTTCAAGAATCCGACATATTAAAGCCAATTATCACTACCGGATGGTGATACGTTACGCGGTAGTTGGTCAAGCGTGGAGCCGTACGGTGATGAGTTCCGCGGTCTCCATTGCCTAGGTTTAGGTGTGCTACCGTATGGTGATACGTTCCGCGGTAGCCACGCCGTAGTTTGACACCGGATGGTGATTCGTTCCGCGGTGGTCAAACCCATTTGAGGGGCACCCCATTGTGAGGGTAGTCATGTTTAAGAAGTAAGAAAGTAAGTAAAGCTAGTAGTGGCGCCAGCTAAGTCGAGGTAGGGGGCCCAATAAGATAAAGGATGAGATAACACAGTTTTAAGAGTTAAAGTTTAAAGGCGGAAGTGCAAACAACCTCCATAAGGTTTAAAAGTAACAAACGTAAGGGCGTAGACTGACCCCAACTCACTCACCAGTTTGAAGAGAAAGAGGAGGAGCAGTTAGAGAGCAGCGGTTCGAGGGGAGCTAGCTGGAGGAGGATGGTACGAGCATCACGGAGGATGTCTAGTCAAGGTTATCATTTAGCAGCAGCGTTTAAGATTAATTAGTTAATATACTTTATGATTATGAGTATAGACTGGAGATCATATTGAGATTTTATGGTTTGAGTGAATTTACCCACGTGTTAGGGCGTTGCTTTTAACTACAAGTGTGTATGTTTTCAGTATTTTATTTATGAAACATTTTCCCACTATAATTTAAGGTTCGAGTATTTTATTTTTCAATGGCATTTTAGTAAAAGTAGTACCCGGCCGGGTTAGGGTGTTTCAAGATCCGCCTTAAACTCCCCATCTTCTGCCTCTAGAAGTTTGAATGCCTTCTCGTAAACCTCTGCTGCCTCCAACATTAAGAAGGTGGAGTTCCACCTAGTAGGAACGTCAAAGCACAACATCTTCTTCCGCTCAATGCCTTGGAATCTCACACACTTCTTGAATTTTTCCAGTCTGCTAGAAGAAGCTCGAACCCATTTCACAGCCTCCCTAATCCGCGTAACAACCACTCTAATTTCTTTCAATCCATTAGTAACAATCAGATTAATAATATGGGCAACGCACCGCATATGCAAATATGTCCCACCCTTAATACTGCTACCCCAACTCGACAACTTGTCTTTCAAACAGGCAATTGCAGTATCATTTGCAGATGCATTATCAACTGTGATGGTAAAAATGTCCTTCAAACCCCACTCTTCCAAAATACCAGCAATTGTCTCAGCCATATCAAGACCTTTGTGGCTGGTAATGCGACGAAAACCGATGATCTTCTTGTATAGCTTCCAATCGTTACCAATAAGATGTGCAGTCAAACAGAGATAACTGAAATTGTGAATGGAAGTCCAACAATCTGTTGTAAGGGAGACACTACCATCACACTTGTTTTTGAAATAATCAGCCAATTGCCTCCTCCCTTCAGCAAACAACCTAAAACAATCTTCTCGAATACTCTTCCTACATGGGATCTTAAAGTGTGGACATGCAGCAAGGCAGAACTTTTTAAACCCTCCTCGTTCAATAAACCGAAATGGCAGCTCATCCATCACTATCATCTGAGCTAATGCAAGCCTAACTGAACCTTGATCAAATTTCCAGTTGCTCAACATTCTCAACCTTTCATCATTTACACTCGGCTGTAAACTTAACTGCATTTGACCACCACCTTGGGCTTCCCTTTTCTTTCTACATGATTTTGTGTGAGCATGAAGAGCAGAGGTACCATTAGCTCTTGAATCAGCAGCAAACTTAGTACTGCAAAATAAACACCTAGCGTTCCTCAATTCCTTCTTCGCATCCTTTTTCCCCTCCTTGAGTTCCTTCTCATATTTGGGATTGGGAACAAAATACAGCTCGTATTCTGCATATGCTGGGACCTTGATTTGTAGTCCCTCTTCTTCTTTTTCTTGGTCTTAGTTTTCTTGTTAGACTTGTCTTCCTGTTCCTGAGCTGATGTCCCCCCATTACCAGCAGCTTGATGAGTACTAATGGGAGGAGGAGGAGGCTATGAAGAAAGACAAGAAGGGTGTGCCTGTGAGCTTGAGGCGCTAACACTTACGACAATGGCAACAGCTACAGGAGTAAAGCTCAGTTACAGCTTGTGTTGGAGGAGTTGGATTCGCAACACTACCACTGGATTCACCATTCAATCTTCTCTTCTTAGGCTTAGACTTGGTCTTTATGGTACTAACTGGAGGAAGAGGACGTGGCATTTTTTCTTTCCCTTTGCTCTTCTCCCTGAAAATGCACGATGCAGACAAGGAAATGCCATCAATGAATGTCGAGCTATGAGCTATCCCATCCCATTCCCAAAACTAAAACAAAGAAAACAGGGGAATCAACTATCAAGGAATGTCGAGCTCAGTTAAGAAACGGGTTACTTACGTGGTGGTCGCGCGTCCTTTGCTTTGCTCTACTTCTCAGCGGTCGATGGAAGGGGACACTGCTCGTGAATGTCGTCGGTGGAGCTGGACTGCCTGCTCGGTGCCCGCCGCTCGCTGGCCGGCCGGTGCTCCGCTGGTGGCTGCTCTTTCCTCTTTGCCAACGAAGGAAGGAATGGAACCCTAGGGTAGGGCTAGGCGGCAGCTGCTGGAAATTGGGAGTTTGGAATTGGAATTGTCGAAATGGGAAGCACTCTCAGAACCCTAGCTAAGCGGCCGACCGATTTCATTAAGACGCTAACTTGGGTTTGGAATTTGGATGCTTCATTTTTGGCATGTTGGGCCTTGGTGCTTGGGGGCTGGGGCTTTGGTCTAGAGAGTGGAGAGGGTTTACATTTGGGGTGTTGTATGGGTTGGGCCTGGGCTGGGTCCAAACTTCTGCGGTTAGTTGTTCGGTGGGGGTTTATGTTCGGTGCGGTGTGCGGTTAGTCCACTAACCGTAAAAAGACCAATTCCACTAACTGTTACAGAATAAAGGCCATTTTAAATGGTTTGCGGTTAACCATAAACTGCTCTTATTCGGTGCGGTTGCAATTTAACAGCAACTGTTTCCCCACCCCTACAAAAAAGCAAGCCAGAACCGAATACAAAGCAAAATCCAATGGGTTTGAGGAAATAAATGTGAAAGAGAAACCGGAATGAATAAAAGAGGCAAAAAAATGCCCAAGCGGCAAATGACGCCCCTTCTTCCCATGTTTTTACCACAATCTCGTCTAGACAAATTGCAAACCATAACAAACAAGATTCGAAATGACCCATCATAAATCTTTATTGCAAATAGGGTAAAACATCACCAAACCAAGAGAAGATACGACAGGGTGGTGTCAAAATCGCACTGATTGGAGAACTAGGAGTTCAATTGGGTGAGATGGGGAGCAGCAGCGAAGGACTTGATCGATGCAATATGTGATTGTATTCCTATCTTAACAACTTTTATGGTTCTATTAAATTTTCTATTAATTACCAAAAAAAGTTCAAGTAGAGCTAGGCGCTCAGGCTACTGCGGCTCAAGTTAGGGTTATGGGTTAATGCAACATTTGGATAACTAAATCTGGACCTTCTTTTTTAAGTGGGTCCAGAAAACTCAAATATAAAGGTGGAGAATTAAAAATATTTTATTTTTTCTAATTTTCTTAATCGATTCTTATCTTCTTCTATCTTATTTTTTAGAAAATTTTTTCATACATCTCTTTACCAACTACATACTGTATGCTATCTCCTTTATTTTTAAGTCATTTTTGAAAATTTTTGCACAAAAAGAACGAGTTTATCATGATCTATTGGATCTACAAATTTATGGGTGAACAAAATAAAAGATCAAAAATACCATACAATACAACTCTTGTATAGGAGGTGGTATATTGTGGTACACAATGTTGAAAGTCGTAAATGACAGTTAGTATATTACTACTATCATGTATTCAACCATCCTACAGTTTTGATATGTTCATATCAGCATAATATGCTTTCATACCATATGGTATGCTCTTATTTTAGGGTAAATACAATTTAATATCCAAACATTTCATTTTAAACAATATAATAGCCAAACATTTTCGAAAACAATCTAATATCCAAATCGTCAACTTTCCGTTCGTTTGACCGTTAGTTGACACTTCAAACTAATTCGAAGTACGACGCTTCATCAATATCCATCGATATCTTCTCTAAAAAACCACCAACATATTGTGGTTCCAAACCCGAGAAGTCCATGACTCCACCATGATGGTATAGAATATCTAAATAGTAAATATTCAGTCATCTGCAATGCCAAAACAAGAAAATAAAGTTGTATTGTCACAATTTCCATGTCACGCCTTCTTATAGTTAATAATATATCCATAACAACTAGAAATGTCGGCGATGATGACTTTCACCTTCAAGTCGGACTATTGCTCAATTAGATACTTGATAGCCACGACAACCACCCTAGATTTCAATTGTCGATGACCTTGGGATGTTATTGATGACAAACATGTGATTGTTCACCGCAGGGGATATGACCCAATGACCGACTCTCTTACTCTTGATGGCCCGGTCCCTAGCCTTGCATCCCTTGTGTTGATTTTGGCATCTAACTATGAGCCTCTTTGGATCAGAATGAGTTGTGCGCCATTCAAATCTTTGAATCATTGCTTCAGTGTCAACAGCGTGACGCACCTCCTTCTTCATATCAAATTGTTGGCCCTTTGTAAACCAAGTGAGTGGACCCCATACTGGCACCTCTGGCGGCTCCATGTCAGCATCAACATACCAATTTTCATTTGGAATGTAATTGTAGTACGTGATAAGTACACGGTCACGAGACACCTCATCATCATCATCATCATCTGAATCTAGGCCTGAATCATTAGTACCTTCAAGAGGGTTGAAGCTGTATGCACTAACATCGTCTTCCTCTTCTTCATCCTCAAGGTCACTAACTAGACCTGGCAGGGCATCTTCCATCTGATCCAAACATGAAAGGCACCTTCATCAGTTTTGTAATGATAGTTGTAATAACTACCGCTGCCTGCATGGAAATTGTACTCGGGTTGGTACCGGTAGCCTTTTTGTTGATTGTCAATGGTGTCGTTGGGCTTCTTCTTCATATGACGAGAATGATTGATGATGACCTCCACCTTCTTATTGGTACTAATGGTAGGAATGAGGATCATGGTAAACTTGGTAGGCATAATCTTCATATAATCCACCTCCACCGTGGACATCAGATGTTTGGCCATCTCCAGAATGACCTCCATAGCCTTCGACCGACTCGGTGTAAACAAACATCTCTACTTTGGATTGGTTATTGGCGATCACAAATTTAAAAATGGCATCTACTTCCGCCTGAGTGGTCAACGACCCGCCTCGTCTATTTGGATATCGATCAAGAACCGTCGTGTTAAAAAACTGTCCTTATCTAGATCAGCCATAGAATCGCCCCTGGAAGGTGCAGTTTGTACTGAAAATACAAACCGCTTGTTTACCACACGGTTCATCAACAAACCACCTTCTCATGCGGCGGATTTCATGAAATGGTGGTATTCTTGGAAATTTCTAAAAAATGTGATATTTTTAGAATATTTTTTTAATGGTGGTATTTATGGGGGGAAAAAATCCGATTGTTTGTAGCCGTTCGTACTTGTGGGGCAGTTTATGCTGATAGCACACCTCATTAATTTAGCCGCGTGTACTGATTTATCCATCCTTGGCTAATAAACTAATCAATGGAATGAATGAATGAATGAGACGACCACTTTGTTTTTCCTTTTCATTTCAACAAGAATCGGCAGGCAAAGTTAAATAACTGTTCATCTCTTCATAAGACCATAAAGTGAACAAGCTAAGATTCAATGGGTATCCAGTTAAAATTGGATGACAAATAGATAAACATTTAGAACAGAAAAACACCAGCCACCTGAACCTTCGGATGTCTCACTAAACTCATCTCACAAAATCCATTCTGCAGGAGTTATGCAAAACCACAAGAATGTCCGACCACTTTATAACCGCCAAACCCTTGGCATAGCCAGCTGCCACAGTCTTTTTTTTTTTTTTTTTTACAAAAGATAATCTTATATAGATTCCAAAAATATAGTTACATCCTGGAAATCAGCCAGGCCCGAAAATCAAAGGAGCGACTCATGGCCGGGTACAACGAGAGGGCTTTACGAGCCACCAAATGGGCTACCCTATTACTACGCCGACCTATAAATCGAACACGAAACCCAGAATAGCTGTTAAGGTATTGCATAACTTCCATTAGAACAGCTCATACTCTACTATCCCTTGCATCTGCTTGATTGATCTTATCAATGAGCACCTTAGCATCCCCTTCAAACGTTACTGCCGAGAGGCCAAGCGAGAGGCACCATAAAATAGCCTCCCGGAGGACAAGCAGTTCCACCACCAACGGGTCATCCACCCATGGTAAATGAACCCCTTTCACCAGCCACACCTCTCTATTTGAAGTCAGGAGAACCACCCCACCGGCCGAGTGTGACCCTGCCCTTACTGCCCCATCCCACTGACAAACCACACCCTCCTCCTCTCTGCCCAGGGCACTCAGCAGAGGCTCATGACGCGACACCACAGGGGAGCTCTTATCCATAGGCAACCGAGCCCACTCCTCATACTGTTGCTGGAACTGACGCATCAAGGCAGGAAACCCGAACTGCTTACCTTCAAAAACAACCCAGTTCCGAGATCGCCATATCCTCCAAAGGATAGCCACCACCGCCATGAACAAAGTAGGCTGGTGAATCAGAGCCAAGCATCGTTTGAGGAAGATAGGGAAGGTATGTCGAGGGAGCCCCTCTCCCAGCGCCTCCAGGCCAGAATATCCCCAAAGGGCCCGAGCCACCGGGCAATCCAAAAACAGATGTTCCATAGTCTCCACACTGTCCCAACAAACCGGACATCGGGGATGGACCTGAACTCGTTTTTCGATTAGGGCCTCCGTGGTAGGCAAAATTCGATGAAGGATCTGCCAAACAAAGACCTTAAGCTTCGGGGGGATGTTCGCCTCCCACAACCGAATCCAGGACTCCTTATCCATCCAACCCACCGTTGCTCGCCAACCCCCCCGCCTTCTATCAATATCAACAGCTAAGTGGTAAGCAGACTTGACAGTGAATACCCCATCCGCCGTCCCATGCCAAATTAGCTTATCTGCCATATTCAGTCTAGGCAGTGGAATAGCTTTGATAGCCTTACAGGTAGGCGGGTCAAACCATTGTGCCACCTTATCCTCATCCCAGCATCCCCCCTCAGGGTTCATAATCTCCGCAACCAGAGGGCTCCCCCCATCTGGCAGGATCCGCGGGTTATAGCACGGAGGGCTCATCTGCAAATGAGGGATCCAGCTCGACGAAAGCAAGGATGCAGACTGTCCGTTGCCAATTTGCCATCGTAAACCCTTAGCCAGCAGCTCCCGACCAAAGAGGATACTCTGCCACCCCCATGAGGGACGGGATCTAGCTGAGGCATCAAGAAACGACCCGTTTGGGAAATACTTGCCTTTATAAACCTGTGCCAACAGAGAGTGAGGCTCTGTGAGGATACGCCACCCAATCTTAGCTAACAAAGCCTGATTAAATTGTTCAAACCGGCGGAACGCCAATCCCCCATCATGTTTACTACGACACAGGTTACGCCATGAAACCCACCGGATACGAAAATGGTCCTCGGCATCCCCCCACCAAAACCGGGCCACATGCCTATCCAAGAGCCGACATAGAGACAGAGGAAGCTTAAAACACGACATTACATGTAATGGCAAAGCCAGAGCAACCGACTTAATCAAGGTCTCTCTTGCTGCCCATGACAATGTTTTCCGTTTCCACCCCTGGAGGCGTTCTAGTAGCTTCTCTTCCAGATATCGGAACGTGGCCATCTTGGAGCGCGCAATAAGAGTCGGCAGCCCAAGATACTTATCATGGACCCCTACCGCTCCAACGCCCAGAATAGCTGCCAAGAACTCCTGGTCCGTACGGACAATGTTCTTACTGAAACACACAGCTGACTTGGCCAAGTTTACCCTCTGGCCACTCAATTCCTCATATTCATTTAGGACCTCAATTAGATTCTCACACTCATTGAGAGTCCCCCGCAGAAATAAATACGAATCATCAGCAAAGAACAAATGCGAGATCCTCGGTGCTCGAGGAGCCACTTTCACCCCTTCCAACCTGTTTTCCGATATGGCCTTACGAAGGAGAGCCGCAAAGCCTTCAGTGCAAAGAACGAACAACAGAGGGGAGAGAGGGTCTCCCTGTCTCAATCCCCTGGTCGGAGTAAAGTATCCCGAGGGAGTCCCATTCATAAGAACCGAAAAGGATGAGGACCGGAGACATTCATGGACCCACCCTTGCCAGGTCGCGTTGAAGCCCATCTTATCCAAAATCGCAAGGAGAAAAGGCCATTCAACTCTATCATAGGCTTTTTCCATGTCAACCTTTAGAGCCATGAACCCTTTCTTACCCCGCGTTTTGATTTTTAGATAGTGCATTAACTCGTGCCCCAGGAGAACATTCTCCACAATTTGACGTTCACGAATGAACGCATTTTGCCCCTCTGAGATAATCATGGGCAATAGGCCCGCCAGACGCTCTGCCATAATCTTAGTGATGATTTTATAAACAAACTGGCATAAGCTGATTGGGCGCAGCTGTCGCATAGACTCAACCTTATCTACCTTTGGGATCAGAGTTAGCCAGGTGTGGTTAAAACTACGCAGCATCCGACTGGTGGAAAAGAAGGAACAAACTGCTGTAACCACCGACTCCCCCACAACATCCCAGAAGGCCTTGAAAAATTTCCCAGTGAAACCATCCGAGCCAGGAGCCTGCTTAGAGCCCATAGCAAACACTGTTTTACGAACCTCAGCGGGGAGAACATCTGCCGTCAGACTTGCATTCATTTCCGCAGTGACAGAGCGAGCAAGGGGCAAGGTTGCCACCCGCTCAGCCATATTCCCCACCTGATTTTCTGATGTAAAGAGGTTCTGATAAAAGGCCGTAGCAACACCCGCCTTCTCATTCTCATCAGTAATCCACTCCCCATTCTCATTACGGAGGCCATCCACAAAATTTCTTTTGCGCCGCGCCCTAGTCACCGTGTGAAAGTAAGACGAATTCTTATCCCCTCTCTTCAACCAGTGCACCCTCGATTTCTGTTGCCAATAAATTTCCTCCGCCTCCCACTGACGGTTCAGTTCAACCTCTAACTCCCGAACCACCTCCCAGTCAATAGGATGGACTAATTTGATCCTATCAATTTCGCCTTGGAGGGTACGAATATTCCGCAAGGAATTGGTAGTACCAGCCCTACTCCAGTCGTACAAGAGGTGCCGAAGTTTCTTTAGGCGCTCCCATAGGCAGAACATAGGAGTGCCTTGGATATCCTCCTGCCAGACATAATTGACCATGGCCCTAACTTCGGGATTATCAGCCCATCGCGCATCAAAGCGGAATAGAGGACGACTATTCCTGGTATAAGGCCTATCCGACAGGAGGAGAGCTCTATGATCAGAACCTTGATCCGTGAAATGTTTGACCGGTGAATCAGGAAATCGGTCAATCCAGAGCTGGGAGCAGAGAGCTCTATCCAGCCTTTCACGAATACAGGCATTACCCATCCTCCTATTCGTCCAGGTAAACAGGTCGCCCTGGTAGCCCAGATCATGGAGCCCCAAGCTTTCAATAAAATCGCGCAAACTGGTTGAACTATTGGGATTCCAAGGGTTCCCCCCATCTTTTTCACTGGCATTAAGTATAGTATTAAAATCGCCAATAACCACGTAGGGGAGCTGGAAAGTGGCACAAATGCCCTGAATATGCGCCAATTGGGTCGTTCGAGTAGCAGGAGAACAACTAATATAAACACAAACCACAATATAAGAGAAGTCCACTTCATTAATTTGAGCACAAATACAAAAGTTGGACGAATAAAAAACTGAGGCAGTAACCTCAGGAGACCAAGCAAGCACTAGCCCGCCCGACGAATCAATAGCATCAACAAAATACAACAAGAATTATCAAAACCCAAACCCCGCATACGCCGGGAAACCACACGCCAGCCCGATCGTGTTTCAGAGAAAAACACAATGTCCGGTTTATTCGAATAGACCAAACCCATAGCCGTTTGGAACGTGAGGGAAGGTCCAATACCTCTCACATTCCAGGCTAAAAGCCTCATTTAACTGGCTGGGGCCATTCCAGGCTGGCTTCCTCCACCTTCTCAGTAACATCTTCCATTTCCACAAACTGTTTTTTTGGCGTTGGTGGGGCACCCATCTCTCCCTCAACAGCCTCCAAGGGTCGTTTATGCAATCCAGACGGAGGGTTGAGCAAATTCGAACCATATTCGTCCAGTATCGCAGCATCCACTCCAGTCAAATTCTTTTCACCCGTGACATCAGCCCCACCTGCCTCGCTGGTCATCGATGGTTCCCCTATCTCGTCCTCAATAGATAAGCCTGCCTCAAAGGCTGCCACCACTTGGCCAACTCGTCCCTTGGTGGAGACTTCGGCCATGGTCAAAGCTGCCCTTGGGGATCTCTTTCTTATTATAAAACAATGATTGTCATCCCCTGACTCCTCTGAGCCACTCGCCACTACCGCACCCTCCCCCGTTTTCACCATTGCTATCCTGGGGTGAGAGCCTTCAGCAGCAGCACTTGGGACAACATCATCCTCATAAACAGCCAAGTTGGCCTTTCCCTGCGGTGAGTCTCTGCCCCCCTGTACTTGCTCAGCAGCTCGAGCCTTCCCCTTGCGCAAAGTACGCTTTCCACCCGACGACACACGCTGGGGGCCACCATCAATTGCCGCCCCTCCTGCTTGGTTTGTACTCGGCTTCTGCACTGGCTGTTGCTTGCCCCGCCTGGTCCCCTTCTTCAACGGCTTCACCGCCACAGTTTCCTTGGGTAACGAGAAGACCACGGGATCGGCCGATGTCATCACCTGTTCGGGCTGTAACAGAGCCTCAGGAGCAGCCATGGGGATCCCGTCTGCCATATCATCATCCGAATCATTGTCCAGGATGAGCCGCCGCCGCCTGGTTTCTTCCCAGATTGCATTGGGTTGTTCCCCACCTGGAGGCGGGACCGAGCACGGACGTGGAGCTGCGACGGATTGCGAGCAGGCCGCCGCATCCGCGCCTGTCTTCTTTTGCCCTCTCTTTCCCTGCTGCTTCAGGCGGCCGGACCCCAGTCTGATTTTGGGAGAGCGGTTGAGGAGAAAACCCCTCGGACTGCCCCGATCACTTGGCATCTTTCCGGATCCCTGTCCCTGGTGAGCAGGCTGATCGCCGAGAGCCCTCGACCCTCCTGCCTCCTCCGCCGGTACAAGCGGCTCCACTTTCACCACATTCTGGACGAAATTTTGGCCCCCTACTCCAGCATCATTTCTCCCACCCACCGATTGGTTGCGATGTTGGCGATTAATCCACACCGATCGCCTAGCCCCCCCAAGAGGACGGGCATCATCCTCTTCCTCATAAATCTTTCTCCCCACCCTCTTAGTAGCCATATGAGGGCCAAATCGCTCTTGACCTTGCGGAGAAGCAAAGTCACAATCCCGACGAGCATGGCCAACCCGGCCGCAATGGAAGCAAAAGCTCGGCAGGAATTCATATTTTAGCCTAACCCAAAAGCCTTCACCATCATCACCGATTGCCATCACTTGTGAGCGGAGAGACTTCGAGAAGTCTATCACAGTATTAACTTTTATAAAGTGTTCCCCAGTCTCCTTACAAGCGAAGATCCCGGATTCCAGAACTTGGCCAACTGCTGCAGCCATCATTTTCTGGCCGAATAATTTGGTGCGGCAGTCATCAGGCACACCCCACAACTGGACTCGGAACGGGGCTTTGGCCATTTCCTCAAAGATTCCTTTGGGGATCGCAGGGGCCCATGGGCGAAGGGTAAGCAGCCGATCCTTTATGATCCAAGGATTCCGAGAGAGGGCCCACTTCTTAGCCTCCTCGTTCGGCAAAACGATCTCGAAGAGTCCATGTTTTGTGCGTGTGACCTTAAGATGTCCCCGGATCTTCCAGGCATCCAGCAGTCCCTCTCGGACTTCCATCGTAGTGATAGGATCGTTGGTGAACAAGCGGCCAAGAAGGGTCCTGGCAGCTCGCACCCGGGTCGATTGGACCTCCTCGAATGAAAATTGGACAACTTGTTCTTCTGCCACCTTAGCCATTGCACACTCCTCCTGGTAAAACGAAGACATTTCCGTGTCAGAAGCAGAGGAAGCACCCCCCTAGCACCTCGTTCACCAAAGCATAACCAACAAAGGGAGGCAAGGGACAAGGATGCACAACAGGTGGCTGAGCAGGTGCAGTATCAAGAAGAGATAAAGGGGAAACTCGGTCAATCAATAAATGTAGTATACCTGAACAACTCCTAGTTGGCGGCGCAAAGTAGCGAGCTCGAGTTGCAGTAGGCTCTCCTGGGCGACGAAGTAGCTGAATAGAGATGGCACTTCGCCCAGCAGGAATGGGTATAAATAGAGGCCCTCTACCTTGCGAGAATCCCATTCGCAGAGGAGAGTTTAGTGGCAAAGATAGAGTTCGAATAGGACTCGTACTCCTACTCTGGATAGGCTCCTCGCTTGCGTTTCGCCGTTTAGCAGGGACGCACTGATACCCATCTATCAGGACCGAGGAAATCAAATTAAAATTATTCCGTTGCAAGATAAAATCACCACCGGGATTTGCCCACGAGGAGATCGGGGGATGCAATCCCGAATCGATCGCCAACGCGGAACAGATCCCCAAATCCTTAGGCGGGGGGGTCACGGGACCAACTGAACAACGGCGGGTCTTCCCCTCAAACCGGCCGGCGTCACCTCTCGGCCGGGGAGTCATACTCCGGTGGATATTTAGCAGGCGAACTTCCGCTGCCTCCAACTCAAAGTCCCGACCCCCGTGACCAAGGTGGAATAAAGGTTCCTCCTTAGGAACACCAATATCATTGATAAGCTCATCAGACATGGATAACAGCAATTTATCGCCTACCAGGTCCAATGGCGAAGGTAGCCAGAACCGCCATTCTGTCCTTCGAGTAATTCTGCGTTTCTTTACAGAAATTGATAGAGATAGGGTACTTTCGAATGAGGGATTTTGATCCTCTCTATTCATATGGCACTTTCGTTTGCAGAGCACCCTGTTCGGGCATCTTCGAAAATCTTGGGGGCCTCGAGAAAGCCCAGCCAAGCAGCACTTTCTATCTCGCGATCTGGCACCACCTCCAGCATCGGAGGCCACCTCATCTCCATTTGCGCTCTGTTGATTCACCACGCTGGTCAGGAAGAGGGAGGCAAGAATCTGCAGCACCGCTTCACCTAGCCAACACGACCAAGCGAAGAGAGTGGAGAGTGCTCCTCTCATGGGGTTTTTTTTTTTTACTATTGGAGTGTTGGTTACTTTTTCAACAAATACAAAAGTTGGACGAATAATACAAAAGATAAAGAGTCCATAATGGCCGAAAACTCACAAGGCGCCTAAGTAACTAACCTTTTCTCATCCTGTCATCCAGTCAGAAGTGGTAAAGAAGAAACTTCAACAGGGCCATTCCAAGATCCAGGGATGAATTTAAGAACGTAGCAATGATTTAGTAGTGTAATGACAACACACTAATAAGCATCTGTATCTCATCACTAATGATTTCATTTGGCCACTAATACTCGATGCTAAATCACTAATGATTTCATGTTAGACTAGCATGGAGCCAATATAACTAGGATAATATTTCATAATACAAAAACTAGGATATATGGCAGGTCAATTCCTTGATCAAGTAGCACATTACTATGTCAAACTAAGATGAAATCTTAACACCCCATAACAAACACTCGAATGCCTAAGAATTGAAAAAGTTAATCCGTGAAGCACTATCAGATCAGATTACGTACTACCCCGAGAACAATCAAAGGCCCTGAGCAAAATCAAGAGTCGTCCAACAGACAGCAGTTAACAAGCCTGAACCAATTCTACATACTCTGGCGCCAATAAAACTGATACCTCAAAGAGTCAAAATCACTTGCACAGAATTCAGAATGCAAACCAATCAGCACCAAGTTAGCGGCCATTTCGGATACCGATTCTAATTAGCAAGTAAAGAACAGTTAAGTCAGCACCTGATATCAAATGTAGTATACATCCCAATTTAGAAATGGGCAAACTACTTGCCATCCTTAGTTCTCAGTTCTCATAGGTAAATAAAGCCCTAAACTGACAGAGATATCAAGGACCAGGTACCAGCATTACAACAACTCTTTCCCACTTTGAATGGTTTGAGACGAAAGAAGTTCAGTGTCAAACGAAATAAGTAACACAGACCCAAAAAACCTTGACGTTTTCCTACAACAAGAATTAGGGCATATACAGGTAAAATCATCACCTCCATCTATTATATGCCCACCAAAAGCATGAAAGACCAGGGTCATCCATGAACACCTTTAACAACGAAAAAGAATTCTCAGCAATACTGAGATTCATTAACTAGTAAACAAAGAACTCTTCAGATGCCAGCCCCTTGAGTTGTACAAGTTCTATGCTCTAAAATATAACAAGCAACGAAAACAGAGTGTAAATCAAGAAACAAGCGTAGGCAATCAACCCACGATGTTCCTCTCCACCTCTGGCCACTGCTACCATGAGATTGGTGCAAGCCCTGGTTGCCCAGATCACGAAAACTCCAGAGAGTACAAACCTGATACCCCCGTTCTGTGGCAAGAAAAGAGAAATTGCTGACAACATCACCACCGGAAGCAAACAATAGCCAACCACGCTCGTACAAGTGTGCAGATCCAAATTCCCGTTCCTCCCGGCGAGCATGTTGAAAACGACGTACAAGAAGATCGAAGACACAACAATCCACCCTAGAATCACCCCGAATTGAATCTTCCCCGCGAGTAACTGAAAGATGCAGAGCAGGATGTACAAGAACATGGGGCCAGATAGATCAGAGTCCTTGTGAACGTCGGAGTTAACCCGGAAAGGATTGAGTATCGATTTCGTCTTCCGCCAGATTTGGTCGGGATGGATACCGAGCTCGTCAAGAAGAGGCTGTTCTTCTTCGAAATTAGCAGCGGAGGGAACGGGGCCTCCACCGATGGTGCCGCTGCCGTAGGAGGCGGTGGGGGCGGAGCCGATCTCGAAAGACATGAAAGGGATTCCGGAGTTGGAAGTCCTAGGAGGGAACGGCGCCGTCGGGACTCGCCGCTGCTGCATATTGGCTCCGCCGGTGACAATCGGATTGCCGCCGGATGGGAAAATGACGGGTGGCACGTTGAATTCCTTGGTCATAGTAGCAGGGAGCAATCACGAACGCTGAGATCGGGGATTGGGATCGGAATTTGTGGTTTAGGGTTTCGGTTCAAGGAGAGGGAATGAAGGATTGAAGAAGAAAAGAAAAGAAGATCACTGGCGAATCCGGAGGGTAAGAAGAAGTAAAAAAGGTTTGGAGTAAGGAGGGAGAGGGGGCATATTGGACATTCCAGTAGTAAAAGCGCGGTGTAAGGGATCGGTCTTCGACGCGCGGGATTCGCCGTGTGACGTTGTCGGGGGACAAAAGTGGTGTTAAATTACTAATCTACTCTCGTCTTCCTTGCCCGTTGAAATCCGCTCTTGGCTTCTAGAGTCTAGTCTCTTCTCACACAAGAAATTAAATAAAAAATAAATAAAACACAGCACAACCAATCATGGGCTCATGGCATATAGGATGGCAATGGGTCGGGTTGGGGCGGGTTTTGTCAAACCCAAACCCAAATCCATGGGTTTATCCGCCAAAAAAATTCGGGGTAAAACCCGTTGGGTTTGAAAAATTCAAACCCAACCCAACCCGCTGGGTAATTGCGGGTTCATGGGTACCCGTGGGTTTTTGTGGTAAAAATTTACAATAACAAGTTTCTTTCAAAATAAAAGTTTAACATCAATTTTCTCATACAAATTAATCATACAAAAAACACCAATCTAGAGCATACAAACAAACCGCAAATGATCAATACAAATTGTTCAAAATTAAAGATAAACATATATAAACAATAAGATTAATTGAAAGCTTCTTCCTCGTCAACTCAGTTTCTTCACTCTCCACTTCATAATATCAACTTCATTCTAAACAATTAGAAAGAACAAATTATATTTGTTTCCACAAACATATAGAATATTAGTTGTTTAACGAAGATATATTATTTAGAATATTAAATATACCGGGAAAGTAATTATATGTGTGTGGGCGGGTACCCATGGGACCGGTTTACCTAAACCCAAACCCAACCCGACCCGGTGAATAGTGTAGCGTGTTTAAACCCGAACCCGACCCAAAATCCGTCAACACGGGTTTTACCCGCGTTGACCGGGTTGGGTCGGATGGGTACCCGTGGGTTCGGGTTTTGTTGCCATCCCTAATGGCATATCAAACTTAAAACTCAAACTTCAAGTGAAAGAATATTACTGTTAGAACGACAAATGAGTCAGAGCTAGTGAATTAGCTCGTTTGAAATTCGTGAACTACTTCGATAGTGTGGCTCGCGAGTTAGCTCGATCGAAACTCTTGATATAGCTTGATAGTATGGCTCCAAACTTAAGTAACTTTTAATCTCATAAATCAAACTTGATGGTGCGGCTGAAAAGCTAACTTGATTAAATGTTCATTACATGGTGTTCTTCGACTGTCCTACTATTAGTGATATAGCCTATATGTTAGCTTTACTGCATATCTTTCAACTTATTGTTAATCATATATGAGTTACTTTTTTATAATGGTGAATGAATGACATTAAAACAAGAAAGAAAAAAACAAGGTCCAACCACGAGTACAAGGCTAAAAGATTGCAATATATGATCTCAAGCCCACAGAACAAAAAACAAACAAGAAGAAAGAAACCATAAACAAAAAAAAAAAAACAAAAAACAAAAAAAGGCACAACCTGCAAAACAGAGCAGGGACAGAGAAGATCAACAACAACAAGACAGGTGGAAGCCGGACTAAACCAACCATGCACCGAACAAAAAAGCCATGAGGAATGGCAAACTCCGTACTAAACAAGAAACAGCAGCACACCAGCTGAATGAAGCAGCAGGTTTGGATCGACAGACACAGCAACTGAACAAAGCATGTCGGGGCAGTCACCTCCCTAGCAAGCACAAAGCAAAATTTAAACAAGCACCCAAACTCCGAGCAAAAACCAAGAAACAGAAATATGAGCACGCCAGAGTAGCCTTCAGGACCTGAAATAAAACTCACACCTGCTGAAAAAACATCCTCATCCACGCAGTAGGCAAAATCCTCTCAACCTTTCTGTTAGGCACCATCCATCCTACAACCGACTTGATGATCTTCCTCACAGTTCTTTCCGGAGTAAGGTAGAAATCATTAAAGATCCTTCGCTTTTGTTCCAACCAAATACTCCAACATTTCGCATGCAAAACGCAGTGGTTAACCAACCATCACAATTGTAGGGCAAAGGTCGAGGCCAATCTTGAACCACCAAGGAGATGTCGGTATTCGCGGAAAAGTACGACACTCTACTACTTCTGCATCTAGACCAAATCAAGTCCCAAACTTTGAAAGTGAAGCTACAATTGACGAAGAGGTGATTGGCGCTTTCTTCCTCCTTCTGGCACATAGCACACTTGTTCGCCAACTGCCATCCGTGCCTCTGAAGCTTGTCCATGGTGAGTACTTTCTTGAGTGTGAGAATCCACATTAAGAAATTGATTTTTGGAGGGACAATGTTCCTCCACACAGATGCGTGAGGGAAGTTCTGCACACCTAGGAACTTGTCTTTGATCAAGGACCTGTACAGGGAAGCAACAGAGAAACCGCCCTCGGGGTCTGGGGACCACACGACTCTACAAGGGCTATAAGAACCAACAAGAAAGTTGAAAGAATTAAGGAGATCAAGAAGATTCAGTCTCTCTCTCTCTCAGTCCCCCCCCCCCCCTCAAGTTATGATTAATGTCAACCACCCAAGAGAACACATCACCTGTAACATTGGCGATGTCGCTGATCCTAGCTTCCGGTCTTGAGGCGACAACAGCGACTCGAGGATAGGTGCTAGCGAGATCGATGTCGGGAATCCAACAGTCGAACCAGAATGAGACGTGAGCTCCTCCGCCGGGGTCAACATGTGCATACTTACAGAAAATCTCGTGTTCACGCGTTATATTTGCCCAGACCGAACTAGATCGGCCCGCTCTTATTACTCCAGTATGCCAAATAGAAGCGTCATTCAGTTACTTACAGTCAATCAAAGAGCGCCACCAACTATTACCATTTACAACATATTTCCACAACCACTTAGCAATGAGAGTAGAACTGAAACAAGTCAAGTCGAAAATGCCCAGGCCGCCATCTTCCTTTTGAACTTTGCATAAATTCCAATTCACTAGAGGGATTTTCATTTTGTCACCATTACCATTCCAAATGAAATTCCTCTGCACTCTTTCCATGATATCCACCACATTCTTCGGAGCTTTAAAAAGAGAGAAATAATAAACTATTAAACTGGAGAGCACATCTTTGTTCAAGGTGAGCTGACCTCCTGCCAACAAATAGCAACATTTCCATCCTTCCAATCTCTTCATGTATATATCGATGATGGGAGCCCAAAGAGTATTCGAATCCAGCTTAGCACCAAGTGGATAACCTAAATATTTGGGAGGATCCTTACACCATCTGCATCCAAAAATGTCAGCATAAAACTTCGATTCCGGGACGTCACCCACAGTGTACATAACCGTTTTCTCGAGATTGATCTTGAGACTGGTGATGGCTTGGAAACAAACAAGAGTTGCCAAGAGATGAAGAACCTGATCGTGAGACACATCACATAAAATCAGGGTGTCGTTTGCAAATGGAAGATGAGTAACCTCCCCATTTTGTCCTCTTTCATCCATATAGAAGCCTTCAAACTTCCCCTCGTTCCTAAGCTTGGAAAGCAAGAAAGAAAGAACATCCATGACCATGACGAACAGTCCCGGAGATAAGGGATCTCCTTGACGGAGACCTTTTGAAGACTGGAAAAAACCTTCCGATTCACCATTAATCATGATGGACAGGTTCGGAGAGCATACCGCACCATGGATCCATTTACTCCATCTGTTGTGAAAACCCAGCTCTTAAAGGATTTTGAAGAGGCACTTCCAATTGACGCTATCGAAAGCCTTTTCAATGTCTACTTTGAACATAAGACCTGGTCTCCCGCTCCTTCTTCTACTATCAACCAATTCATTGGAAATGAGTCCCGCCTCCGAAATCTGTTTGTCTTGAACAACAACTTGCTGATGGTCAGAAACCAAAGAGGGGAGGACAATGGCAAGTCTTCTATAGAGAACTTTGCACATTAACTTATTTATGTTGTTCATGATCCCAATCGGCCTAAGATCTTTGATTTCCTCTGACACATCCTTCTTAGGCAGAAGACAAATAAAATAATGTGACACGCATTTGGGCAGTAAACCGGTCTCGTGAAATTCCCGGAAAGCAGCCATAACATGGTTCCTAATAACCGCCCAACATCTTTTGAAAAACTTGAACGTGAAACCATCAGGTCCCAGAGCTTTGCTTGCATCGCAATCCGATAAACCATCCAAGATCTCCTTCTCAGTGAAGGGCTTCTCAGATCGGCGGCAGCAGACTCACTCAACCGTCTCTCCACATAAAGCCTAGGAAAAGGATGGCTTTGAATGTCTTCCAAGAAGATATTCATATAAAACTAAGGATACCTTGGGAAATAGCTTCATTTTCTTCAGCAAATTGACCATTAATCTTAATCCAACTAATGAAATTCGATTTTCTCTTATAGTTAGCCACCTTTTGAAAGAAACTGGAGTTCTTGTCGCCCTCTTTAAGCCACACTTCTCGGGATTTTTGTCTCCAACAAATTTCTTGCATAAATAGGGCTTTAGAAAGTTCTAATTTGTTAACGAGCTTGGCGGCAATTTCATCTTCTGAAAAGAGTGCAGGATTCTTCAATCGAATCTAGATCCTGAATAACCTTAAGAAGACTTTCCACTTTAGAATGAATGTCGTCGAAAACCTCTCTATTCTAGACCTTAATTTTTTGTTTCAAATTCACCAGTCTCTTGGCCAAAATATAAACTGCCCCGCTTCCTTGCACCTGAGAACCAAACCAATCACTTAGCTCACTGTAAAAGCACGTCTTCTCGAATTTCCAAGGACGCTTCCATTTTCTACAATCACCCCATTGAATAAGCAGTGGTCTATGATCGGATTCCACCCTTTCGAGAGCCAGCAATTTACATTAGGGAAAAAGAGCGTCAAAACCGGGAGAAATGAGCACCCGATCAATACGAGATAAGGGAGGTCCATTCAAACCACGGCTCCACGTAAACCAACTTCCACCAAGGGGAAGTTCCTGAAGATCATTCATCTCGATGAAATCATTAAAATCAGCCATTAATTCATTGCTACGTCTTCCCCCTTGATAATCATCGTGACATCTTACCAAGTTATAATCGCCTTCAATGCACAACGGAGAGCTATACTGCTGACAGAAAACATGTAACTCATGGAGGAAAATCAATTTCTTAGCCCTTCCGTGCTTGACAATTTTTGAAAAATAGCTTTGTCCCAGATAACCACAATACCTCCCGAACTTCCATCCAGGTTCTTAGCCACCCACCCCATATCCCTTCTTTCGCTAATACTGGACACCAAGTTATCAGTACAGTTGGACCATTTCGTTTCCACAATACCCAAAATCTGAGGTTTTCTCCTCCCGATGAGTTGTTTAATACGACCTCTCTTATCAGAATCACAGAGAACACTAACATTCCAAATAAACACAGAGGAATACATTAAAACAAGAGTAGTTAGAGACACCCCACCACCAATTGCCTATCTGTGCCTCCTTGGACTAGACGGAGGGGACGAAAGCAGACCCCTTTCCATGTTCAATTTCGATCTCGAAGCTTTACCTTTCCTCTGATGCAAGTTCATTGTAGCATTATAAATAGTGGCTTCCACTCTTTCCGGCCCCTCCTCATGCTCCACATCAAATAATCGACTTACGATATGACTAGTTTCCACTAAAGTCTCCGAATCGAATGGGAAAAGGTCCAAATCCCAACTTCAATGTTCATCACCCCGTAGGCAAGAAGGTGACGGTAGCTCGGGCAAAATATCGGGAGACGAGAGCATGTTTGCACCCTCGACTCTGAAAGTACCAGGGGATGATAGAGGGGAAGAAGAAAGGGAGGGGTAGGCAAGAGAAAGGTCAGAGGAGAAAGAAGGGGAAGAAATCTCAGAATCGGATATGAATTCAAAATCGCGAAATGAGGGAGGAGGGTTCGAGTCGTCTGTGTAATTAGACGAAGAAAGCAGAAGAGGGTAATCGGGTTCTGAGCCTTGAGGGAAATGAAAGACGCACGAGAATTGTGGCCAAAGCTTAGAGGGAGTGTTGATGCTGGTAGAAACTGAATTGGCTCGAACGATAGAAACCCACCCACAGATAGGAAGCTCGGGCCCAAGAGAGAGGTAAAGAAGCCATTTAATCAGGGACACTGGATCACAGAGATTCTCGTATTTCTTTGATAAACTGAGAGAAAAATCCCCATTCGAAACAGCCCATCCATCCGAGCTCATCGAAGCTGCCTAAGAGTCAACGCTGCCAAAGTTGGGCTTCATCCATATCGGCCTAGCCTTTCTCACCCAGACTTTTTTGAAACGAGTGGCTGGCTGGTACGATTTAATACCTTGTCCGCTAGAAGTAGGGGTGGGCAATTGGGGGGGGAGGGGGTTGGGTGGGTTTTCATTTCAAATTGACCCACCCACTTACTAGCGAGTTGGAATAATTGTGACCCGCAATCCACCCACTTTTTTTTGCGTGTCGGGTTGGGCGGATGGCGGATGAGTGTGGTTGGGTCGTGGGTTAACCCGCAAAAGCATTTCTCCAACTAGTCATTAAGAAAGTTTGACTAAAATTTATAATAATTTAATAGTAGTGGCCGCCACAGGTGGGTGCAAGATAGCGATTGAATGTCTGCCGGCCGTGGGGCCATGTAATAACGCATTGTCCTTGGGGCTTCCTCCTCTGCCGCCTCATCATTGTGGTTGTGAGCTTGGGCGGCTCCTCCTTCTCTTTGGTTCTCTACCATCTCAACTCCAATATCAACTTCTCCTTCAACTCCTTCAACTTCTACTCCACTAACTCCGGGACACAATTGTTGTCCCCTTTCTTCACTTCTCCTCATTGATTCCGCTAACTCCCTCTCCCAAGCTAGGAGTCGAAGAGTCTTGTTGATGTTCTCGTCAAGCGGTACTAAAGGCGTCGGATTGCTCCGGGTCATGCACCTCCCTGCACACACTTAGAGAACAACACCACGTCTAGCACAAGCAACACACTCACACAATCAAAGCTGAAAAATAAAAGCTAGATTAACACCGAACAAATTATAAAGATAACGGACCGACGATCCCCGACAATGGCGCCAAAAACTTGACTCGTCCCGAATATCACAACAAAACCCCACCTAAGGCCCAAGTATAAACCTTAGATGGGTCCAATATAGGGCAAGCATGTTTAAATATCAACTCGGGCCGCTCCATGTACCCTTACTTCCATTGTTTGAAACATTATCTAGCGGATTGGTTTTTGGTTGAAAACTATGAGGTTTAAATCAAAACAAAGCAAAGTTAAATGGTTTCAAAACTCTAGATGAGAAGGATCACTCGGGTGTCGCTTCCCCCTAACTACTACCATAGCACGTGAACTCGAATGGGACGTTATGGGCAAGACAATCATGAACCTCTAGGAGGTGCAACTATGGTCGAAGACCACACTCTCAATTGCCAAACCAAGGGACACATTATAGGCTACTAGAGTAGCCCTCTTGGTTAAGGCAATTGAGGGTTGACTTACCTTCTCCTTCAAACTGATGGTTGGACGGCTTAATCACGATTAACCTAGTCAATTAATTCAAGATAGAGGTTTTCCCTATAACCTAGTAGGTGGCTTGAAAAGCCCAAGGAATCCCAACTCAATTAAGCCTCTTTTGGAAAGGGGGGTTTCCCCTCTAACATAGGTTAGAATGTCCAATTAGATTGCTAAGCACAAACATGCACAATCATCATGAAAAATACCTCAATCATTAAATTAAACAACACCCATAAACAATCATTCAATTCACACAACAACTACGTGGCAAATAGTCAGGGTTTCACAACACCCAAGTGAAAAAGAGTACTACTCCATGCTAGAAAGGGGAAGAACACAAAAGAAAGAAGTAGAAACCATCATGGAGTTGCCTCCACTCTCCTTTGATCCTGTGTTGATCTTTTCTTGAGGAGATTCTTCCCAATTCACCACTTGGAGCAAACCCTAGCCTCTTTTCTTCTTTGGTTGGTCCTTTCTCTCTCTAAAATCTAAAGAAGAAGGTGCTTTCTCACTCTTGGGCTCTCCCTCTCTCTTTCTTTCAGCTCACGTATTATACTGTGATCGGGCTCATTTTACGGGCTCAGTTCACGGCCGTGAACTCTTCAACGCATCCGTGAACTCGGAGCGCTATGTCGAAACACACCGCTTCACTCACATGAGTTCACGGTTTGCACTCAAACTTCACGGTCTTGTTGACCGTGAACTCGCCTTGCGTCAGTAAATTCAGAATTCGCCTTGGACGCTTCGCGGTTCACGGTTATGGCTTCAGTTCATGGCCATAGGAGACCGTGAACTCCAATGGGAAACCGTGAACCTGGCCTGAATCACCCTCTTTGCCCGGTCTTTGCTCCTTTTCTTCCAACTTTCCACTCCGGGGCTGCTTTTCACCTGTTATACACTTAAACACACAAAACCTAAAAACCACCCTTTTAGGAGTTCAAATGCCACAAACGGCCAAGGGAAACATGGATAAAATGTGTGTAATTTGGCCCGAATCACTAATAAAAGTTTGTATTTACAACAAACAGTCACAAATTAAGCAGAGTAACCATTTCATACAAGTTCAAACTTTTGTTACCATGTCGTTGCATATTAAACTTTTGGCGACAATTTTGTATACCGTTCAAAGGTTTGAACAATGAATCACTATTACAATTCACCCTAATTGAGGTATGATGGCTTTGTTAGTTTAGGTGAATGATATGATCATAACAAAAGATGATAGTACTCATTAAAAAAAAAACAAAGGATGACAGTGATGGATTTCCACGCCTCACAAATGGGTTACATGCTACTTTTAAGTTCAGAAAACTCGGCCTACTTTCTTCTGTTCTTGGTATTGGAATTGAAAGGTAAACATATGACATTCTTATTCGGCAAAACAAGTATATCTATGAAAACACGATCCGACATCTCACATCGTTCAAGTGGTTAGTGACTTAGTGTCATATACTTGACGAACACACGATCCAATCTCAAAGTGGTCACAAACTTTTAATTTGTAACGACTCGAGAACAAACCTTCGCACTTAATACAAAATGGTAAGAAATTAAACAGAAGTGATCATTCATACAATTTTAAACTTTTGTTATCGTATTGTTACAAATTAAAAATATGTGACCATTTTGTACTGAGGGAAAGTTTTGTAACCGTTATACTAATTAGTCCTTCACCCAGACGGTGGATTTTCGTTTTTCATACATTTAGCTCCCCCAGCATTCGTGCGATTCAAGTTCGGATTATAGCTCTCTCCCAGATTTGTCACCCCTCTTGGACGGACCCGACTTCGCCGTTTTCTGTCATCTGCAGTACGTCTCTGCAATTGAATCACATTTTCCATCCCATCTCCAATTTGCCCCTACGATTGGCTTTGCTGTTTTCTCCCTGCCTGGTCGGAATGCCCTTCGAATCTGTAGATCTGAGCTAAAATCCGGTTATAATATGAGAATGTTTTGGCTGCTTCTGTTCGCACAGCTGAATATATTCCGGTGCGCAACTTTAGGCTTCTGGATCTGAGTCGTATTCTACCATGGAGGATGAGAAGAAGAAGAAGCGAAACAAGAAGAAGAAGAACAAACAGAACAAGGCATCTGAAGATGACGCTCCCGCCGTCGCCGCCGATCATGTCACCAATGGGGTAAACGATCATAAGCCTACTATTCAAATCGCTGCAGTACCAAACGTCGACGCAAATTCGGCTTCCGACGTCCACCGGGATAATGGATTGGACGAGGTATGGAAAGACAAAATTGCATGCTGGGATTTCCCCCAGAATCAGATCTATTCTTTCTCAGTCTCCAAATTTTCTTTTTCCCTTCAGGGAATTATTTGTTTTCTCTAGTTTATTTGATGTGGTTCTAATGTGTGATCATGTCGCTCCGTTTGCCTCGCTGCTCGACGAATGATCAGTTTCTAGTATAGTAGTTGGAGATCCTAAGTTTCAACTGTCCATAGGAATGAATCTTGATGGGTTGGTTAGTGTTCATCTTTCTGCTAATAGCAACTGAATGCTAGAGCAATTTTCATAAGCTCTTTACATTCTTCAGGCGCCAACTGTCCATAGGAATGAAGCTTGATGGGTTGGTTAGTGTTCATCCTTCCGCTAATAGCAACTGAATGCTAGAGCTGTTGTCATCAGCTGTTTACATTCTTAGAGGTGCCATGCCTGCTGTTGCTCTCTTAACACAAGTTATGCATTTGTTCGTCACTGTCGATGGGAAAGGAGATTACTTTTTTTTTTTTAAATCAAAATTCACGGTATCAACCACTACTCCTCCAGGATATTATGAGTTTCATCATATTTCACAACTCATCATTTGTCTAGAGCTCCGCTTTGTCAAAATACTCCAGTCCAGCCAACCTTGGATAAGCCAGAGTTGCTGCAATGGAGGTGATCCCATGTGGTTTTCATGTTTATATTAACTTTGTGTTCACTCAAACGTACCCTCTTACCTGTCACCTTGTATTACATTACTTGTAATAAAATCTTAATTGTGCTAATATGATGTTGTTTGGTTGAATCCTGTAAATTTCTCATCGATAAATTCTACTGGGTGTTAAAAGACCTCTTTGTTCACCAGACTGCCCTGAAAGAGGAAATCAGTCGACTGCATGGGGAAAATGAATCACACTTACGAAAAGAGGTATGATTCATCTATATATTCCTGCACCGTCAGTCATGCACTACATTGAAGGAGGTTTGGAGTAAACTTCTACTTTGCAGTCTGGCCTAGAAGAGAAGATTAAGGAGCTGCAGGATCAAAATAATGCACATGTACAAAAACAGGTATTTTCAACTAATTGCAAGGTTTGGATGAAATGAAAATGTGCTAGAATGTGCGGAAACTTTCTCTTCCTCCTCTGTCCATCTCTTTCTTCATGATTGTGTCTTGGGTCTTCTAACCAAATCTACCATATGTTTTGACAGGCTTCCTTAGAAGGTGCAATCAAAGCATTGATAAGTGCAAATGACATTTCCGTGATTAAACAGGTACTGGAAATGTAATCTAACTGTATGTTTTTCCCTTGTCATGTTCTGGGCGACACTTGACTTTCAAATTGCAGTTAAAAGTAGAAGTGTCTGCTTCCTTCTGGATCCCGATTATGTTTGCAATCATACTTGAAGAAACTTTATTTTCTTTACAGGCAGATTTTGAAGAAAAAAACAAGCAACTGAGTATTGAAAAGGATTCATACATGCAGAAAGAGGTACATTTTGCCATTAAGTCCATAAATAGTCCATTGCAATGTCCATGTTACTTATGTCCTGTATTTACTTTCTACTTACAGATTGTGTTCTTCTACTTATTTTAACATCATCTCGTAATTGGATAATTTGCAGACTGATCTAGAGATGAAAATTGCACAGTTGCAACATGAAAAAGATTCGTGGCTTGAAAAGGAGGTATGCCATCATTTGTGGCTTAACGAGGCATTTGTCTTCATTCGCTCTAGTTCTGGCATCATGATTGCATATTGATATGCGTAGCAACTATTGTTATGAAAGGGATAGTTCATAATTGTCAGAGAGGCATGCCTTTGGAAACAAAATGGGATGACCTGAAAGTGAGGGACATGCCTTGTTTCCCTGATAGGGAAATCCTTTGAGTTTTGGCTAGTTAGGGTAATGAGACCTAGAGATGATGGCTCTCTCCTTTTAGGCTCCTATTTTAATTTGTGGTCATTTTCCTTAATTCCTTGTGTCTTCTCATCTCTGTCTGTTTCCTTCTTATAATTCAGTTATCTCATCACCAGATAAAAGATGGAAATCTTGTTGAACTCTCCCTCCAAAGTCTTAACCAAACTCTGATCCTTTATTTAATCTCTACAACAGTCCCTTGCTAGAGAGTTGTGGATGTGGTGCCCTGATAAAGGCTTTCACAGTGCAGTTTATTATGCAAAGAGAAGATTTGTAGGATTTGAAACAAAAAGATTGTGCCTCTGACATCACTAGGATAGCGAACTTTATATGTCAATGACAGGCATCTCAACTTTTGCATGGTCAAGTTACTGGAGTCAATGGAAAGAAAAGATCGGAACAAAACTGAACCTGGTGCTTTCAGAGTTCACCATGATTTATCATTTGCAACGTTTGGTATTTGCTGTTGTTGGCATCATATGCTGCCCATTTTTTATCCTTTATCTTTTCAGTGTCCTTGTTCTCTTGTCCGTTTTTTATATTTTGCATGCTTTCTCCTTGTTTATGTTCATATTGTAACAATACGCTTCCAGAGAAACATTCATGTGTTAAGTGTAAACTTGCTAATATCTTTTCTTTTCCTTTAAACAGTATTCTTCAAAGGAAACAATTGTGAAACAAAATGTTGATATTACAAGACTGAAAATGCAGGTACGAAGCCGTATCTACTCTTCTAATTTCAATAGATGAAATTGCTTTCGTGCTGTTTGACAATTAAAGCTGATTCTAGCTGACTTCACGGTCAAAATAATGATGATAATTTCTAGCTGACTTTATTTGTCTTGGATACTCTTTGCCTGGGCTCATTTCATTCGGTATATCCTTCTTGCATCACAACTTTGTTATTCTGAAATGAAAATTAAAAACGAAGCTTGGCAGGTGGTGGAATTGGAAGAAAATAAGAGTAATCTGTTAAAAGAGAACCAAGTGCTGGTGGAAAGAATATCTGATCTGCAGTCGAGGATTCTGACTCTCGATAAGAGCTTCTCCTCAGAAAACTCATCAGATCAACTTACAAAGGTTGCTTACCCTTTATATTCAGCTGTTTTGGCAGCCATGTTGACAGTCATGAGATTTTTGGCTGGATGAAATTTCATTTCTGTTGTGATATCTTCTGTATCTTATTTTAATGCAGAATCCTCACGAGGATGACAAGGTGAACTCACAGATTGAAGCTGCTCTTGCACTTGTCGACAAGTTGATCACAGAAAACGCAGAGCTTGTTGAGAAGGTAATTTATCGAAATGGTTGTTCCCACGATGACTCAGCTTCATGTTTCCATTAGTGAATGAGGCGGTTATAAATCCCTTTGAATTATTCCAAACCCTCGCAGGTGAATGAGTTGTACGCTAAGCTGGACCAAAAAGGTGCTCAACTCGATCAATCTTCAGGCATTGAAAGTGATGGCATTGTTGAGAATACCGAAATTCTTGGCACCTTGGCCTCCCCGGCCGAGTCAGTAAAGAATATCCCTGCTTTGAATGGTGTGTTGGATTCCATTGAAATGGGGATGCCAGTTGTTCCGATCACTGTCCCTTCAGAAGCTGACTCGGGGGAGATCGTACAGATCCCACTGGACGAAACCGAAGACGAGAACAATTCGGAGGCCCCACAAGATGTAGTGGGCGATGACAGTGGTGATGACAACACCCCATTTTCAGATGCACCACTAATCGGTGCTCCATTCCGATTAATCTCATTTGTTGCTAGCTATGTTAGTGGTGCTGATTTAGTTAACAGAAGTTAAATGTGCTCTGCTATGAAGCTGTAGTGTCCTGTGTTTTCGTACTTGTCACCCTCCATAGACATACATACGCATACACACAGTAGAGAGAGAAGCTAAAACTTTGCATATGGTTTGGTTGCTGTGCATTGTACATGTACAGACAGTATCGTTACTAGGAATTGGAGCTCGCGGCGAAACCTCAGGCAAGGCTAGGATGCTATAAATTTGATCATGTCGGACTCGAGTTACTGCACTCATCCCATCAAACTAAAATAGAACGGCAAAACTGCTTCTCGGTCTGGTGGTCTGCTTCAAAAGAGCCAAAGAACTAGGCGACCATGCAACAAAGAATTTTTACGAAATGTAGCAAACGAATAAAATTAGGGTGGATAACAGGGATAGATTAATTGAACTGAAAAATTAATCTAAGTCGTCAATTTGGATATAGGCCTGCGTATCCTTTTTTCCAGTGCCTTGAGAAGTAGTTGTTGGTGGAGGATCTTGATGAGCATACGATTACTAGATGGTGGCTTGTCTTGTCCGTTGACCGGATGCATCTTTTCGATTGCATAAGTTTTCACTTTATATCAAAGCAAGATAGGTTTTCACTTTATATCATAAAGGAATCCAAAATATTTGATTTACAGGGGAAAACATAAATCAGCGAGTTCTCCTACATATTAACCAGGTTAATATGTCAACAAAAGTCCCCCACTAAAATCAGAATACAAAACCACTGTGCAATGTGCAGGAATTAACTTCTTTAATACATAATCCAATCAAACTTTGATTTACTCCTAACTGTCAGCAAATTACTATATAATTATTTTGGACTTCTTTGAGATCGCTCTACAATCATCCCCACAATCTTCTCCACCAATAAACACACTTTCATCGCCATTAACGAAATTTCTATCTCCAATATTCTCTACCTTCTTCTCTTGTATTTCATTGAAAGAAAATATTTAGTGGTAAAATATTTGCAAATATGAACATCATTTTCACTCAAGTAGAATTTGTCTTGTCCAATCCATGAATATTGACGGAGATTTGCTCCTATTCTCAACGTTTTAATATCTCAATCATCGGATCCATTACTTCCAGCATTGGCAGACTCTTCCTTCTTCTTTTACATTTTATTAAAAGCAACGAAAAATATTAGCTAATGTTTATAAATATGAAATATTACATCGTTCAACCCTTGAAAATTTTCAAAAGATTTGCTTTTCTCGTATTACTATGTCTTCGAAATTGCATATTCACTTATGGGGTTCAGGATTTTGTATTATGTGAGATTGATCTTGAACTTCAACTCCATTCCCTCAACTTTTTGGAGATGGAGAGGTGGATGTATCCTCTCATTGTATCACTATCTTGAAATAGTTTCTTGATAGCCATTCCTTAAATTCTAGCTCTCTCACAATGCAAAATGACAAACTTAGATTCAATGGTTATGTACACAACTCAAAGTTGGATCCTGATTTTTTTCTTACAAATTTATTTATGGAACAAATTGAATTTGTACATTTAACTTTATAGTACAAATTCAATTTGTATATGAGATCACCGATACTTAAAGAACATTTTAAAACTCTCTCTCACACACATAGCAGAATTTATCTATGATTGGAGCAGAGTATTAGTGGAATACAACCAGTGACGGAGCCACATAGACCTTAGTGAGCTCTCGTGCGCCACCTCAACAATTAACCAAACCGAATGAATTATTTTGAAGTTGAGCATAATTGAAGAGTAGAAACGTGTTCTTATTTGATGTATAATTCTCTTAAAAGTACTCAATGGAGTTTCTTTTATTTTTTCATTAATGTGTCAATATCTAGCGTAGCGCCACCTATTCTAACTTCTAGAACTTTGCATTCGATGAAATACATATTACCCTGTGTATTTCATAAATTAGAGATGGTTAAATGTACGGTTACTGCGGTCCACGGATATGGACTGACCTAGCCAGAACTAACACAAAATATGGTGAATGGATGGTCAATATGTTGGATGGAGGATGCAGCCCAAAGTCACCCGAGAGTAAGCATATGGGTTCAAGCTATTATGTAGATTGTCCACAAAACATGGTCTCTTTGCCGATATCTTAGAGCGTCACTTCCCTGCCAATATTGAAAGTAAATGTCTCCTTGTATCTCCATCGTCTCCGGCCTAAGTTCAAGTCCTTAAACCTTTTTTTCTTAAAAAATATCTTAAAGTATTGTGATTGGCTGATTCAACTTTAAGTAGTTAGTGAGGAGTTATTAGTTAAATAGTTGTTGGGATTATTAAGGGAATTACAATTAAATTGAAAAACGTAACCCTACTGATGTATATGCCCACGTATCGTCTTTATCTTTTTCCTTCCGCAAGCATCTGAACTGTTTCTCTGTCAAATCAAAACACCTTCTTCAGCCGTCTCTCCTGCTGAGTTCTCCGGTCGGCGATTCTGCTCCCGCAAGCGTTCTCCGCCGACGACAACCAGCTCCCTTTGTCGTCGTCGTTCCAGTCCACCAACGCCGAAACCTAGCTTTTGTTGCCGTCGCTGGTCCATTTTCCATCCTGCTGAGCACTCCGGCCGGCGATTCTACTCCCGCAAGCGTTCTCCGCCATCGGCTGCCAGCTCCCATCGTCATCGTCGGCCCAGTCCACCAACGACCTACTTCTCTCGTTAGCATCGACATCGCTTCCGTCTCCGACAGCACTCCCCAGCTTCCGACCCTCAACGGTTGTCGTCGTCTTCCTACCGAGCGTAGCTTACCTTCGGCGTCAGTCCTACCCGGCGTTGCCTCCCTTCGCAGTCGCTACATTATTAACATTTTAAGTCTCGTTATTATCATTTTAACCTACATTTTTAACATGTTATTAACATTTTAACAAATTAGTTACACTTTCAATAATATATTGCTATATTATTAACATTTTAACTTTTGTTATATAAAGATAGTTTCATTATAACTTACGTTATTATTTATTAACAATTTAAACTACGTTATTATCATTCTGACCCATGTTATTAACATTTTAACCCACGTAATTAAAAAAGAGCTTTTTCAGTTTAACCTATGTTATTAATATTTTAAGCTACGTTATTATCATTTTAGCCAACATTATTAACATTTGGTTCTCACGCTAACTCACATTACTAACATGTTAACATTCGTTACCAATCTTTTTCCTTACGTTATTAACATTTTAACCTATGTTATTATCATATTAACCCACGTTATTAACACTTTAACAAATTATTGTAACACTTTCAACATGTATTAAACTACATTATTAACGTTACAAATTCTTTCCATTTTATTCTACGTTATTAACATTTCAAGATACATTATTATCATTTTAACCAAAGGTATCAACATTTTGTTGTCATTCTAACTTACATTATTAACATTGGTTATCTATCTTTAGCCTTACGTTATTAACATTATAAGCAACGTTATTGTCATCACTACCCATCACGCAGACGGGAAGCCGGTGGCAACGTAGACAAGAATCTGACGAGAAGATGGTCGCGACGGGGGAAACAACAGCAACCAGGCAGCTGTGCCGGCGGGTTTGCAGACGGAACGACGACGTGATCGCGACTTGACGACGACGAGGTTGCAGATGAGGAAACAAAACTTATGCAGCCGTGACTTGGCGACGACATGACGCAGCCGTGATGCAGTGGCTCCGATGCCGGGATTGCACCCAGAGCGCGACGGCTAGCTGGCGACGAGTTTGAAGCCATGGCTTCATGGGAAACGATTTTAGGGTTCGGAAGAGGCCGATTTTCCCGATATAAATGTTCAATAGTGAGGCATCGCAGACGTGGTTTCTGTCGTTTTCCTTTTTAATTATTAATCACATTAAATTTTTATTATATTTTCAGTCTTACCCTTTTAGGTAGTTAACTAATTATTACTAATGTTTTTCTCTCCCCTTCTCCTATTGGTTGGAGATGGTTTAAGATCTTCCTTAAAGATTAAGCCTTAAGGACGTGATCTGACCCAATCATCTCCGATTGTGTAATCGTCTCTTCCTTTCTTCCTTACAAACAAATCAGGTAAAACCGTAAAAGTAAAAGCGTTATATCTATTTTTTATCCAAATCTTTTTTTCAGATTTTTTTATATTATCCAGATCTATTAAAATGCTATTAATTAGCCAAATCTTTAGTAATGCATCAAAATATTAGCCATTTTACTTTATCGTTAATGATTTTGTGACTCTTTTCTTAATTAAAATACTAAAATTTTGGAATGTTGACCTTCATGTGTCTCTTCTTAGTCAGTATCTTATTGCCAAGTTAATATTACTAGCAAAATTGATAACTGAAAGTGAAGATTTGGCTAACTCTTAGTATTTCGATATGCAGTGGCGAACCCAGGATTTTGAGATAGGTGTGTCGGCCCATAAAAATATGTTAAAATAAAAAAATAAATATTAATATAAAATTTTATTCATAAAGAACACTAAATTCGTCGTTTTTCATAGTGAACAACGATGAATTTTCATATTCAGAAAGATTTCTTAATTACATCTATGGAACAAGGATGGAGAAAGACGACATGAAATTCACTATCTAATTACTTGACTCAACCAACTTGTTAATCAATTTAATTCTCATTCAAATTACCAAGGTTATCTATAAGGTGATAGCTATTTCTCTGAATACTCACTACGTAGACTTTAGACTAGTTGGTTGTACAAGAGTAACCAATTAATTGACGACTGTACAACCAACTAGTTCAGTACCTAGTCTAAAGTCCGATAACTCCTATATATACTTACATATTTTAATAACATTATGACAACAAAAGTTTTGTTATAATAAGGTGTGTCGGTTACAAATATCGAAGGTCTGTCGTAGGTCCTGTGTTTGAATTTTTTATACCGAAAATATATGGGTTCCTCACAAAAATTTAGAACCAAGGTGTGTTGGGTGACACACCTCACTTAGAGGTGGGTCCGCCCCTATCGATAGGTTTGGATAATATAAAAAAATCTGAAAAAGGTTTGAATAAAAAATAGACATTATTAAAAGTAAAATTATATTTTTAGGATGGTATCATTGCATATGTTCACATTTTTGGCTGGGTGGTGGGTGATAAATTGTGAATGTATTGCACAATGGATGGTTAGTTTCATGGATATAACTCGCTCTACCTTAATGACGATTGCTCCTAATAGGAGTTACATTTGATATTAATGACTCCATAGAGATTTGAAAATCTATATGGAGAATACTGAATATCTATACATTGTTGGTATGATTATAAGACTGTGTTACAAAATTAAACATTATGTATCTTTTCCTTTATATATCATGTCATGTATATTATCAATTATGTCTTCTTAGACTGTCATTTCTTTCAACAGGTTGACATCACGGTAGAATTTGGAAAGCTCGATTAATTTTTCTCTAGGTAAGCCATAAAATTTAGGTTTCCTTAGACACATAAAGCCTCTTGTTTAATTCAAAAGATTTAGACTACTAATGAAACAGAGTATTAGGTGCCGCTCAAAGTTAATGTTTGTATTTGAAAAGCGGGATGGGATTAGGTGCTAACTAGCAAAAAACGCTACTAAAAATAACGAAATCACTACAACATCTAAGCTAAATCACTACTAATTCAAACTAGTAGTAGTTTTTCCCTTGATTAGAACGGTGCTAACTATTGTACAATTAGCACCTAACTCCTCCCTTTGAAAAGCAGAAAAGGAACATGTCATTTTATCCCTTCAATACCCTTTGATAAATCTAATGGTTGAGTTTTAAATAATTTTCAAGCAAAAATTAAAAATTAAATTAAATACCAAAATTTATTTAATTTTATGTGAAATTTAAGTCTAAGTTAAAAAAAATGAGATATAATATGTTAAAATTTAAAATTTTAAGAAATATTTTAAAATTAAATAAAATAAACCAAACTTTCATTATGTTTATGTGAAATTTAGATCTAAGTTAAAAAAATTAGATATGACCTGCTGAAAATTGAAAATGTAAAAAAAAAAAAACAATTGAAAATTAAATAAAATCATAATTGTATTAAGTTTATGTGAAATTTAAATCCAAGTTAAAACAAATTAGATATGAGGGGCTAAAAGTAAATAAGAAAGTTATTCATTGTTATAACTTGTTGTTAGTATAATTATTTTTATAATATAATTATGTTTATAGTATCATATTTTTATACTAATGTTTTTTATATTACTTGTGCTTCTCTTCAAAATTAATGTATGTATATGTGTCATCAATAGAAGCTTTGATGCTCATATGGATGTTTGATTCAACTTCAAATGGATTTGAAACAATAAGATAAAGGATATAGTTGAAGCCAAAAAAACCATCCTCCATTACTATATGGTAGATTTTTGTGTACTTTTCTCCATTTCAAATTTCCTGCAACGAGAGTGAAAGTAGGAAGGTCATTTTTGTCTTTACACATTTATTATTTATTTCATATAAAAATAGCAATATCAAGATTTGAACTTGGGTCTCTTCAAACAAAGATAACAATCACAACCAGTTACACTAAACAAATTTATTTCATCTTTTTTTATACAAAAAATAGACAAAGTTAATCTCTGAAAACCAGAGGACTTTTTCATCATAATTAGCAAGCTCTCCTTAATTTTTGCTAAAGGTAAATGGGTAATTGGCTAACATGGAAGAAACTAATTATGTAACTACGTGTTGTATCCTTGCATTTTTCAATTTAAATTTTTTGTTTTTTTATCTTTGTTCTTTTCTCTTTCTAACTTCCTTCGAAATAACATCCATCGTGCAATAGTTTGCGCCTTTCATTTCCCAGTACAAGACTTTCATTGAAAATCAATCTTTAGGTATCTCTTGGCACTACGGTTTTATTGTTGGGGATTTTAAGCTGGGCGAGTAGAAGATTTCAACTCCAATATCAATTCATGGCGAATAGAATGGAGTTCATCAATAACTGAAGTTGTAGAAGGAGGATTAGAAATTGAATTTTTGGTTGAATATATGCCTCTTGAGATAGAAATTTGGTTGTACAACGGAGTGTGGTGGCTATTGGATCTTTAGGTTTATGGTTTTTGCAACTGTCACAACCTATTTCTATCTTAAAACGAGGAATCATTGATTGATTGTTTGAAATAGGTCGCTTCTTTATTCAACCTACTGTAACTAATAGATAAGGAGTGTCTAATTTTGCGCCTTATTACTTTGATCGAGTCTATTCGTATATTGGAGATAACCCTGATTTTTTTGTTTGCTCTCAAGTTGTGATGGTCCCCTCTTAGCTGAGTTTTTAGTATATAGATGACTTGAATCAACAACTCTCCATTTCTTTTTGATTAGTGACATATTGTTTATAAAAGGAGAGCATTGAACCCTTTATATAGGATTGTGAGGTTTAAGATTTAGTTTCAAACTATCTATGGGTTGTGTGAGAATTTTAGTGAGCTTTTATACTCTATATTTCTTGACTGTAAAAAAAAAAAAAAAAACTAACCAATAGCATTTTAACGGGGACTTTATTAGCATTATGAAAATGGGGTCTATTGGGGGTATTACTAAATACTCCGTTCACAGACTAAGTAGTAGGGCGCACAATCGGCGATGCGCGAAGAGCGCACAATCAGCGATACGCGATGTGCGGTACGCGCTACAGGTATATAAGGGCTTGAAGCCCCCCCAAAAGAGGGACTTCTCCTCTCTCCTGACTTTCCACTTTTCCTTATCTCTCTACACTTTATCTCTCTACCTTGTTCTCTCAACTTTCACCATAAACATAAACTGACTTGATCGTCGGAGCTTAATCCGGGGGGCAACCCCGGCTCTTTCACAGGTCTCCCCCCCCCCCCCCCCCCCCCGACGAGATCAGACGAACAGATCGTGAGTCAACCCCACACCAACAAATATCATTGTTCGATCCGGAGCTAGTCGGTACAAACAATTGGCGCCCACCGTGGGGCTGACTTACAGATATTTTCTTCTGATTTCTGAGGGAGGATCCAAGAAAATCCCACTTCAACGGCCACGAGCAACGGTCGCCGCCAGAATCCGACAAGAACCAGACGAGCGAAAGAAAGTGCAACAATTTCCATAGTCAACTTTTCCTGGAGACTAAGCGAGCAAAGCACCTCCACAATCCACATGTCTATGCCATTTTCAATCAACAAGGGGAAGGGTAAAGGTGATTGTCGGTCAGCAAGAAAAAAAGGGAGAGATTTGGGAAAGTCCCAGGAGGATACGATCTCTCTCACCATCATACCAAGTCACAGCCACAACCGGTCCTCACCGTCGACCATCTCGGCGTCTTCCGAAAAGTTAGTATTTGGAGGGAACGAAGTAAGTGGGAATAAGCAATGATTCTCGTTCCACCAGCACCATCAACACATCATGGAGTCGAGCTGCAACTAAAGAATGAGGAAATAAATAAATAAAATTCCGATTGCCGGATACAGATCGGTGCCGGAGCACCGAGGAGAAAGAGAAGAAGTCATAGTCACTCACTAGCTGTCACGTCGTTACTGCAAATTTGCCGAAAAAAATGGGTTACCACTCCTTTCTCTCTGACAAAAGAAAAGACGGGCGAAGTTTTCGAGGCAGATGGGCACAGTCAACGATGAAACCATGGCAAGTGGATGACAGGCTGGAAACCCAGCAAGGCGATAGAGAAAAGAAGGCGCCCACCCGCCCGAGCTTCTCCCGGAATGGTGACAGGTGCTCCGCCGTCTCCACTAACGCGCTCTCGCCGCCATCGCCAAAGCCAAGCACCAATCTGTATGAGGCGCCCAACTCCTATCCCACGCCAAGGCCTTCAAATCCAAGTGCAGCGCCGGAGCACGGGCTATGAGAAACATGCGACACCCTTTGCCGAGTTCCTCTCTGATGAGAATGCGCTTTCAGCCTGATGTCTCCGATCTCCTCAGCTTCACGGGCATAACGACCGTCAATTTTGCCTCCGTCGCGACACCGCGCTTCCAGCTCCTCCGATCTCCGTGGACGCCGCCGCCGATAACTGCCCAAGGAGGGTGAAATCCCTGAAATAGAGAGCAAGTCAACTTGTGATCCCTTCCGCGGGACGACTCACTAGTCACGTACAACATCGAGAGGCCCACAACTAGCTCGCGGCCCAATCATCGCGTCAATTCGGGAAACCCGCTTCGCAATTGGCCGGCCCTGCTACCGATCCTCTGTTCGTCGCCGCGCCGCGCCATTTCCTGCTGCAGTGCCTCGCCAATCTCCTCCTTTGCGCGTTCTCTCCGTCACAGCCGGCAGCCCCGCGTTCCGCGTCATAAAAAAAAGAAGAAGAAGAAGAAAGGGAAACGCGTCCAAAGAAAAATAAAAGAAGAAGAATCTCAGCCGGCAGCCGCGCGTTCCGCGTCATAAAAAAAAAGAAAGAAGAAGAAGAAAGGAGAACGTTGCCGACAACCCGATTCGATGTCGTTATGATCCGCGCGGAAGCTCTATCGAAGCTTTGGACGGTCGCGCCACTATCATCCACCAAATCAATCAAATCTACCAATGGCGGTGGCTTAGCCTGCGTTTCGAAAGCAAAAAAACGTGGAAGAAAGGAAGATTGAAAAAAAGGGGCAGATCGAAATTTCTAAGAAATTGATTCTCCCCCATCGGCACAACCGCGATTTGCACCTTGTGGGCGACGCATCTGAGTCTCTGACCCGCCTCCAACTACCATCTCGAAACACCCCCCATGAAAATAATACAGTTGGCTGGAGATTCAAACCCGCGTCAAAAAGACAAACGCGAGCACGTCCACCATTATGGCAGAAGACCACATTCAGAATATGAGGCGCGTCACTTCTCTTTTGAAACTGCTCGCCGCCACCGGTCCGATAAATTCAGTCATCGCACCACAAGATTCGCTCCACGCAATCAGCCCACCGCTACGACCCCTTTCCGCTTCACTCGTCAGTCATTGGGCCGCGCAATCAGCCCACCGCTACGGCCCCTTTCCGCTTCACTCGCCAGTCATTGGGCCGCGCAATCAAGCCACCGCTACGGCCCCTTTCCGCTTCACTCGTCAGTCATTGGGCCTCACTACGCGAGCAATGGGCCCGCCAAAACTCACAAACCACATCACACCCACAAGATGCAACCGGGCCGTCACAAACATCCGCCAGCAACTCGGCCCAAGTCACTCTGACCCGCCAAGAGTGAATCCGAGCCTCCACGCGGGCCTGACTCTACTCGCGACCCGCGTCGCACATGGCCCACCTCAAGAGCGGATCCAATTCTTCACGCGGGCCAGACTCTACTCGCGGCCCGCGTCGCACAACCCCCCACCAAGCTCATTTCCGCGAGTAGATCCCACCATGACCCGCTCCAGTGCAGCCCGGCAAGCCGCCCTCCCAACCCGCGGCCCAATTCACTCTGACTCGCTTCAACAGCACCCGCGAGCAACATGGGCCCTCATCCAACTCGCGTCCCCGAGCCCACTTCCGACGTACCGCCAAGCCCACCAACAAGCGGCCCAACTCGCGACCCGCGTTCAACAGGGCACGGATTTCTTCAAAAATATTATCGCCGACATCAGGAATTGAACCCGCATCACTCATCCGCCAGACAAGCAACATTACCATTAGCCTACATGCGGGCATTATGTTTCAATGGCGCAGCGTCTTCCTTTCAACTACTACTGCCGCCACTGCGCTAACATAAAGCTAAGTACTCTATCTCTTTCTCATTATTAAATATTGAAATATTTTATAGAGTGTTAATGGCGCTAATAGAGGGCACATTGCCTCGATGAAGCTACAAATAAGTTTCAACGAAGCACATAAATAAGACTTCAATAAGAGCATCGAAGAAGCTACAAATAAGTCTCAACGAAGCACACAAATAAGATTTCAATAAGAGCATCGAAGATCTACAAATAAGTCTCAACGAAGCACACAAATAAGACTTCAATAAGAGCATCGAAGACTCCAAACTGAGGGTTAAAAACCCCGACGAGGAGAGCTCCAAACTGAGGGTTAAAAACCCCGACGAGGAGAGGGCACATTGCCTTGAAGACTCCAAACTGAGGGTTAAAAACCCCGACGAGGAGAGCTCCAAACTGAGGGTTAAAAGCCCCGACGAGGAGAGGGCACATTGCCTTGAAGACTCCAAACTGAGGGTTAAAAACCCCGACGAGGAGAGCTCCAAACTGAGGGTTAAAAGGCCCGACGAGGAGAGGGCACATTGCCTTGAAGACTCCAAAATGAGGGTTAAAAACCCCGACGAGGAGAGCTCCAAACTGAGGGTTAAAAGCCCCGACGAGGAGAGGGCACATTGACTTGAAGACTCCAAACTGAGGGTTAAAAACCCCGACGAGGAGAGCTCCAAACTGAGGGTTAAAAGCCCCGACGAGGAGAGGGCACATTGCCTTGAAGACTCCAAACTGAGGGTTAAAAACCCCGACGAGGAGAGCTCCAAACTGAGGGTTAAAAGCCCCGACGAGGAGAGGCACATTGCCTTGAAGACTCCAAACTGAGGGTTAAAAACCGCGACGAGGAGAGCTCCAAACTGAGGGTTAAAAACCCCGACGAGGAGAACTCCAAACTGAGGGTTAAAAAACCCCGACGAGGAGAGCTCCATGAAGAATCAACAATTGGTGAAGGCTACACACCTTAATGAAATACACCAACTGGGGGGCAAGACGAAAGAAGCTGGCACCGCGTCAATCAAATGCGCCACCAGCTGAGGGGCAACTGGGGTACACAGGGCTCCATCCAAAATTACCGACAAAGATTTTTTTAAAAAAATAATAAGCTAGTGATGAGTTAAGACTCACCACCAGCTTGGGGGGCAATTGTTGGGGGTATTACTAAATACTCCGTTCACAGACTAAGTAGTAGGGCGCACAATCGGCGATGCGCGAAGGGCGCACCATCAGCGATGCGCGACGCGCGGTACGCGCTACAGGTATATAAGGGCTTGAAGCCCCCCCAAAAGAGGGACTTCTCCTCTCTCCTGACTTTCCACTTTTCCTTATCTCTCTACCTTGTTCTCTCAACTTTCACCATAAACATAAACTGACTTGATCGTCGGAGCTTAATCCGGGGGGCAACCTCGGCTCTTTCACAGGTCTCTTCCCTCCCGACGAGATCAGACGAACAGATCGTGAGTCAACCCCACACCAACAAATATCATTGTTCGATCCGGAGCTAGTCGGTACAAACAGGGTCAATGATACATTTTTATATTTTATTCTTAAATGATTATGATATTTCTCCGAATGTTCGATCTATATATTATTTCTTTATGTATCATCTCGATCGAATGATTATCAATAAGATTAAACGGGTTAATAGACTTAAAAGTACCATAAAAATACAAATAATCAAATATGAGCATTCCGGCCAAAGGGCCGGATTTTAAGCTAGTATAGAAAACGTCCAACCTCCCTTTAGTCTCATTTTAGATACGGCTACCCACCTATATACTTTTTTTTTATAATCCCACCTATATACTTGCAACAACCTCCAAGAAGTCCATCTCTCCATAATAACTAGGTGGGCCCAGTTAGTTGGCCGGAGTAAGGTGAGATATGAACTAAAATCAAGCACCTGTTACCTTATGAAACAATATTGTTTCTGGTAATATAATGAGGTGGGGTAAATTTTATAGAAACCGAATTCAAGAAAATCGAATAAAAAATCATCTATTCCGTCGGTTTTCGGGAAATGAGCATCTCACAATCGTTGCTAGCTTTTACTCGGCCCGCCGGCTGATTAATTTGCTTTATAAAACTTTCATCTTGTCATCATTGTGCTTTCTGGTTTTTGCCAGCCCATGATAAAATATAAAGAAATCAAGAACAAACAACACGATTTGGGATAGGAACCGTCGTTCTTATATCCCTAGAAAATGATGGTAAACACAGACTCACTTGCCGAACTGGTATGGATTGAGATTTTTATCGAGTATCAGGAAACCATGTGATTATAAATTAGACTTGATCAAAACCGGCCAAAACTTGAAATTTAACCCGTTTAACTTACCCATGCCAAACTCTAATTATTCTTTAATTTTAAACTTTCTATTTGAAAATAAAAAATAGTGAAAGAAAAGAGATGATTGCAATTCGCCATTTGCACATCACTGATTCATGAATAAAATCATAGAAATTCGAAAGAAAACTGAAAATGTTTAGGATCGTTTTAATATTAAAAATAACCAAATAGATCTTTCTATTTTATTTTTTACTAACAAATACCAAACGATTCCCTATAAAATACTCTATAATTTAATCATTATGATATCAAATAATTATATAATATATATTTGAAATGATAAAAATTGGACTTATTGGGTTGGTCGAGGTTGAACCATTTAGTAACTTTAAAATACATTATATTTTAGCCACTAAGATATAAAATAATAGCATAATTATATTATGCTAGAGAAAATAGCTTGTTTTAGAATGACAAACCCATGATGTTCATTTGTTTTACTTAATGACCAAATCCCGTGTAGGTCAGACCCATTCAACTCTTTTATTTTATGATTAGCGGGTTGCCCATTAGAATTCATGCATTAGTTTATTGTTAAATTTTTTCTTTTTAGCAATAAAAAGAGTATTGTTTTGGATCTTTCATATATATTTTACCAAACCGAGAAATAAAAGGGCTTAAAGAAAAAAAATTGACACTACTGGGCTCGTTTAAATCCGCATGTGTATGGTAAGTTGACCCGTTCCATAGAGGAAAGAGAAAAAAATTGACACTCTCTATTCTACCCTTCCTACAAACGCTCCTCGAGCAGGGAATTTGAAATGAGGGAAGAGTTTTTTCCTTCCTACTATTATATGTTTTTAATTTAAAAATATACAACAAATGTATTTAGTGTGATTGATTATGATCTTTGTTTTTCTTTAAAGTGGTCATGGTTCGAATCCCACTCCTTCCTGCTATTATATATTGTGTAGATTTTACCAGCACCGAGAAATGAAAGATTTTAAAGAAAAAAAATTGACACTCCTGGGCTCGTTTAAATCCGCATGAGTACGGTAAGTTGGCCGTTTCACAGAGGAAAGAGAAAAAAATTGACACTCCATATTCTACCATTCCTACAAAGGCTCATGGAGCAGGGAATTTGAAATGAGGGAAGAGTTTTTCCTCCCTGCCATTATATGTTTTTAATTTAAAAATATACAATAAATGTACTTAGTGTGATTGATTATTCTTTGTTTTTCTTTAAAGTGGTCATGGTTCGAATCCCAGTACGTGTCTTTTTAATGAATAAATAAAAATAAAGTAAATTGTGAAAACCAAAATGTCATTCTACTTTCACTCTCGTTGCAAGAAATTTGAAATGGAGAGCGGATCATGTCAGTAATCTTATGATGAGTAACCATGAGTAACCCATGCACACCAGCATGACATCAACATCTCTTTCTCTCATGGATTTTTTTTAAATCTTTTCCCCTTTAATATTTAACGGACGATTTCTCTCTCGTTTTAAGTCGAAATATAAATTTTTTTGCACAGATAAATCCGATTAATTGTACTCTTTTAAATGATATCCACTTTTATATATATTTTATACAAAAAAAATTGAGTAATTTTTTACCAGTCAATAACATATGGTATGCTCCTATTTAATATCATATGATAAGAAAGCGTATCATGATGGTATCAACATACCAATATGTAGGGGTGAAAGCTTGTCCCGGAAGACCCACTGACCCGTCCCGTCCCTAAGGGTTGGGACGGGTCAGTTTGTCTACAGGGACAGATTAGGGACGGGTCATTTGTTAACCCTGTAAGGGTCGGGGCGGGTCGGGACAACTTAGAGACGGGTCACGTTTTGACCCTGTGACCCTTAGCAGCAACAAATATCTCACACTTCATTGACCTTTTTGTAAAGTTTTAAAAGTTTAGGTACTAATTTGTAAAAATAAAAAAATTTGGGTAAAAAAATGTAATTTTACCATCAAAATTTATGGACTTATTTGTAAAAATAAAATAAAATTTAGGTACTAAATTGTAAGAAAAATAATTTTGGGTACCAAAATGTAATTTGTAAAAAATAGTGTGCTGATTAGGGTCGACCTTCTGACCCGGCCCGTCCCGTCCCAACCCTTGAGGGTCAGACAGGGTCAAGAAGGATACAGGGACGGGACGGGACAGTTATACATCTTGACCCTTCAGGGACGGGTCAGACAGGGACAGGGACGGGACATGCAAATTTTCAGCCCTACCAATATTGTAGGAAGGTTGAATACATGATAGTAGGAGTATACTAACTGTCATTTACAACTTTCATCATTGTTTACTACAAGTTAACACAAGTTACCACCCACAAACCATAGTTGTAAAGTATGGTAACTTCTGATCATGTATTTTTTTTTCACCCAGAAATTTGTAGATCAAATCGATTATGATGAACTTGTTCCTTCTGAGCAAAACGTTTTCAAAAACGACTTAAAAACGAAGAAGTTACCATATGCTATGTAGTTGGTAACGGGAGGTATGAAAAAAAGTTTCTCGAAATATATTAAAAATTGATCTCATTTTGTAGAGCACAACAAACTCGTTCCATCTGTACAATTTTTTTTTGAAATCCGAGTTAGAACGAAGAAGATAAGAGTCGATTAAAAAAATTATGAAAAATAGAATGTCTTTAATTCACAACTTTTAGATCTGGATTTTCTGAGCCCAATTAGATATAACAGTTCAAATTTAGTTACTAATAAGTAAGTAACCAATGGTTACTCACCGTATACTAAGCATTGGAGGAGAACCTCCATATATGTTTGGGAGGATTGCTATTTTAATATTATTGACCTTATCTCGTACTCAAAAGATAGAAGAAAGGAAAGGAGGAAGAAAATGGAGTAGCTATAAAATTGATAGGGAAAGAACGAGAATTTGTAATATGGTTGCGCCACAGAGAAGCAATAATTATACCGTAACTTTTTATAGTAATAAAGAAGCAAAAATCCAAATTATTATATCCCAATTATGGTTTTCACGCGGGTGGAATGCCGGACAGTTGAACTAGTTCGGGTCATGAAACTGGCGTGAACAGGTATGACTAATATGATCGATATACGACTTCTAAGAAAAATGATAGTGTTCTAGAGAATTTAACTAATACTGTAAATTATTATTTATTTAACAAATTTGAAATTTAAATATTGATGTTAATTATTGAATTTAAGTATAACATTTAGGTATTGACGTTAAATATTGTATTTAAATATGAGTATTTGTTATTTTTATTTAAAATATCATATCATATTTTATTTAAATATGAATATGAATTATAAGTAAATTGTGCTTAATTATGTTTTATATATGATTAAAATCTTTTAATGTTAATAATTTTTTATATTTCTACATATTTTATTAAACGAGCAAAAATCAATTGTACCACCGATCTAACCATTCTACTTGTTAAACCGGTACAATGGTATAAACTGGTTTGACAACCTCATCCCAATTCTCAATCAAACTAATCAGGGCAAAGTTGTCAACCCGTAGGTTGGCCCGCTTTGATCCTGATCTGGTGAGAAAACCAGACCGTATACACCTGACCGGTCGACCCGTGGCAAGGTATCGGATTGGAACTCCAACGGCGTCGTTTTTCTTTCGGTTTGTGAAATGCGTCTATTCTTCACGGTAAAGCGATCGATCCATTAATACTCAACTCTCTTGTTGGACCGACCAACACACTAAAAATGGTTAATCTATAAAAAAAAGGTAATGTCTATTTTTTATCCAAACCTTTTTCAGATTCTTTTATATTATCCAAACCTATCGAAATACTAAAAACTAGCCAAATGTTAACTTTCCGTAAGCAATTTTGTTAGTAATAATGACTTGCAACATGATACTGACTTAGAAGAGACACATGAAGGTCAACATTCCAAAATTTTAGTATTTTAACTAAGAAAAGAGTTACAAAATTATTGACGATAACGTAAAATGGCTAATATTATTATGCATTACAAAAGATTTGACTAATTAATAGTATTTCGATAGATTTGGATAATATAAAAAAATTAAAAAATTTAAATAAAAAATAGACATTTAAAAAAACTAATGTAATCCCCAGCCAGTCGCTGTTTCCTTCTCTTTCCCTTCCTTGTGTGGCGAGCGCAGTCCAGGAGGGAAACAGATTCTCCTCCGCAGCTGGATTCGTGAGCAGAAAACCTAAACAAAGGGTTGCTGAAAATCAGGAGAGCAAAGCAGGGAATCAGCGGTTTCTCGGGGGCGGCTCTGGATCTGCATCCAATTCTCTATTTCACTATTTGCCTCCGACTTCCCCGTTCGCTATTTCCCCTCTCTCTCTCTGGTTTCTCCGGTCGGTCGAGCTCCCCCGCCGCTCTTTTCTCCCTTATTTTCTTTAATATTTTCCTTGGTAATGTCGACTCACTCGATTTCCCTACCTTCGCAGGTCCGTTAAAATCAACAACTCGTTTGGTCTTCGGTTTCTCAATCAATCAATCAATCAATCATGGCGTCCAAGCGCATCTTGAAGGAACTCAAGGATTTGCAGAAGGATCCACCCAGTTCCTGTAGCGCAGGTCAGGCGATGTCCCCTTCTGTTTTTCCAACCTCCATCGTGAGATTTTGGCTGTTATCTTTACCTTCCGCGGATTGGTAGCTTGTGTTGTTGATTTGGAGCTCCAAATTTGAATTTTTCCCCTGCCCTTCGATTGAAAGCTGTATGGTTTTGGTTTTGGGATCAGGTCCTGTGGCGGAGGATATGTTCCATTGGCAGGCAACGATTATGGGACCCTCTGAAAGCCCCTATTCTGGAGGTGTTTTCCTGGTCACCATCCATTTCCCCCCAGATTATCCTTTCAAGCCCCCTAAGGTGATTTACTGCATTCAAACTTCTGCATTCGATTTTGATCTGTGATGTTTATTTTAATAAACTTTTTCACGCTTCTATTCTGGTTTGATGTTCAATTTTGGTTTGTAGGTAGCATTCAGGACCAAGGTCTTCCACCCTAATATCAACAGCAATGGGAGCATCTGCCTAGATATCCTCAAAGAGCAATGGAGCCCTGCTCTTACCATTTCAAAGGTTTGACATTATCTATTACTCATGCTAATAAGGATAAGGGGTTTTATATTACTTCTCAATTTCTCATGATTGGGGGTGTAATTTCATGGTTTTGAAACTACTCCATATCTTAAGGCAGGGTTAATGGTATAGGATACTTGCGTGAAGCTCATACAGCCGCAAGAGAGGTACTTGTATATGGTAGCATTTGCATTGCTTTCGCCAAAAGATTAGCACCTATTTTTTCCTTGGTTATTTAGGATCGATATCAGTTCATTGTCTTTAAACAACCCTGATTCATGCTCTAGTTCTTTCTTCTTCTTTTGAGGATGCTATTTCTGAAAACTGCCACTTCAATGGTACGAACATACAAAAGCCTGTCAACATAATGCAAGAGAATCATGAGAGATTCATCTTTGACCTCGGCCAAAATAGCTATTGAGATGATTTGGCTCTTGACATGGTATCAGAACGATATTGACCGAGAGGTCTAGTGTTCAAATCCAGGTAGCCTGATTGTCGACGGCTGATTTAAGCATGAATATGGTAGGCTTGTAGAAATTTCAACCCTGTGTTGACTTTCATTTGAGGGTATGATTCATCTTTGGTTTTGTCCCGACAACTCGATTTGTTGTGATTAAGTTGTTCTCTACACATAAGAGGGGTTTGATTTTAGGATTGGGATTACTCTGTAGTCTGTATCTCGTTTTCTGAATCTCTAAACTTGTTTTGTTGATGTTTTGGGGTTTAGCTTTCAGGATTAGTTAACTATGGATATAATTTTCCGTGTCTCTGAACTCTTTTGTATGGATGTTTGGATTCAGGTGCTGCTCTCGATCTGCTCCTTGTTGACGGATCCCAATCCGGATGACCCTTTGGTGCCAGAGATTGCCCACATGTACAAGACAGACCGTGCCAAGTACGAGGCAACTGCACGCAGCTGGACCCAGAAGTATGCTATGGGATGACAGGACTGAAGTGGTTGATGAGAGACCACAAGAAACAGAAACACAGAAGAAGGAAAGTTATCAATTATGTCTTCAGGATTTGAAACATTGTGGTTACGTTTGTGGTGGGATGCAGCAGCTTGTCCTGCTTGTTTTTGGGTTTGTCATATATGTTTTTGGTTAGGGCTCTTTGAGATTTGAAGGGAGTTCGGGTTTTTATGAACTCCATAACAGTTTTACTACATGGGCGTTCTTTGCATTTTGTTGGATTGGGGGAATCACAGAATATAAATACGATAATCCCCAACGAGGTGGATCTTATGAATATTATCTGGTCTGCTACAGCCAAACACTGCTTGTTTCGTTTGTTGGGGATGTGGCAGGTTTGTATTCTTCTTAATTAGATGCATGGGTGTCGAATCCACGCCTCTATCTAGTTTATATGGCAATGAATTAGGATTTTTGTTCTCTAGGGTCATTTGGTTTTGGTGATTGTTTCGTGGGGATAGTTACAATGTATGTAGTCGTTTGGTTTTGGAGATTGTTTGATGGGGATAGTTACAATACATTGTTTTTTTGAATTTTTTGTACAAACAATGCATGTATTTTCATATTGATGACAATCTATCAATTTAACTAATGACCGAAAATTCATTCATGTGCAATAATCAAGCTTGCTTGTCTTCTTTCGATCACTCGATTGCGATCCACCAATCTCGATTCCAGCTGTGTTTGTAATCAATCACGATTCACGTGTATCAGAGCTTGGGAAAGCAAGAAGGGATCAGACACTTATTGGCTACTGATGACAATGGAGTGTGTTTGGCTAAACTATTCTCATTTCCGTTTTCAAATATTCAAATATTTGTTTTGACAAAAGATAATCATATATTGAATTAGACAAAGATCGTTACATCCTGGAATTCAGCCAGGACTGAAAATCAAATAAGCGACACGCAGTCGGGTACAAAGAAAGAGCTTGTCTAGCTACTGAATGAGCTACCCTATTGCTATTCCGACCTACAAATCGCACACTGAAGCCCACATGAAGAGCGAACATCTGGACAACTTCTTGCAGCACAGACCCCACCTGGTTATCCCCAACATCTCCCTTGTTAATCTTATCGATAAGCACCTTAGCATCCCCTTCAAACACCATCTCAGAAAATCCCTGCTCCAAACACCAGGTGACAGCCTCGCGGAGGACAAGAAGCTCCACCACCATCGGGTCATCAATAAGTGGAAACTAGACGCCTCTAGCTCGAAGGACCGCCCTCTCAGGAGCGAGGACAACCATCCCACCCGCAGAATGAGACCCTTTCCGGACCGCCCCATCCCACACACAGCGGCACATTCACCCTATCCGGAGGCACCGGAACAGGCTGGATATCTACTGGCGAAGGAGATGAGTCAACTAGGAGACGAGCCCACTCATCCATCTGTTGGTTGTACTGTCTCATCAGAGCAGCAGTCCCGAACTGCTTGCCTTCAAAGACAACCCAATTCCTGGATTTCCATATCCGCCACAGAATAACAACCACTGCCATGAACTACAGCGGCTGATGTAGGAGAGACAACAACTTCTTCAGAAAGAGAGGGAACGTATGACGGGGCAAGCCTTGGCCAAGGTGCTCTAAACCAGCCTGATCCCAAATCGCACGCGCCACGGGACAATCCAGAAATAAGTGTTCCATCGTCTCCGACTCAGCCCAGCAAACCAGACACCGAGGGAGCACCACCACCTTCTTCTCAATAAGCGCTTCCGTCGTTGGCAAGATCCTATTCAGGACCTGCCAGACAAACACCTTCAGCTTTGGTGGAATATTAGCGTCCCATACTCGGATCTAGCTAGTTTTATCCATCCAACTAGCCAGCGACCGCCAGCTGCCATGTTGCTGCTCAATGGTGACCGCAAGATGGTATGCTGATTTAACTGAGAAAACACCATCAGCAGCACCATGCCAGATTAACCGGTTCTCCACATTCTTCCTAGGTAGAGGGATGGACTTAATTGCCCTACAAGTAGGAGGATCAAACCACTGATTCAACTTCAGATCACACCAACGACCCTCCCCAGGGCATATAACTTCAGCCACCGTCAGACCCTCTCTAGCAGGAAGCACTTGGGGGTTATACACTGGAGGCATAGGATGCTGCTTGTGAATCCAATTGGAATTGAGCAGAGGGGCCGTCAGACCGTTCCCAATCTGCCACCGGACCCCTTTCATTAACAATTGGCGCCCATAGAGGATACTCTGCCACCCCCACGATGGACGGGACCGAGCCAAAGCTGTGAGGAAGGACCATCGCGGAAAATATTTCCCTTTGTAGACCTAGGCCAGGAGGGATTGAGGCTCGTTAAGAATTCGCCACCCAATCTTGGCCAAAAGAGCCTGATTAAAAATGCTCGAACCGCCGAAAACCCATCCCCCCCTCGTGCTTACTCCTGCACAGGTTTCGCCAGGACATCCACCGAATCCTAGTTCTACCATCCTCTACTCCCCACCAAAACCTAGCCACATGTCTGTCAAGGAGGTGACAAAGGGACAACGGCAGCTTGAAACAAGACATAACATGTAACAGGAGATCCAAAGCAACCGATTTGATCAGCGTCTCTTTGGCCGCCCAAGACAAGGTCCGCCGCTTCCAGCCCTGCAAACGCTCTAGTAGTTTCTCTTCCAGGTAGCAAAACGTAGTCATCTTAGACCGAGCTACCAACGTAGGGAGACCAAGATACTTATCTTGAACTCCCACAACACCAACCCCAAAAATTTCAGCATGAAAATCTTGGTCAAGAAGAGATATATTCTTACTGAAGCAGACAACCAACTTCGCCAGATTGACCTTCTGCCCACTTAGTTCCTCATACTCATTCAGCACTTCGATCAAATTCTCACATCCTGAAGGGAGCCCCTAAGAAACAAGTAAGAATCATCAGCGAAAAATAAATGAGATATCCTGGGGGCACGAGGAGCCACTTTAACCCCTTGCAATTTCTTCTCCGAAATAGCTTTGCGGAGGAGAGCCGCAAACCCTTCCGTACACAGGACAAAGAGTAGCGGGTATAGAGGATCCCCTTGGCGCAACCCCCTAGTAGGGGAAAAGAACCCAGCGGGTGCCCCATTCATAAGGACTGGAAACGACGCTGAACACAAGCACTCCCGGACCCACCCACACCAGACCGAGTTAAATCCCATTTTTTTCCAACACCGCGAGAAGAAACGGCCATTCGACTCTATCATAGGCCTTTTCCATGTCAACCTTTAGAGCCATGTACCCTTTCTTCCCTCGAGTTTTGATCTTCAGATAATGCATTAACTCGTGTCCAATTAGGATATTATCAACAATCTGTCTCTCACGGATGAAGGCATTTTGCCCCTCAGAAAAAACCTGGGGTAAGATGCAGGCCAATCTACCAGCCATGATTTTAGTGATAACCTTGTACACAAACTGACATAAACTGATAGGGCGTAGCTGCCTCATATTATCTACGTGATCCACTTTTGGGATCAAGGTTAGCCAGGTATGATTAAAACTTCGGAGCATCCTACTCGTCGTAAAGAAAGAACAAACAGCCTTCAAATTCATAACTGTAGATTTGCCTTATTCATGTGGTGCGGGGAAAATTTTGTAAACCCATCGCCATCCCCATGGTTTTTAGATACTCGTGGGTAAATACCCTCCCGTACATCCAACATTATTATACTTAAAACTTTACATGTAATTTTCAATTATATTTATAACACTGTATGGACCTTCTATATCATGAAATCAACAAAGATACAATCATTCTTAATACGATTCAAATAATATGATCCTAAAAATTCACTAATTCATAAGATAAAGTACAATAATTTCCAAATCATTATTCTCTAACTTTGATACATCTACTAAGTAATAATTAACTATTATAATCTTGTTAACAAGGTGAAAAGTGAAAGTATGAAGGGAGAATTGAGGGAAAGGAATCAGATTATGATTTGGGTGGTTACTCAATTGCATTTCTACTATTTATTTTCTTGAGTGACCTTCACTATCATTGATAGTTTACGATTTGATCAACATATTTTATATATGTGAAGAAATGCTCTTGGTGGCGCTGATATGGGTAAGAGTATGGGGTGGGGATGGGAGACTAAAACCATACTCGTCACATACCCATCAAAGTTTTTATGGATTTTACCCATACCCACCCCCATACACAGTCAATGTGGGATTCCCAGCATTAATTGGGTCGGGGCGGTCAAATACCTGCGGTCATGAGTTTGATTGCCATTCCTAGTGTTGAGGGAGTGAGATCACATTGGGGTTGGGTGGGGTGGGAAGTGTGACGCCCATATATGAGAGAGAGGCCAACAAAATATCACCTACCGGTTAAAAGCTTTTGGCCTCGTTTGTACGAGGGATTTGGATGCAATCCCACGTAACATGAGATAAACCCAAAATCACACATTTGATAATTGCTCTAATAATCAAGGTTTTTATTCATGTAGAATTTGGAAATCCCGCAATTGTGGGTTTTCAAAATAGCTGAAGGGGGTCAGATTTTTTTATGCACAATAAAAAAAATCGCATTAAGCTCCAGGTGCCTTATATTTGAGGACCTCTCAAGTGTATTGTTTCTCTTTGCAATAGACCATGTATATTGTAAATACTCTCTCAAAACTAAGAGTAAAACCACTCAATTACAACTTTGAGCTCTATACGGTAAACAACCAAACATTCTAATGTAGATCGAATAAGTCATATCAAATGTGGTGGGGTACGAAGAGGGCCATCACATAGAGTCGGCCACAATGCTCCTTCCAAACACTGCTAAAGGCTACACTCCATATCAACTTCTCAAGCTTTAACCTGTCACTTGTACGGTTGTACCATTCCATAATCTAACAGGCCTCTGCATCATTGATGACCAATCCAAGCCAACTAGAAGATCCACACTAGAGAGAGAATGGGGGAGCACATACCTGGTATATGAACAATCAATAAATAGATGGTCAATGCTCTCTTGTCCACCAGGGCACAACACACAAGATTGATAACCCTGTTTTACCCAAATAGCAAGCTTGTCTATAGTAGTGATCTTATTTTGTGCAATGATCCTAAAGAGCATACTATATTTTGGTATGTTGTATTTGACCCAAACAAGATATGACCAGTCTACTAAAGACTGTTGACCTCTAATAGCAAGCTAAACTTGCATAATAGAGAATCTATCAGTTGATGCACAATCTAATTATAATGTAATGCCTTTCCAGACCCGAGACCCAACCGCAGTAGGAACAACATCCCAGATAGACTTGATTTAGAGCATGTACATTTTCATCCAGACAATCAAAAGAGATCCACTCCTTGCAAGTATATTCCACAGATGCCTCACAACACATGCTTTATTCAAAGTTCGAAAATCTCTTATCCCCAAACCTCCTTCAGTCTTTAGCATAACAATATATTTCCATGCAGCAAGAGCTTTAGTACGAGTATCTGAGTCCCCCGCACTCCATAAGAAATTATTGCAAATAGCTTCAATGTCTTTTAGAACAAATGCAGAAAGTAAGAAAATGTTCATACAAAACTACAAAACACTTGAAACATCAGAGGTGATAAGTTGAATTCTGCCAGCATTGCTTAAGGTCTTTGCTTCCCAACCTCTAATTCGAGAAGTAATCCTGTCAACAAGTACATTACAGTCTACCCTAGTCAGCTTACCAGAGAGAGATAAGAGGCATCGCTAGACATGTAACAAGTAAGGTGACAATAGGGAATCCAATATGTGTATGAATAAACTCCTCCCCCCCAAAAATATCGCCATTAAAAAGTTAACTCTTATCCAAATTAAACTTGAGACTAGAGATTTCATAAAAACTCATCAAGCATCCTTCTTACCCCCAGTTACAGCTCTGAAAGATTCATTGGTGAAAACCAATAAATCGTTAGCAAAACACAGATGATTTAACGCAAGTGATTTGCATCTTGGATGCAAGGAAATATGATTTTCAATGACTACTTTGTGCATTAAACAAGAAAATATCCATGGCAATGGTGAATATTTAAGGGGAGAAAGGATCTCCTTGTCTAAGCCCTTTATCATCAACAAAGTAACCACAAAGCCCCCCATTGAACAAGACACTAAACATTGGTGTTGTGACACATGTTTTAACCAGATCAACATAACTTGTAGGGAATCCCATAGCTAACATTACTTTGAACAAATATAATTAATTAACATAGTCAAATGCTTTCATTAGGTCAATTTTCACTACACATCTAGGGGTTACTGAAGTTTTATGAAAATCTTTGACCATCTCAGAGGCCATAAGAATATTATCATTGATAGAACGCCCCTTCACAAACTTATTGTGAGACACCAATGACCCTAGCTAACACCAAAGCTAACTTATTTGCTAGTAATTTTGAGATTCCTCATGTAGAACATTGCAGCATGCAATAGCCCAAAAATCCTTTATTCGCTCAACATTGGGTAACTTTGTAATTAGGGCAAGGATAGTGGAGTTTACCTCACAAGGTAGAGAACCATTCTAAAAAACCCTGAGAATAAAATCTTCAACATCCTGCCCAATCACCTCCCAATCAGTCTTATAAAAGTTTGCAGGGAGCCCATTCAAACCAGGTGCCTTATCTAGAGCCATTGAGAATAACACAAACTTAATCTCCTCTCTTGTAACATGCCTAAGTAAAATACCAATGTCTTCAGGTAAAAGATTCTGTCTCAGGATCCTTTCATAATAACAAAGTGTTATGTCCTCAACTTCAGTATTCAGTTCCCCTAAAAGCTTTTTGTAAAAATGAAAAATCAAGAGCAATCTGACCCATAGGGGTTATCTCTGCAACACTCTCCCCAGTCTCAGAGTTAATGTGATCAATAGTCTATTTCTTTGCCCTAACCTTAACGTATCGATGAAAAAAATTAGTATTAGAGTCACCCTCCCCAATCCAATGAACCTTGGATTTCTGGCGATAGATACCCTCTTCAGCAGCTTGTACCAAGGCACAAGAGACTGCTTTTGCCTTCTGACACGGTGAAACACAACACCAAACTGCGACCAAGTGTAATCGCAGTCCGGGAATGCAGTAAAGTGGCAAGTTCTAAATATCAACCCGGGGTCTAGATCTACTGCCTACTCCGTGATTATCTATTATCTAGCCAACTAAGTCGATTGATTGTTGTTTTAACTGAAAGCAGAAAGAAAGCAGGAATTGGTTCGGTTTTCTCAAGCAAAGGAAGAGTCACTCGGGAATGAGTCCCCCTAGATCCTTAGTTAGGTCTCAATTGTAATTACCCTGGGTTGATTTACTGTTGATTAGACTGCGGAAGATCCGACAGTAGCTTGGAATCTCTTAAGCTGACCAAGCCCTCTCAGTCTAACTACCCGGCAGACGACTAGTCTTCACCGGGATAGAAAGCTGAAGCAATAAGCACAGAACTCCACTACCGGAATTGGATTCCAGTACAAAGCAGTAGACTGACTAACTCTCGTATAGCCAATCTCCTACTACCGAATGAAGAAGCTCTAACAACCTAATCAGATTCTATCTATCTCAGGTTGCAACAGAAATCAAAAAAAGCTGATCAGACTTCAATCAATTCAATGAATCATGCATCATTCGATTAAAACCAAACAGTATAATCATCTCAAGTCATTACAATCAAATCTCTAACACATGGAACTAGGGTTCTTCATACCCAAGTGAGAGAAGGGTTCTACTCCATAGAGAGAGAGAGAGAGAGGAAAACAGAAATCAGAGTAGTCATACTCATAAAGATGAGGAAAATCTGCTCTGGGATGTCAATCTTCACTCCTGGGGACGCAATCTGGGCTTCAATGGTGAGAAATCCACTCCAAATAGCTCATAGGGTTTGTTCTTAGCCCTTTCTCTCTCTAAAACTCTGTTTTTGCTCTCAAAAGTCGATCCCCTCACTTGTGGCTCGAAATTGGGTAAAAACCAGAATTCCCGACTCACACCGGCAGGCCACACGGCCGTGTGGCTTACCCAGATGCCCGTGTGAGAGACAAAACGCCGCGTTCCGAGTAATTGGATTTCAGGCTTCCTACACGGCCAGGGACACACAGCCGTGTGGCATGCCCAGTCTGCCCGTGTGAAGCCTCGCAGAATTCCACACGGCCACATTGATTTCCTACACGACCGTGTGGGTTTTATGGGTGCCCGTGTGGCTTCCTCAGGGACTCGCCAGACGTCCGATCTTCGTCCAATCGACCGCGAACTCGCTCCCAAACCTTTATTCACGTACTAGGACCTGAAATATCACAAACAAGCACAACCTAGCATGAAATCGGCCTAAAACACGAGGATCAACATTTCAAACGGCTCAGGAATAGGGATAAAAACATGTGCAATTAACGTTTTATCACCTTCTTATCTGCAACATTATCTCTAGTAGGATTAATAAGGACTATGGATCGGGCTTCAGCTAGTAGGACTTCAGCTTCTCTAGCTCTGCCTGAGATATCAGAATACTGCTCTCCAATGAGAGTCCTGAGACTTTCTTTGAGTTTTCTTTCTTGAGTTGCAATACTTCTGAAGGGATCAGAGGCATTTGAGTGACTACTCCAGGTGTGCAAAGCAGACTTTGATAATGAGGGTGAGATATGCAAAACTTAAATAAATTAAATGTTTTAGGAAGACTTTTCAACATAGAAGTAATATTAATAAGAATCCCACAATGATCTGGTACACCAAGGTTAATGGTTTTAGCTATGCTAGATTTATAGACATCCAACCAACGATCATTCACTAACACTCTATCAATACGCTTGGCAATAGGGTTGTCATCTTGTTATTCTACCAAGTGTACCATGACCCCATGTCCTTATAGTCCACCAATCGCATGCCATCAATCCAATCTCTAAAATCCATCATACTCTTGTCACAACAACAACATTAGAGGCATCCTTAATTTCTTCAATCGCAGTGAAGTCCCCTATGACTACCCAAGGCAAATGATCAGTTTTGTAAATGGAAAAATCCCAATAGATAAGTAACTTTTGAGCATCTTCATTAGAACTGTACACAGTAGTAACCAAAAACTCTTCCATACCCCTAAAAACTCTTAGATGAAAGAAATTTTCTCCAGACTCTAACAAAGTAACTATAATACGACTTCTCCAAAGAAACCACACTTGACCTGAAGAAGACTTGTCATAATTATGTAAATGTCCTCACTCTTCAAACTGACCTTTAACTATGGATTTGGAATTCTTATAAGACACTCCACTTTCTAGTATTGCAACTAAATCTACCTTATTCTTAAGTAACTGAGTATCCACATATCTATGTTTCTTAGTGGAAGGAACCTTTACTTAAGATTTCATGGCGAACTTCATTACAAACTTTCCTTTATTACTAGCCTTCTAAATTTCTTCAACTAAGCATCAATATCATTCAAGTCATCTGAATTCTCTTGAGGCCGAGAAACATCTTTGGTACTACTTGAAGAAGCCACATTAGATCTCAATAACAAACTTTGGGAAATCACATGGAACCCAACTTTAGTTGCCAATTCAACACCAATAGTATATGTATTAGTAACATCATCAGGAGCTCTGGTTGGTTCCTTAACCCCTGCTGGAGCTTTATATACCCACACCATTTATGTTTCTTCTGCAACCTTGCATTTAGACCCATGCCCAATGTTGTGCCCAAACATCTGGCACTGCTGACACCTAGGAGGAACCCTCATATATTCAATCAATAAAGAAAACTCCACCTCCCCTTCAGGACGAACTTTAATCTCTTCATGAAATGAGACATCCACCCTCAATTCCACACATAGGTTAGCCGCCCCAACTTAAGTCCTGAATTGATAGCTTAGTCAATCCATAACGAAACTCCCAAAACACTTGCAATTTGGCTCAATCATTCGACAGTATGGTACTCAAGAGGAATACCTTAGATCCTTACCCAAATTGGCAAAGAAGCTAGTTGAATATCTAACGGTTGAATCACAGGGGTCCAACGACGAAGAACACACATAAATGTTTGGCAATGCCATGGCCCCCTTCCAAATACACAGATACTCGTAGCAAGATCCGGGAACTAAAACAGAAACATTGACCCACAAAACCTAGAAAAATGAATCAGACCCTCCTTTCCCCACATACTGTTTGCCTAGGACTGGATCATTGAAAACGCCAACGGCTATGAGTGGAATTTACCCTCTAGTTTTTTCTCGCCATCGCACAACTACTTCTTCTAGAATAGCTCGGGGAATTTTTCCACATATTGTTTTCCCATGGAAATAACGTAATATGTTGCCTTCATCAACACCAAATAACTGAGCCCACCAATTTGGTCGATCTTCCCCGGTGGAGGCGGCCATCCTTCCATCGACGATCAAAATCACAAATAAGAGAGAGAGAGAGAGAGAGAGAGAGAGAGAGAGAGAGAGAGAAGAGAGAGAGAGGGAGGGCAAAGTGGAGGTAAGCTATTTTGAAATTCCATATTACTGAAATTTTATTCCAAAAGTAACCTTGCTATATTTATTATAATGTCATGTGATCCTCTTGGTCTCCCAGTGGTATCGTCCCCCCCCATCATTGTTGTCATCCAGGAGGAGGCCGAAGAAGGAAGAGAGAGCATTATCTGTCGCCTGCTACACTGCATCGTTTCTGCGAAGAAGAAGAAGAAGGCGGATGAATCCCACCAGCGACCCCTGTGGAGAAGAAGGAAAGGAGAAGACGACTGATCCGCCACCGACCCAATCTCGTCGACGTGCCCATGTAGTTTTTTGTTGCTTTTGTGTGATGTTGGCCGGACGGGTTGAAACCCCATCGCCGACGAGCTTGAAACAGGTTGCTGACCTGTCGCAAGCTCGCCAGCAACTGGTTTTCAACATGTCCGTCACTTGTCTTGGTTCGTGGAAGAAATCCGTCCGACTTAGCTGAAGGATGGGCTCCCAGCTCGTCCGAGGCAAAGGCGGGCAGGTGGTAAGAGTAACTAAAAGCATAGTTAGGGCGACGAATAAGGATCTTTACGGCGACGAATAGCAACCTCCTTTATTTGGGTTGGTTGGGTTTGCTCCATTTCAAATTTCCTGCAACTAGAGTGAAAGTAGGAAGGATATTTTTGTCTTCACATTATTTAGTTATTTATTTCATATTAAAATTGTTAGTATAAGAATTTGAACCATATTTTCGAACAAAGACAATAATATAACCAATTATACTAAATAAATTTGTTGTATCTTTTTTTAATACATAACACACGAATTTAAATTCTAAAAAGGATAGGACTTTTCCATCATGGTTAGCTAGCCCACTAAGTTTCATGTAAGTATTTTTTATGGTTCTTTATACTTATATTTCATATTTTAGACTTTTCATAACTTATAAATGAAGAATAATCTTAAAGTTTCAACCCAAATATCGTTGGTTGTATTATTTCATATCCAATTGCAGTATTTAATATGCATATGAGATGTAAATTTTTTTAAATAGTATTAATTTTTATAGGTTGGATGTAAACAATCTCACTTCATTTTTCATAAGTTTTCATGATCAATAACGACACAAGAACACTGATACAGTTATTTCAAGAAAAGATACATGATAAATATTGATATAACCTATCTCGACAAAACTATGCTAAAATTTTATTTGTTTGATTATTAAATTTAACTGATCATTTAATCAAATCAAGCAAATAATTCACGATTGTGTATAAACAAAAACCAAAAATTATTTTATTATGAACAATGTAGGATGGAAATTACCAGTTGATGTTGCCCATAGAAATATATTTACCCTTTTACAAATGATAACACTAGAAATAGATTTGAAACCAACAAAGGGATATAGTTAAGAAAATTTATAGATCATATTATTTAGTGTCTAAAATTAATTATTTTTACAAATAAGTATTGAAAATATCAGAATCGCTATTCGTAACCCTAAAATTTGAATTTAATTGCCCTAAACCATATCAAAATGGCACATTCACTCCTAGCCCCAGTTCTAACCTAAACCCTAGAAACATACAATCACTTCCTTCCTAGCCTACCCAAATCTAACTCCTCACCTCATCTTCTGGGGAAAAATCACCGCCTAACTAATGATACTTTATTTTATAGTGTTTGTCACTCCCATTTTTTATACATTTTTCTCTTCTATCAAAACATCTTTAGTCATTTCAATTGTAAGTATCTTTGTTTTCGGAACCAGACCAGACTCTAAACCGGAAAAAGTTAGTGATTTAGGGTTCAATGGTTCATCATTGACACAACCGTTCATTATATATAACATATAAGAGTTGTATAATACACTAATTTAAGAATGAAGTTATTACTGACCATAAACAATTTGAAATTCATATCATCACCAAAATATTATATAAATCATTCAAACCGTCTTACAAAAGAAATCATAACTTGTTAATTCAAGTCAAAAATTATGGTGCTAGTCGGTAGTAAACAATGTAAAATTAACGAGGTTGGAAAATGAGAAGAGAAAGCACAAATAAAATTAATAATTCTAGTTTGTTGGCTTAGTTTTTGTTAAAGTATTTAAAAAAAACTTGTGGTTAAAATAGCGAACTAGTGGGCCAGTTGAACCGTGGCGGTTCATCTGATTTTTTGTTGAACCTTGAAAAAGTAGTTGGTCCATCAATAACTATCCAAACAATGGACCAGACTGCTATCATAACTTATTTTACAGTTATACTAGCTCAGCTATTGATCCATTTCGGTTCTTCTAACAATGGTATTTCTTGTCTAAATCACAAATATTTGGTCAATGAGCTTTTAATGGACTTGGGCAATGTTCTTGTATTTTTTTAAGCCTTCTTGGTATTTTTTTTTATGGATTTGAAGGTACAAAGAAACCTAAGAATGATTGGATCAAGGAGTGAAGAACTCTGGTGGACCAAATGAGCTATAAAGAGAGGATTAAAGAGCTTTCGTGAGAAAAAGGTGGTCCAATGACGCTGAAGTCAACTAAAAATTATATTATTTCAAGACAAGCCCATAGGAAGAAGACTCAGCCAAATATAAATAAAGAAAGAGCGGTGATGATAACACCCAAATTGGTGTTACTTACCCTTCATGTCTAGGTTTGTTTCGTGCTAATTCATGTGCATAATCGTTAGAATAGCGTCAAATGCATCCCTATTCCGCTCTTATTATATTATGATGTGATTTTAGGGTGATTTAGATAATACATGCGAATTAGGTACGAAAAGGGGCACAAATGTAGAAAAATGGGCAGAAGGTTGACGATCACGGCCTGGAGATGGAGATCACGGCCGAGAACATTGACTGCTAACTCAAGATGAAGATAGCGGCCTTAGAGCCCAAGATCGTTGCCACGAATCTGGAGGCTTCGAGCGCGAACTCCGCGAAGAAGGAAGCTGAGGAGAAAGAAAGAGTTTCCCCACAACTCATGGATCACGACCGACCGACCGCTTCTCGCTTGAAGGCCAAAACGGCGGCGGCGACAGATCGCGACCGTGATCTTCACACTACCTTGCCGTGAACTTGTCCGTCCTCTGAAGGCTATAAATACAAGACCCTCTTTCCCCATTTAGGAGAGCTGATTTTGAGAGAGAAATTTCTTGTTAGAGTGAGAGAGAAGAGAGAGAAGCTAAAGGAAGGAGAAAAGCAGAAGAAGGAGGATGAGCTAGAAGAGAGGAGACATCTTCCTAACATCAAATCTTCCCCAATTTCTTCTATGTATCTTCTACCCTCCTCTATGGAGTAGTCTTCTAACGTACTAGGGGTTCTAAACCCCAAACTCTAGTTTTAGGGCTATTATGTAATGTGAATATTTTAGAATTTTGAATAGTTGATTTCATTGCTTCTCTAGCTTTAATTATGTTTGGGTAAGTCGCCATAATTTTCTTTACTAGCCTACTTGAGCTTCAACGCTGGGTATGGAGTCTTAGGTTTAGACGGGCGGGTATGCGCCATCAAGCAAATTAGGTTAGATGGATGAATAGGATCTTATGGTGGACGAGGCGACCGTACCCCTGCCATAGGAATGCATTCCTAGATAGACCCGGGATGAAACCTCGGTGTGGATGGTGGGTAGTACCCATTGAACTGAGCTATGTTCTTAACACCCCATATATGATAGCCTAGATCGAGGTGACTGACATGGGTTTAGGGGAGGTGTACTCGGAGGCGTGTGGATAACCACGAAAGCCCACGGAAAAGAGCTCACTCACCACATTCGTTAAACCCAACTTATTTATACATTGCATAGTAGATCTAGGCTAGGGTGAGGGATAGTTCCCCGAAGTACCTCCTTTTATCCTTATTTATTCTCTCTACTAGTTATTTCTCTTGAATCCTCCATCACAAACCCTTAAACCGATCAGCTAGATAACAACAACATGAGAAGTAGACTAGGGTACCAGGACCCGAGTGAATACGACCTTGATTGCCACTATATGAAAATGCCACTCAAGGTTAAACTTGGCCTAGGATGAGGTAGTTATGAAACGTGCTAACTATTGACAATAACTTGCACAGACTGAATTAGTCAAACTTTTTGGCGCCGTTGCCGGGGAACCTCGGTAACTAGTAGAAAATCGTCGAGTTTTTAGTTTAACCTTTATTTATTGTTTTGTTTTTGTTTTTGTTATTTTCGTAGTTTTTATCATTTTGTGTTTTTATGTAACTTTGTGCATCACGGGTTGTCGAGTTTGTGTCTCGTAACACTTTTGTATGCAAAGAAGGGACTCTTTGGAGATAGTACCTCTTGATACATAAATTGAGAGAACCCTTCGAAATGTAAGAAGAGTTGTAAGACATCAATCTCCACCAATGGCGGATCAACAACAACAACCTAAAGTTCCACCAAGGCCTAGAACCATGGGATCCTACTATTGTCTAGCTAGGAATTAAGGACACATAGTCTCCAATACGATACCCTGCCCTAATAGGACAAGAGTGCGACATCACACTAGGTATGATTTCCATGATCAAGACCGATTATCAGTTCAAGGGGGCGAAGGATGAAATACCTCATCATCATGTGGAGGAATTCCTATTACTAACCGATGGGCTTAATGTGAATGAGGTTGTTAGGGAAATGGTTCGTTTGCACCTTTTTCCCTTTTCAATTGTTGGGGAATCCATGAAGTGGTTCATGAGCCAACCCCATCATTCCATCACTTCTTGGGAGGAGCTTTGTAACAAATATTTGAACAGATTCTACACCCCCTCCAAGACCGCAAGCATGCGAGCCATCATTAACACGTTCAAGTAAAAGGAGAAAGAAACCTTGGGAGAAGCATGGGAGAGATTCAATGTCCTGCTCTACAAATGTCCCCACCATGGTGACGAGTATTGGAGAAAGGTTGAGATTTTCTTTAAGTGAATGAAAAGCGAAGAGAAGCATCACATCTTGATAACAACCGGGGGGGGGGGGGAATTTGAAGAACAAGGAACCAGAGGATATTTTGAACCTCTTGCATGACATGGAAGAAAATAAACATGATTGGAAGGAGTTTCAAGAGGAAAAAGTTCGCGAGGATTTAAATTTTACCTTGCTTTCACCTAACCCGCCAGTGGATGACGAAACAAAGCAGTCACCAAAAATAATGGGGGGTCACAAGTGTCCTTCACTGCCCGGCCAGGGACAAGTCGAAGTCACTCTACATCCATTAATACAATCTAATGAGGAGAGATCATTGATCGAAGCAGAATTTGTCTTACCTATGCTACTCTTCTGGCTAGAATCACCCACCTGAAGCGACAATATGGAGACACTTCTAGAACATACAGACGACCTAGACATATGCATGGTACAACTCCAGGAAGCTGCAAAGGAAGAGTTATGACCGAACGAAGGTGGTAGAAGAACTTACGGAGACTGTTTTGACAAATCTCCATGAGTTGAAAAAAAATATAAGAAAGAAATGAAGTAGGACTTTAATACTTACAAGAGAAAATCTCTCAAATAACGCAACTAGTGGCGGGAAAGAAAACCAAAGGGGATAAGGAGACCACTTCTCCCTCACAAGAAAAAGCCAGAGAAACCGTTAACGTCGATCCACCAAGGATAGAAGCTCTAATAATTGGAGACGAATCTCGACCGCGGAACAAGATTTTGTCCGCGTCTTATCCTTCAAGGTTGAGGAAAAAAATTCTTATCCATCCAATGAATTTGCGGAGTTCCTAACTCTTTTGAAACAAATTCGGATCGATATCCCGTTCTTGGATGTTGTGACTCAGATTCCTAAATATGCAAGGCACTTGAAGAATTTTTTGACCTAGAAGGAGAAACTATGGGAGATTTCGACTGTTGGACTCAACAAAATGTGCTCAGTGGCACTTCAGAACAAGCTTCAAAGAAGAAGAACTATTCATGAGGTTTTACTATACCTTGCATGATTGGTGATGTTTTATTTAAGCATTCTGGAGGACTTATGGTATGAGAAATTTAGTTATGGTATATCTATTGGATTTGCAACTTGAAGCTCATTTCTTAAGAATCTTTATGATTTCCGCTTATGCAAGTTTCAAGAAATTCTTATTTGAATTTCAAAGAATTCAAAGAATTTAATAAAAACAATTAAGAAAAGTTTTCCACTTTTTCCGTTGATTATGGTTAACGGCTTACTACGGGTATTTTTGTAAAAATAGTGTTCGATCGAACTATGATGTTACAAAGATTTTGATTGGACTGAATTAACGAATTTTTAAATAGAGATGAAGGAATGATCATTTTGTTATTCGTTAAAATGTATAAAACTTTAAACGTATCATTTCCAGCCATTTAACTCCCCTTCCATGTATGCTCTGAAGTTATCCCTAATGTTGTAGTCCCATTCAGAGAATGGAAACGCACAACAACGTCGCTGAAACCAGCCACACACCATCCGATCTTTCCTGATGCGTGACTGCATTCCCTTCTCCCCTCTGCCCTTCTCCATCTCCAAAGTTCGAAACTTTGGGTTAAATGCGTCTTCTTCTGGGCGAGCGTCTCCACTTTTCCCCCCTTCCAATGCCCAGTTCAACTCAATACTCACAAGGGCCAGAACGCGCCGTAGGGTATGGGATTCCCAAGACGGCGACTTCTATGACGAATTAGGGTTTAAGCAGAAGGGGAAGCAAGGATTGGAGTTTCAGTCCATACGTGACCAATATTCGACGAGACAAGGCTATGAAGCAAATTTGGAGTTAGTTGAACTCAAGGGCGAGGGAGGAAGGAGCCAGCAGAATTGGGAAGAAGGCGAAGAAATTATTGGAGCTGGGGATGATGGAATTGGAAGCGAGACTGAGAGGCGGATGATTGGTGGAAGAGTGAAATTGGGACGACGATGGCAAGTGTTAAAGAGATCGAGTGTGCTGGCCAAGCAAGTGATCAGCATCACTACTGCTCTTAGCTTAGGGTTCATATCCCAGCTCTGGGTGGACACTACCAACGCAAGTCTCCAATTCTTATATCTCTTAATTCCCGTTATGTTCGGTTAGCTTGTTAATATCCTGCAAATTTGTGTAGTGGGTGGTCGTGGTTGTGGAAGTCCGACCAAATTTGCTCTCTGGAGAATCAGAAATGTTTCTTCTCCAAGACATTTGCCAGGTGAAGATTCTTCTCTAGGCCCTTTCAATGTTCTGGCATAGTCAATGGAACTGGATAAGTAGAATCAGATGTTAGTCAAACAAACCCTAAGCATCCGGTTTTCTTTTAGATGGATGGTAGTGTTTGAAATTGCAAATTGCTGGTCCAAAACAAATTGGGATTAAAGTGCAAGTCTTGACAGGTTGGTGATGTTGTGCTGGTGGAGGACGGAAATATATTGGAGAATGAGTTCAGTATACTTGGCCTTGAAACCTTGGTATGTATTTTTGCTTGCCAGAGCCAAATTCTGTTTGCACTGGTATGATGTACGTTTGCAGATGTTGGAAAACGTTAATTTTGTTCCTCAAACCTGTTCCCTTGCTCGTTTACTGATAATTTCCATGATTTGCTTACAAGATCTCACACGGATAAACGTTGGTGCTTTTCTTAGGTCGGATATCAAGTTGTGACACCTAGTCAGCGAAACATCGGGAAGGTGATTTCATAAAGAACCATCATCCTCCTGCTATTTTTTGTCGTCGATCCAGCATTGTCCTGTAAGTGATATTTCTTTTACCCCTCGCCTAGGTACGGGGATTCTCTTTCAACATCAATTCTGGCACCGTGGAGTCACTCGAGCTCGATTCATTTGGGATCTCCATCATTCCGTCTAGTTTGGTTGGTCTCATTGATCTTTTCACTTCTCTCAAGTACACGCCATAAAACCACCCGCTTTTTGCCTGATTTAGAAATTAGGGATATGGCTGGATGTGAAAGGGTTTTTTTTCTTCTTCTTCAATAGCTTGTGCTAAAATGCAAGCATACAACAAAATGATCTCAGGCAGGCACAAACGGTGTTTCCATTTTGTAACTTCAGGTGAGTACATATACTTTGCTTGCCGAGGATGTAGTTGAAGTATTCCCCGACACAATTATTGTCGACGAAGCTGCAGCATCTCGAATTCAAAGGCTAACAAAGGTGATCATCGCTCGCTGTTGGTTAGTTGTTCTTGGTTGCATCTAAATGTTGTGTCTGCAAACCTCGGGCAGGGATTGTGGGACGCTCGGCCTGTGGATGATTATGCAGAGGAAGTGGGAGAATTTCCGGATGATGAAAATGGTTTGAAAATCCCTGCTGGCAGTGGGAGGAGGGCAAGGTCAAGGAGAAGATCAAAGAGCAAGAGATTCCAGCAGGAGATGAGAGAGGACGACTGGGAGCTGCCAATGGACTATCTATGACTATGAACATTGTTTGGCTTTGTATCAGGTTTAGAATCTTGTAAGCATTGTTTGTTGCTGCAGATATACGCCTGAGGAACCCTAGCTAATTTGCACATAAGATCAAAATTCAGTTGCAATCAAGAGAATTAGCGGGAAAGAAAAGAAGGCCCAAAAGAACACTACTTGATGCTATCGCCATGGTTCCGACGGCTAGGTCAACCTTCTGTACTATTTTCTTGAGCAAATAAATAAATAAACTTTGTTTTGTTTTGTACTATGGGCCCTTACGTCACTGTTTGATTAATTTCCCTTCCCCTTGGTATATAAAGTATGAAATAAAGTAAGTGTAGCCGTTAGCGCATGTTCCCATTCGAATTCGAACTTCTCTCTGCCCCCATTATCTTCCCTCCTTCCCATTTGCTTTCCACATTTCCATTCTCCGGTATCACCCAAGTCCAGAGAAAAATGCAATTCCTCCAGTCTCCAGTCACCGGAAACCAGAAGTCAAGGCTAAACAGTGGCCGGAAGCCTCTGCAACCCAAGAACTCGGAGCCGGTCCAGATCTCCACTAAGCCACTCCCATTGTTGCCAGATTTGAGGAAGGTCAACGTCTGTGTTTCTAGCGGCAGGGGTAAGGAGAACCAGAATCTGGGTCTGGTTTATGACACCCCTCCAGCGAGTAAAAAGCTCATCCAGCAGCCATCCATCCCGCCCATCGACTCATCCCTGGCGGAGGAGCTGAGCGCGATGCGGAAGAGAATGGAGCGGCTGAGGTCGGACAGAGAGAAGACGGAGAAGATGCTCAAGGAGAGAGATAGGGTGCTGGATTTGCAGATGAAGGAAATGGAAGCGAGGGCAGAAGCGCAGATGACGATGGAGATGGAGGTGGATCGACTCTTTCGATTGAAGGAGCTTCACACTTGCTCCATGGTAACTAATCCCCACTCTACTTGGTTACTCTTTTTTCTGATAATTGATGAATTTCAGCATATTGGCTGGTTAATACTTAATAATTACGATTTACAAACAGAAGATTTCGCCCCTTCGGTCGCTTAGAGACAAGGAGCAAGAGAGGAAGCTAAGTCGAAGATATGACGAGAAGAAGATGGTGGAAGAGGAACAAGGAAGCAGCGGATTGCAGCAGCGTGGGAATGACAGTCCATGCTGCTCCAGCACAAGCTCCAATTCCATTTCAACCCCAACCCAACAACAACTGGTTGATGCTGTCTAATTAATTAGTGTAACTATTCCTCAATGTTATTGTTATTCCATTCGATCAAGCCGCGCTTCTTGCGCACTGGGTTTATCGGCCTGTGTCTTCGTCTCAATGTTGAATTTGGAGGGTTCAGCTCGAATCTTTAATCGCCTAGAATTTCAAAGTTTGAAGCAACACGTTCTCTCATAAATGCGAGTTTTAAATTCATCCTTCCAGATAATTATTGTGCCGTCAACAATCTAAGAAAACTACTACCAGTGGGGAGGAATTTCAATATGTTGACAGCCATCCAGTCCTAAAATGCAATCCAAACAACAAAGATATCCAGAATTCGATGTTTCTTCACTATACGGACTCGCTAGTAGCTACAAAGGACAGCTTTCAGCCTCTAAGACCTCTAAGCACACCATTAGAAGTACACATCACCAGCGCTATGTTGCTCCGATTAGTTAGAATAATTAAGCCGTAAGTAACCAAAAAACAGCAACACTGTTCCTTACGAAAAACACACTAATTACCATAAGAGTATTCTGAATCACTGTTCATCCGTGTAATTTTTCGCCTGTGGCAGATCTATGCTATCTCCCATAATCCCGTGTGCGGCAAACCAAGTAATTAACCGTTGCTAAATTTCTGTTCGCCCGATGGCCAAAGAAATAGAGAGAGACAAAGGGAAAAGCATCTGTAATTGCTGCTGAGAATTGAGAGAGAGCTTCCTCTCCCATCTCTTCTCCTTTCTCTCTTGTTTGGTTTTCCGTCCTTTCCCTCCGACGACGACTTGCGGATACAAGAGAAGAAGAGGATGGTGGCTACATTCCAAATTTGCTGGGTCGAAGATGTCTTTTTCCCCCTCTCCCAAACTAGCTACAAACGCCAATCAGGGGAAATCGAAACCCCTAGGCCGCAATTTTTCACCGCCATAGCAGTTTTGATCTTGATGATCATCGCCTTCCAAATCAAGTTGGGCCTAGAGTCCATCTTATTGTAGCATCCAGAACACGTCCTTTCACCTTCTCCCGTATCTACATCTTCCCGGGAGGTGGCTAATTGAGTACGGCGAAAATAGACTGCTGAAGCCACGCTCTGCTTAATTGGAAGAAGGTAATCATAAGTCCCTTTTTCCCTTTATAACATAGAAATTCGAGCACTCTGATTTGTTGCTGATGGAATTGGCTAATCAGAAGAAGAGGGTACATTGCATTCATTGATGAGTTCAATTGCATGCAACATACCTTCTTTGTTTCATCGTTCAACATCATGCTGCAGTGAAGATGAAGGTTGAGGAGATGACGTCGTTGAAAGGTAATCCAAAGAAAGATGCATAGAGAATTGCATGATGATGGAAAATAAACTTCTGAATTCGATCTCAATATAAGAGATGAATGGACAAACTACACATGATTTAAGAGAATTGCATGTGATATCTTGTTGAAGAAGCATAGAAGAGAAACTGCTGGTTGGAGAAAGGATTATAACTGTTTTTACTCATTTTCTTCTTGCACGCAAAGCATAAAAATGGAGGATCTGGTTTTACTAATAGCATTATTGTCCTTCTTATGTGCATGTGCTACACGTTGCAACAAATGAATGCCACTTGACACCTCCATTAATATTTTTATTGTTTTTATGAGTCAATATCATGGTTGTCAAACCGGTTTATACTGTCGTGTCGATTTAATAAGTGGTATTCCGAGTAACCGACCTATGTCAGTTTAACAAAATATGTAAAATTGTAACAAATTAATAATATCAAATGAATAAACATATATAAAACATATTTGAAGGAAATCTACTTAGAATATACATTCATATGTAAATAAAATACATTATTTCAAAAAAATAACAAATACTCATATTTAAAAACAATATTTACCGTCAATAGTTAAACGTTTATACTTGATACCAACAAACAACATCAATATTTAACTTTCATATTTTTTAGATAAATCACAAATTTTGTTGTTGATTAACTTGACTAAAATGAAGTAATTTTGTTTAGAGACTGCAACTCGATCATATCAATTATATTGGTGGTATTCCAACCGATTTCATGACCAACGCCGATTATATTAGGTTCAACCGATACGTATTCCACCTACGTCACAATATCACTAATTAATATTGAATGCTCTAGCTACTTCCTTTGGGTAGTGTTTTTTTAAACTTTTTTCATTTCTATCTCAATGTATGAGATTTTGCTTCATATGAGTTAGTGAATTGCACATATCGATGGTTCCATCATCCTTTAAGCAAAATCAAAGGTATACCTTGAATAAGAAAATGATTTATAAACCTTAAATTGGGATATAGTACTGTACAATACTCCTTAAAGATTAAATCTGAGCCCTAATTCTATAAATCTCATACACTAAGATCAATTTGATTACTCAAAACAATCAATGGTCATGATTCGTCAAAATATATGCATCATTTTGAGGTTTAAGGTCTATGATGATTTAGATAACTAAGACCTAGGATTCACTCATGAAGAGTTAAGATATAGTATCATGTCCTAAAATCCGGTTAATTCAAGGTGTAGATTTCATTTTGTTACTCAAGATAGACTATACCTTTAATTTTACTCAAGGTACGATAAAAGTCACAATATATACAGCTTAATATCAATCAAACTCCTAATTTCCAATATCAAATAATAGTGGAAATCAATTGTAATTTTTAGCTTGAGAATATTTTGAATTTCAAAATTAGTTTTGAATTTTTTTGATAACGTATCTGTATAAATCCAATTTATAATCAATTACTTTCATTATTAATCAAATGTGATTATTTTCACCATCCCTTTAAATGCGATAATAATTGTTTCATTTCGATAACACGAGTTAGTTTCGAATAATTTATCAATTCATTAATCAAATTTGAGTTGAGTCTCCATATTTCTGACTATGTGAAATATATTGGAAAAGATTGTCTATCCGCTGCGTAGGGGTGTAAGTTAGACCCTTAAAACCCCCCGACCCGCCCCGACCCTCAGGGTCGGGCTGGGTCAATTTGTCTACAGGGTCAATTTAGGGTCGGGTCAGCTTAGGGTCGGGTCAGGGTCAGATAGGGTCGGGTCAATTTAGGGTCGGGTCACTTTTTGACCCTATGACCCTAAGCATCATACAAACACGTTGGACCTATTTGTAAAATTTTAAAAGTTTAGGTACTAAATTGTAAAAATTAAAAAATTTGGGTACCAAAATGTAATTTTACCATCAAATTTTAGGGACTTATTTGTAAAAAAAATAAAATTTAGGTACTAAAATGTAAGAAAAAATAAATTCGGGTACCAAATTGTAATTTTTAGAAAAGTAGTCTATTTATTAGGGTCGACCCACTGACCCGACCCTTACTGACCCGCCCCGACCCTAAAGGGTCAGACAGGGTCATGAAAGAAACAGGGTCGGGGCGGGTCAGTTATACATCTTGACCCTTCAGGGGCGGGTCAGACAGGGTCAGTACAGGGTCAGGGGTGGGTCGGGCCAATTTTCAGCCCTACCGCTGCGAAGTGCGGGCCACATAACTAGTATTAATATTAGTATCATCATTTCAATGGCAACAAGACAATGCTGCTCCGTGTCTATGCAATCTATCCTCGCTCGAAGAATTGCCTCGTTAGAGTAGTCTGCTCGAACAATCATCGGTTATTCCCTGTACAGCTTACAACACAGAGACAGATAACCGTAAATTACTACTGTGATGTCAATGAAACAGATTCTAATCATAACAAATTAATTAACAACGCTGCCTACCTCTGCTATGCAATTTTTACCAACCTATGCTCTCTTCAAAAAGAAGAAGTAGAGAGAAGGAAAGGCAAACAATCCCCATAAAACAGATGAAGGTTCTAACAAAACTTCCAGCGGTTGCTGCAGTTTACACATGTTACGTACGTAGTCATGGGCTCATCAGCGCTCCTAGTCTGCATCTGGTAGTAAGTACACTTCTTTTGACGACACCGCCCGCACCTGAATTGATCGGTCGTGGCCTGTGGCGGGCCACCACGCTCACACTCGAACAGAGCTTTGTCTCTCATCTGCTTATTCTCCATCTGCCTCTCTTCACTCGCCATTTCTTCAGGGGTCATTGTCATGAGCCTCTCCGGGTTAATTTGACCCAGCAGCACTTTCCTCCTCAAATCTGGGTTTTTAGGATCCTTGATGTTGAACATGATGGATCTGTACTTCAACTTCTGGCCCCCATTTGACTTCCCCAACTTGTCAAACATTGCAGATTCCACTGAGACAGCAACTCGGATGGGATCTCGTGCACCTACTTCCCGCATAAGATCATCATCATCATCAACCTCCCCAGCGACCTTTGCTAGAGCTTCGGCAAGAAGTTCGCGGACTTTGTCCCTCATGGGATCATTGCATCTTACTAGAGAACTGAGCTTTGGAGGAGCAATAGCTGCTGGCCGTGGCGGTTTCTTTGCATGGTAAGATTTTATCTCCTCCTTCACTATTGTCTTCTCGACTTTAACAATGTCTGGTCCAGCCCTGTTCTCGACTTTGATTGCTCCATTGGAGGATGACTTTGCTTTCTCGACTTTCACTGCTCCATTGGTTGATGTTTTTTCTACTTTTACAGCGCTTGCAGTTGGAGATTTTTCAGCTTGTTTCCTTTTAGTAGTCTCATTCACAACCAACTGTTTCCAACTCTCAAGCAAGTCACTGGCCACGGTTTGGACCTGATCTACTGGATGCTTGGTTAGAGCTCGCAGCCGTTTCCCAACCTAAAACACATTAAGGTGGTAGTTAGAAACAAGTACAATCAAAAGGCATTACCACTCATTTCTAGAGCAACTTCAACATGGGTAGTCAGCAGAGAAAGGAGGCATGAAGGTATGAGGTGGGCAGGGAAGAGTAGTCAAAAAGGAAACAGCCAAAGAGAATAAAAGCAATAAAGCTATTAGGAGAGAGGGGACTGGGGACGGAGGGAAGAGGAGCAGAGAGCATAAGAAAGTTCATGACGTTGCTTTCTTCAAAGCAGAAGTAGCATCTCAACCAAAGAGGTGAGCAACTGCGTCATCATTCAGAACTATGTACAAGTCTTAACTCTGATTGGATACAGATTACTAGACTAGTCATGCTTAAGCCGGGAGACCCTAGCTCCCTACATAAGCAAAGTATTCAGTCACAAGAAAGCTAAAGCGAAAGAACATTCTTTTCGACGGGTTGTGTGAAACTGAGAGGTGCTACCAGTCCCAGAAAAAGCTGCAATTTATGGTATGAACTAGATTGATACCGTACACTAGCTTGTAGATGGTAAAATTGGAAGCATTCTATTATGAGACATATAATTCCTGGAAATAAACATAAAAGGATAAACAACCTGTTTGGAAGAAAAGAAAAGAAAAGGGCATCTGAAACGTCCTTACGATGAACAGTGAAGAAATTGACAGTTTTGAGATTATGAACAAAGTCTAACCAATCTTACCCTTATCGCATATCCAACAGAGTTGAGGAAAACCCAAGAACAGAAGTTGGTTAACAAACAAACAAGGACACCATGAATTTGGTTTGGTGTATGAAATTTACAAAAGCCATCCAGAAATGGGAAACAACAAATTGAACAAAGAAGTTAAACTTTAAGGGGAAGGAGAAAGCAGAGAGTACGGACCTGAGAAGAGACGAGAATCTCGTAAGTAATTGGGTAATTACCGAGCTGTTTGAGGGCATCGACACATCGACCGACCTCCGGACCGTTGGAGGAAATGTCGTCGCCGACGGCGGCATCGCCAGCTTTCTTCGCAAACTCAAACAACTCGATCACCCCTACGTCCTCGGGGCTTAAACTAGGCATTTTCGTAAGTAATTGGCAGGGCCGAAATCACGAATTGCAGAATAACGGAACAGGCATCAATTAGTGGATCTCGTGCAACTACTGCAGGCCAAATCAATCTGCAGACATGGATTTCTCACCGATATGGAGAATCAATTTACTTGTCTATCTCTCTCAGCTTAGTCGTTCTCCGTGAATTGGAGTTGCAGAGGGTCGGAGTCTATCTTCTATCTCGTCTCTGCCTCAAATTTCTGCCTTTCTGAAGGAAGGGGTTGATACGGGGAAGAAGGCTCAAACGGCTGAGGTTTGAAGAAGCTACCGTCAAAATGATTTTTTGGATCCCGATCTATTCATCTCTTCTCTCTCTCTCTCTCTAGACCGGTAGCGATTCAGTTCGCCGGCGCTTCCGGCGTCGCGCGAAGGCTCTGATCAGTGGAGGGTTTCTAGCCCGGCTGTCTTCTTCTTCTCGTCTGAATCACCTCTTCTCTCCGAGCTTGAGATGTCCTCCATTGGTCAATCGTGGGCGGATTTATTCGGCATTGCTGAAGCAAATTGACTGGTTTATATTGAACCGGAGATCGTGGATGGAGGATTGAGGATCCCAGAGGAGCTTGTTCAGGAAGGTGAAGCCCGCTAGAAGAATAGCCTCGTCGGCCAATTTCTTCATACCTCTCCTTCTGTGAAGCAACTTCAGAGTTGGGCGAACAGACTTTGGGGGAAATCGGGCCTAGTTAGGGTTTCGCGATTCAGTGAGCAACTTTTTCTCTTCCAATTTCCGAATGCGAAAGCTGCGGATTGGGTCTTCACTAGTGGTCCGTGGCACTTCAATGATGATATGTGTTTCCTTCGATAGTGGTCAGCGGGGATCAGAGCGGTTAATTGCGATTCCACCATTCCTATCTGGGTATGTTTTCAAGATCTCCCTGTGGAGTTTGCCACTGGTAGGATTTTGACTCGAATGGCTAGTATGCTGGGGCGACCTTTGTGGTTTGATCAGTCGACTAGACTGGGTAGAAGAATGGGATTCCCTAAGGTTTGTGTTGAAATGTCTATAGACTCACCTTTCCCAGAGACTTTGAAGCTGGCTCCTGACCACAAACCAGCTTTCGTGGTAAATTTGGAGTATTTCAATAAGCCAATTGGTAGTCAGAAGTGCAAGGTGTTTGGGCATAAGTGTGAAGATGCAGGGTGTGAATTGGAAGAGGGTCAAGGAAGTCAGGGGAATGCAGAGGCTGGGGAAGTGGAAGCTGTTACTGGCAGTGCAGGTCAGGTGATTTTGGAATCCATTCTTACTTCAAGAGGTAAGGCTCAAGAATCTGCAGAATCAGCTTGTCAGATATTGAATCTAGCTGTAGCAAACCTGGTCAAATCCATTGAGCAGGGAGTGCTAACTGAATGGCAGAAAACTAGTGCCCTGGAATTGCCTACTGATAGTGAGTTGCAGACAGCTATGGTTGGGCAAACATGCTCTCCAACTGCTGAGGAGGGGGGTCCTATCACTCCTGTAGCTAATAGATTTCAGAGTTTAGCAGGTGAATCTTTGCAGTGGGAGAAATTGTAGTGAGTAGTCCTGTTCTTAGTAATCTGGATGATTTCCCTGCACTGGAAGGAGGGGGAAAGGGTAAGGGCAAACAAGGTAAGAAGGGGCCAGGTAGGCCTGCAAAACCAAAGCCTAAAAAATGAAGATACTCGCTTGGAATATTAGGGGATTTAATCACCCCGCCAAGCAGAGACAGATTTTGGAGGTAGTTAGTAAAGAAAATATAGATGTTTTTGGAGTCATTGAAACCAGGGTAAAGGAAGAGAAGTATAAAGAGATAGTGGATACAAAGTTTGACAGATGGGAGCATACTCATAACTATGAGTACTCAGCTTTGGGTCGGTTGTGGATTTTTTTGGAAAAAAGACTTGAATTTTACTATATTAGAGAAGTCAGAGCAGTTTATACATGGAGTGGTTAGAGGTGACAAGACTGTGAAGATTACTTTTGTGTATGGCTCAAACGATGAAGGCTCTAGAAGGAATATGTTTCATCATCCTGCTCTCAGGCCTGAGACCTTACCTTGGATTGTGTTAGGAGATTTCAACGCAATCCGCAATGTTAATGAAGCTTCAAATAACCCAGTTAACTCACAAAGTATGATTGACTTTGATGAGTGGATAACTAGTATGGAACTGGAGGAAAGTTCATTTGAGGGGCCTTGGTTTTCTTGGACTAACAAACAGGAGGGGAATCCCATTGCCAGGAGAATAGACAGAGTCCTAGTAAATTCTAGTTGGCTAACTTTGTTTCCCCACTATGCAGTTACCCTTCTCCCCCCAGGCTTTCGGATCACTGTGGTTTACTTATGAACACAGACATCCATATCTCTTCTCTACCAAAGCCTTTTAAGTATTTTAGCTGCTGGGAAACTCACCCTCAATACAAACATATTGTCAAAGATGCCTGGAATGCTCAGTTCAGAGGTACTCCCATGTTTGTAGTGTGTCAGAAGCTGAGAGAGGTCAAAAGACAGCTGAAGAGGCTAAATAGATCATCCTACTCAGAAATATCAGAAAGAGTTAGACTTGCAAAGTGTGAGGTGGAATGCCTACAGTTAGAAGCTCTCCTTCAACCATCTTCTGACTCTTTCCAAAGAGTCAATGAGTGTCAGTTCCTGCTTTCTAAACTGCTAAAGGAAGAAGAAATTTTCTACAGGCAAAAGTCTCGGCTTCTTTGGGTCAAGACTGGGGATCTAAATACATCATTCTTCCATAACTATGTGAAGGCTCGTCAGGCTCGATCAACCATTAAAAAAGTCATCTCAGAAGAAGGGGAAATCCTAACTGATACAAAGGATATGAGTGAAGAAGCGGTTAGGTTCTATAAGAACTTGCTGGTAACAAAAAATCATGAAGTGCAGAAAGTAAATAGTGAACTGCTATCTCACCTGTTGGTTCATTCTCTTAATCCTGAACAGGCAGAACCTCTTTGCTATCCAGTTACTAGAGATGAAATAAGGATGGCACTCTTCTCTATGAATGGAGAAAAATCTCCTGGACCAGATGGTTTCACAGCAGGGTTTTATCAGCATAACTGGGAGATTTTGGGGGATGACCTTACTGCTGCAATCTTGGATTTCTTCAGGACAGGGAAGCTCCTATCTGAGGTAAACTCCACCTATCTGGCCCTAATTCCTAAAGTTCAGAATGCTGATTGGATGAGACAATTTAGGCCCATATCCTGTTACAACATTCTATACAAATGTATAGCTAAGGTGCTTGCAAATAGACTGAAGGAAGTTCTACCTTCTCTTATAAGCCAGAACTAGTCAGCTTTTATAAAGGGCAGACTAATTAGTGATAATGTTCTTCTGGATCATGAAATGGTGAGACTGTATAATAGGAAATCCATTTCACCTAGATGTGCACTCAAGGTAGATGTGATGAAAGCCTTTGACAGTGTAGACCGGGGTTACCTAAAAACAGTTATGGAAGCTATGAGGTTTCCTCCTCAGTTTATAAATTGGATAGGGATTTTTCTGCAGAGTACAAAGCTTAGTGTTTGTTTTAATGGGGGACTATGTGGCTACTTTTCTGCTCAAAAAGGGTTGAGACAAGGGGACCCTCTTTCCCCCTATCTCTTCACCATAGCTATGGAGGTTCTGTCATGCATGTTAAATAGAGCATATGCTGTAAAATCTCTCCCACCTCACCCACAAACACACAGAATTGGTCTCTCCCACCTATGTTTTGCTGATGACCTTCTGGTCTTCACAAAAGGGACTCCTGAAGCTGTGGGGAAAGCAAAGGATATCCTGAATGCTTTCTATGCTATCTCTGGGTTAAAATGTAACCCTGCAAAAAGTGAAGTTTTCTGTGGTGGAGTTGATCAAAATGTTCAGGCTCTCATTTCCTCTAGTTCTGGTTTTGCTATTGGGCACCTTCCTGTGCGTTATCTAGGGATTCCTCTCATTGCAGGGAAATTGAGTAATGCAGACTGTTTAGCTTTGGTTGAAAGGATAACTGCTAGAATCAGGGGATGGAAGGTGAAAACCCTATCTTATGCTGGTAAATTGTAGCTCATTTCTGCTGTGATTTCTAGCATAACTCAGTATTGGATGGGGATTATTCAGCTTCCAGTTAAAGTGATTAGGATGATTGAGAAACACTGCTCTAATTTCTTATGGAGTGCAGAAGAAGATGGAAAGACAGCTAAGGTCTACTGGAAAGTGGTATCTAGACCTAAGAAGGAGGGGGGATTAGGTTTCAAGGATCTTAGGAGTTGGAATATGGCTTGCTTAGTAAGGCACCTCTGGGCCATCTCCTCTAACTCCTCTTCTCTATGGGCAACTTGGGTAAGACACTATCAACTTACCTACACATCTATTTGGGAGATACCTCTTTCTACTCCATGCTCCTGGGCTTGGAGAAAAGTATTGAAAGTAAGGCCAATAGTTGCTCAACATCTCAGGGTTCGATCTGCAAGAGTGTTTTGGGATGATAGTGTGATGGAGAAATACTCAGTCAAAAAAGTTTGGGAGTCACTTCGAGTTCAGCATGAGAGAGTTCACTGGTACTCGTTGGTCTGGAAATCTCTTGGTACTCCTAGAGATAAGATCATAGTCTGGCTAATCATTCTAAACAGAATTTCCACCCTGGATAAGGTGCAAAGATGGAATGCTTCAGTTGTTAATGTCTGCCCTATGTGCTCCACTATGGCAGAGTCACGAGATCATCTATTTTTTTGAATGTTCTTATTCTCAGCTTGTTATTCAGGCTGTTTTTGCAGGGAGAAATGTGGTGGGAGCGAACTGGGATGACTCGTTGACCATGGTTGTGACTCTCATTCAGACAAACTGTCCTGATTCTGATCGAGACAGGCTTTTGTGGGTGATGGTGGTGGCTGAGATTTTGAGGGAAAGGTGCAGGAGGGTAATGGCTGGGGAGGGGCTGACAGGGCCTCAACTAATTGAGAAGTTGAAAGGATTACTATTACTACTTAGAAAAGGGTTCCCTCAGATTGAGCTTGCTATCTCAGAGGGCTATATCACTAGTATAGAGTAGACAGATTGTTCTTCTTTTCTGGTTTTTTTGTAACAGGTGGTAGTTCCCAGTCTCTGGATGTTGTAATTGATGGGTACCAGTTAGGGGTTTTTTTCTCTGAAGCCCCTTTCTTGATGAATAAAACAACTTATTGATAAAAAAAAAAAAACAAGCTACCGTCGAAGGACATGAGATCGACGGTTGGTGATCGTTTTCCAGCTCCGTGATCGTTTCGTCCCTCTTTGGCTTTGCTCATTCATCTTCGGGGTACGACAGGGCCTCCGGAGGGCCGCCGTATTGCAGTTTAAGGAATGCACTCCGACTGTGGGTTTAGGTTATATAAAATAATAATAGCGCGGATTTTTCGACAAGGTTAGGCCCATCCATCTACACTTTGGTAGCTCACTTTTCCGGGTAAAATACTCTGGCAGGCTCAAGATAGAGCGAGTAACATTAGGATGAGTAACAATGAGTAACCAAATTAGGACCCTTCTTTTAAGTGGCTGCAAATCTAAGGGTGAAAAATTAAAGAAATTTATTTTCCCTAGTTTTCTTAATTGAATCATATCTTTTTCATTCTAACTCGGATTTCAATTTTTTTTGCACAGATGGAAGGAGTTCGTTGTGCTCTACAAAATGATATCCATTTTCAATATATTTTGAGATTTTTTTTTCATCCCTCTCGTTACCAACTCCATACCATATGGTATCTCCTTCGTTGTTTAGTCATTTTCAGAAATTTTTGCACAAAAGGAACGATTTAATCATGATCTATTGGATTTCAAAATTTTCTGGGGGAAAAAATTTCATACCTCTCGTTACCAACTCCATACCATACTATACCATCCTGGTATGAGGTGGTATTTTTCATACCATATGGTATTGATTGGTAATAACTGGCAAATTTTTTTGTTCAAAAAAAAAAAATCAAAGTGGATATCATTTTGAATCGTTACCAACTTCGTACCATACTATACCACCCTGGTATGAGGTGGTATTTTTCATAGTATGCTGTTATTTAATACCAGTCAATACCATATGGTATTGACTGGTGATAACTGGCAAATTTTTTTGTTCCAAAAAATATCCAAGTGGATATCATTTTGAAGAGCACAATTAATCTGATCTAACTTCGCAAAAAAAAAAATTAAATTCCGAGTTAAAACAAGTGAGAAATCGTTCGTGAAAGATTAAGGGAAAGAAAATTAATGATTTTTTCTGGGAGAGAGAAGGAGGCGCTGATGTGGCAGATTCTTATTGGGTTATGCATGGGGTTACTCACCACAAGGTTACTCATCGGATCTGCTCCCCTCCAGGTACCATTTAAGTTTGAGAATTGTTGGAGGTATACCATTTAAATTAGAATAGGGCATCGGGTGCCATTAATGCTCTTATATTGTGCTTCCGTCCATTTTTTCATCATTGACTAACAGTTATCAATAAATATTATTTATTGGCCACCTCAGCATAAGCCGTGGGTCCCGAACGGGGTCACTTTTTTCTTTCTCTGTCGGAGGACTGTGGATTCGATCTGAAAATCTTGAATCGACTGCTTCCTGAACTTCCTGAACTTACCTCTTCTTCCCGGTCTTCAAGACTTCAACACTCTCTAAATCTAGCATTTCCCCCTTAACAAACTCTAATCTCCACTTAGAAACCCCGTAGAGTTGCCTAGCCCCCCATTCATACTTATAGATGATAAGGAATCTTCTTAGATTAATTGCTTTCCATTTATTTAATGTAATTACTGCAGTAGTGGATGGGTTGTTACCCTCTTTGTAGCTACGTGAGTAGTGGTTCTGTTGTAGAGATTGGTATATTTAAACCAATCTCCTATTCAATACAAACTACCAATTCCAGCCAATTACATGGTATCAGAGCTAGGGCTCCGATTTCCTTAACCTATTCTCCTGAAAATCCGAATCAAAATTCTTTCTTCTCTATCTCTATCAAGTTCGTTCCTTTTTCCTGAATAATCTTCACTGTCATTCTTCTCTGCCTTTCCTCTTCTCCAAACATGTCTGGCGAAACAGTCATTAATCTCGACGAGGCCAACACCATCATCACGCTGAACCCGGCCTCTCAGCTACCCACCAAACTTAGCAGCGACAATTTTCCGACCTGGCGAGCCCAGCTTCTCACCCTTCTTCGTGGCCTCGACTTCCTCAAATTCCTGGATGGCACACATCCAGCTCCTACTGCTGATGCCCCTGTTGCTGATCATCGTCGCTGGTACAGACAAGATCAGTTACTCCTTCACTCCATTCTTGCATCGATGTCTCCCGGAGTTGCACCCTATGTTTCTGCCGCCACCAATTCTCGTCAGGCGTGGATGACTCGCTATGGCACAACTCCTAACAAAGGCCAAGTGTAACCAATGAGAGGGACTGCAGTATAGTGGCTCAAGTGATAAATATCGAATCCACGGGTCTCTAGAGTTACTATTACTCAGCTTCAGTTTATTATTTAGCAAACCAGACTAAGGTGAAAGAACTAAAACTACTCTAGCAAACTACAGTTAAAGTTAATCTAATTACAGGTTGGGAACTCACTTAGGTATGATTCCCCCTAGCCACTAGCCAGACTAACGATTGATGATTTCTAACTTGTTTCACTTTCATTCACAATGCGGAGAATCCTTGACTAGACCTTGAGTCTCGACTAAAGGAACAAGGCCCTCTTGAGTCATTTGCCTAGAGGGACGTATCCTTCTCTAGAACAACCGATCAAGGCGTTATGAACTAGATTCCCTCTATCGAATTAGGTTCTCAATCGATACAAAGCACTGAATCAATCCTCGACTAAAGCAATCGATCCACTACTATCAATCTATGGTGCTCTATTGACCTAATCAGGTATTCGCTCTCATAGGATCAAAGCAGAATTAATAATCTCGACTAAAGCAGAATTGAATCATGAAAACATGCATAGATTGAATATGAACTCAAGATTATCAAGTCAGAGTACTCATACAATCATCCAATCAAACAAACATAGCTAGGGTTCCTCAAAACCTAAGTGAAGGGAAGTTACTCCATAGAGAAGAGAGAGACTGCAGTAAGAATCTTCAGATGATCAGTCTTCAAGTCCGGGCTTGTTCCTCGATCTTCCAAGGCGAAGAAATCCTCCAATTCCACTCTTGGAATACCCTCAAATCGCCCTCTCTCGCTTTGGTTCGTTCCTTGGGTGTTTGGGATCCAAAACCCAACTCTCCCTTTCCTTTGGCCTCAATCTGCCTAAAAACCCCAATTATGGGCAAAACACGGTCGAGGACACGGCCGTGTTTCACTTTTGCCCGCCCGTGTTTTGCCCCCAGCAGCCCTAGTTGGCCAAAACAAGGTCGTGCCTAAATATGGACACGGTCGTGTTTTGATTTAGGCGCGCCCGTGTTTTTACTGCCGAACTTGTTCCCCTATATTCAATGCTTCGTTTCTCCCTCGTCCGGACTCCGAATCAGTCGCCATTTGATCCCAGATACTCGTAGTCTCGTCCTCTTTATTTTCATGACAAGCTTGCATGATTATTTGTCCATAAAGTGAGGTAGAAATCCATTCTTCTTCAGGTCATGCCCGAGTTTCTTCTCCCTAATCGCCAATTGATCTCTGATTGACTTGAAACTTGCGCCTATGCTTCACTTTATGTGCTAGGACCTGAAATGTGACAAAGTAATACAACCTATCTTAAAATAGGCCAAAGACGTGATAATTAAGCTCAAACGATCAAGAAACAAAGGGGAAAACATGTGCAAATATCGAGTCATCAGTGGACAATATTAGAACGTATGTTCGCCAATCAATCACGTCAACGCATCATCAATCTGAAAGAGAAACTTGGCAAAGAAGCTCAAGGAAACCGACTAGTATCGGTTTATCTACAGGCACAGCGCACAACTGCCGCTGAACTTGCCCTTATCAATGCGTCGGTTTCTGATGAGGATCTTATTCTTCATATTCTTCGTGGCCTTCGCGAGGAATACGGCCACCTCTCAGCTGCCATTCGAGCCAGGGACACTCCCATTGCTATTGAAGCTTCATGATCGGCTTGTGGACTTTGAAGCTGATCTGGTCACTATACGGCCTCCCAACCAGGCCCCTACTACAACCTTTTCTTCTGCTCGGGGTCGTAGTTATGGCCGCTCACCTGGTGTCGCTCGCCGCAACTCCCCAAACTATTCGTCCTATGGTTCTGATGCCTACCTTCCTCGCGATGACAGCCCTCGCCATTCGTGCGGTGCTCAATCCCATCGTGCATCTGCCGGTTATATGCCTGGTTCTGCTGCTCCGTCCCTCATTGGCAGGCCCCGCCTTCAATGTCAATTCTGTGATTGACCCGATCACTCCGCGAAAGACTGCTACCGCATCCGCGGGCGCCCCCAAGCTCGTCATACTACTGGCTCTTCTTCATCATCCGGGTGGTTGGTCGATTCTGCTGCTACAAATCACATGACCCCCGATCTTGGTAATCTCTCTCTATATACCAATTACAATGGTCCAGATGAAGTCCTCATCGCGATGGGTCAGGTCTGATTATTACCCATGTTGGCAACTCTCATTTATCATCTCCTATGACACGTTTGCATCTTCATAATGTTTTACGTGTGCCTGCTATCAAGCGTCGTCTCCTTTCTGTTGCCCAACTGTGTAAGTCTAACCCGGTGTCTGTGGAATTCTTTTCTGATTTTTTTTTTGTGAAGGATCTAGCCACGGGGGCGCACCTACTACGAGGCCAGAATAGAGGTGATGTTTATGAGCTGCCCGCAGATTCTCCTCCCGTTCGTCTTCCCTTAACCACTACTACCCGGCTCTCTTCTACGATCTGGCACAACCGGTTGGGACATCCCCATGCCAAGCTCCTTTCTCGCGTACTGCGTAATCAGTCTCTTCCAGTTATTTCTCCCACATGTTCTTCTTTGTGTGACTCTTGTTCTCTTCATAAAAGGCGAAAACTACCTTCCTCAGTTTCGAGTCTCACTAGTTCTCGTCCATTTGATTTGTTATATATGGATGTTAGGGGGCTTCTCCTATTGTTTCTCATGACAATTAGACCTATTATCTAGTCATTGTTTATCATTTTTCTCTATACACCTGGCTTTATCCTCTTCGTCGTAAATCTGATGTTCATCATGTTTTCACTACTTACAAAACAATGATCGAAAATTACTTTCATACCTCGATTCAGCGTATTTACAGTGATGGTGGTGGTGAATTCCAGAAACTATGTTCTTTCCTCCAAACACATGGCATTACTCACCTGTTACCTCCTCCACATACCCCTCAGCACAATGGCCTTGCCGAACGCAAACATAGACACATAGTCAAACCGATCTAGCCCTTTTGCATACTGCCAACCTCCCACTTCGTTACTGGTCTCATGCTTTTAAAACTGCTACCTATCTCATCAATCGCCTTCCCTCCTCTTCTCTCTGTGGCACCTCTCCATTCTATGCCTTGTTTAATGAAACTCCGAACTATTTCAAACTGCGGGTGTTCGGTTGTTTATGTTACCCATGGCTACGCCCCGACTCTGCCCACAAATTAGAACCTTGCTCCTGTCGCTGCATCTTCTTGGGTTACTCCGTCCCTCAAAGCGCCTATCATTGTTATGGTCCCATTACCCATCGCATCTACACGTCTCGCCATGTACAGTTCGACGAGACAGTTTTTCCTAGCCTATCTTCCCCGTCGGATCCTTCCTATGATCCGCCAACCTGGATTGCCACTACTACTCCCCCTGTCACTATTTATTCCCTCTCCCCTTCCCCCACCTTCTCATTCTTCTGTCCGGCCCATTCCTCCACTACCCAGCACGTCCGCGTCTCCACATCACCTCTCCTCCCCAGCGGCTACGCTCCCCAGTGCTTCCTCCTCCCAACAGAATCAACTACCTCCACCACCGGTTAAGCCTGCTCATCGCCCCATCACTCGCAGCCAGCACGGTATTTTTCGACCCAAGAAACTGTTTCACTCACAAGCTGTTACTCTGCCTATTGAGACTACCTCAGTCAAGCAAGCTCTTGCTGACCCAAGGTGTAATGCGGCAATGAGGGCCGAAATACAAGCTCTGCTAGCTAATCACTCATGGACTCTTGTTCCCCGTCCTCTTGGTTTTAATATTGTTGGCTGCAGGTGGATTTTTCGTATCAAACATCACCCCGATGGTTCTATTGAACGATTTAAGGCCCGGTTGGTGGCTAAGGGGTTTTCTCAACGTCCGGGCATAGACTTTCATGATACTTACAGCCCGATTCTAAATCCCGTCACCATTCGCACCGTTTTTTCCATTGCTTTATCTCATCACTGGCCGATTTTGCAGTTCGACGTCAACAATGTCTTTCTCCAAGGCTCTTTGCAAGAGACAGTTTATATGACCCAGCCCCCCGGTTTCCGTGATCCGGCGCATCCAGATCATGTTTGTTGTTTGTCCCGACCTATCTATTGCCTTCGACAGGCACCTCGTTCATGGTATCTTGCGCTCTCCGGGTTTCTTCAAGAAGAGGGATTTGTCAAGTCCAAATCAGATGCCTCCTTGTTCATTTATCACAAGGGCACCGTCACAATATATTTTCTGGTTTACGTCGACGATCTTCTACTTACTGGCAATGATGCGCCTGCTCTTGCGCATTTCTAGGCTCGTTTGGATGCTCATTTTTCCCTCAAGTCCCTCGGGTCTGTCCACTATTTTCTTGGTATTGAAGTTCTACCGACATCAATCGGGTACCTCCTCTCTCAACAAAAGTATGTCACTAACGTCCTTACCCGGTTTGGCATGGTTGGCTCCCATCCTGCCCCAACTCCTCTGTCCTCCGCCGCCAAGCTCTTGCTCGTTGATGGCTCACCTCCTACTGATGTGTCTCTATATAAACAGGCTGTTGGTTCATTGCAGTATCTCCTTTGCACCCGCCCAGATATCGCCTTCGTCGTCAACAAGCTCTCGCAATTCATGCACGCTCCCACGCAGCTGCATTGGCAACATGTTAAGCATTTGTTTCTCTACTTAAAAGGCACCTCCCATCTTGGTCTCTGCCTTGCCTCATCAGCCACTCCGACTCTTGTGGCGTTCGCTGATTCCGATTGGGCTGGCAATCCCAATGATCGCACTTCCACTATGGCCTTTCTCATCTACTACGGTGGTACTCTTATTTCTTGGAAATCAAAGAAACAACGATCTGTTGCTCGATCCAGCACTGAGGCAGAGTATCGAGCTCTAGCACACGCCACGTTGGAGCTTCTATGGTTACAGAATCTTCTTCAAGAGCTCCATCATCCGGTTTCTACTACTCCAACTATCTACTGCGACAATAAGGTGCTGTAAAATTCTCGGCCAATCCCATCCATCACTCTCGCATGAAGCATCTTGCTCTTGATTACTTGTTTGTCCGGGATCTTGTACAAACACAGCAGCTTCAAATTCAGCATATTCCCATTGCCTTCCAGCTCGCGGACTCGCTGACCAAGCCCCTGCCCATTGCTCGTTTTCAACTTCTTCGGTCCAAGATTGGTGTCGTACCCGTCAACATCTTGCGGGGGCGTGATAAGGAATCTTCTTAGATTAATTGCTTTCCATTTATTTAATGTAATTAGTGCAGTAGTGGATGGGTTGTTACCCTCTTTGTAGCTACGTGAGTAGTGGTTCTATTGTAGAGATTGGTATATTTAAACCAATCTCCTAATCAATACAAACTACCAATTCCAGCCAATTACAATGGAGAAGCCGCTGCAATACTCTCCATTCTCCAATGTCTATCCTAAAATCCTCCCTCCCGCAATCGTCCGCCATCCAAGCCTTTCTCCACTCTCCCCCCCTCGATTCCTCCGAATTTTGTTTGTCCCAATTCGACATAAATCGGGCCGGCAGGAGCTACTATAATGGAGGTGCTCGCGATACTATTCGTGCCAGAGCACCAGCGTCGATTGACAGGAATGGTGTCGCGACGGAAGGTATGATGAGGACAACTTCTATGCTGGACGAGGAAGGAGGGATTGATTCCATTATGAGGAATCTGATTGTGGTGAGCAACGAAAGGGAATCAGTCAATTAAAAAACCACATTGTGGGCTTCGTTTAGTTTAGTGGTGGGAAGATCTGAAATGTAGGGTGGGGATTTTGGGTTTTGGTTTAGGGATGATTAATCTTGATGCGCAATGATGTGGGAGGGAAGGCTAGCGAAGTTGGATTTGTCTGGGTGTAGTATAGTTAGGGGTTCTTAGGTTGCGAAATCTGCAAATTTGAGAAAGTGAAGAAAAATTAGAAATTGAGAGTGATCTAAAATTTCAAGACTGGGTAATTTGGGTTGTTGTTGGAATCAATTTACACGTTAGCTAAAAGGATGCCTTCCCGTAGGATTGAGGGATTTTTCCAATAATAGCATCTATTAAAAAAAATTACAAAAATAGCACCCATCCCACAACATTTACAAAAATAGCACCATTTTTATCAAACCGTACCTTCAAGGTGCGTTTTATAAATAAACCGCACCCTCCAGGTGCGTTTTAGTCCACCTCAGAATGAAAATCGCACCTTGGAGGTGCGGTCAGTGTTTGGTGCGCAGCGGCCTTGCGGACCACAGGATGAAGAAGCAATCTAGTGGCGGACCGCTTGCCAGGTCAGCGATCCTTGCCACGGATCGAAGACCGTTGCGCCGAGGTGCGGTCAAGCATCGGGGAGCATAAACCGCCTCGGCAAGGAGCGGTTTTGACTGGGACAAAATTACCAGACCGCCCCTGGAGGGTGCGGCCTGATGGATACAAATACCCCCCCCCTCTCATTTTTTCACACCACAACCATTCTCCACTCTCTCTCTCTCTCTCTAGAATTAGCTCTCTAACCCCTCCCCTCCCAAAAGTCTAGGAAATAGTGGTTTGTTGGTTGCGGCTAAGTCCGATCTGCCATCAGAAAACATTTCTTTGGTTTTTTCCTCAAAACCCGTTGAGCCTAGCCGAATCTCTGTCCGAATTTCCCAAAAAAAATGAGTGATTGGTGGCAAGGAGAGGGATTTTATGTTGATGAATTTCTAGCGGTACGTACTCATTATTCTGGTTTAATTTTTGTTGTTGTTATAAGCTTTTTAATTAATCTATGTACTAACCTCGTTGTTATTTTCTCGTAGGTTGGGGACGACGTGGATATATACAACCAACGGTATTATCTCGAGCAAGAACCGTTGGATCCAACCGATTTGTACGACCAACCCAACCATCGGTCAAGGGATGTTTGGAACGATCACCCGGTACATACAATTCTTCGTCATTTGTCTTTCCTTTATTTTGCTAATGTATTAAGTGGATATAACATAAATTTATGTTGAATTTTTAATCGTGCTGGTTGTTTTCAATAATTTAATCGAATACATAGCGGCACTTACTTCGACTCTTTATAAAGAGATGCACGTCTAAGGAAATGAGGTTTTAAGCGATTATCATATCCTCCCATTCCCTGGGAAAATCGGGTATTAAGAGATCCTCGGATCTCCCCTTTTTCTGTCAAAAAGACTGTGTTTCTAAGAAGATGTATGCCTCTTCTAAGAGTCTAACGAGTGTTGCTCTCTATTCGATTAAATTATTTAAAACAACCAATACAATTAAATTATTTACCAAACAACCAATACGGTTTATTTTTATGTGTACAAAATGAATTTTATTAATTTCAAACATTTGAATATGTATGTTTCTCTTTAAATTATTATTCATTTACAATGTTATTTATGTTAATTAATTTAGTATGTTTGTTTTACGATAATATGTATGTATCTCTTTAAATTATTATTCATTTAGAATGTTATTATGTTAATTAATTTAGGATGTTTGTTTTATGATAATATGTATGTATCTCTTTAAATTATTATTGATCTAGAATGTTATTATGTTAATTATATGAATATTTTTATGATAATAAAATTCTGCATGAAGTTAAATAATTTAATTTAATTAATTTAGTTATAAGAAAAAACCCTTACTAATATATAATAATTAACGTGTAAATTTTCGCTAGGAGGCACAAACAATATTCCGCTACAGGGGTACGACCAATGTGCTCCTATTCCACCCAACTATCTTGCCCTTTCTCAAAAGGGCACGGTTGGACCTGATTAGGCATTTTAACGGCATCAAAGTCGATCGCCAACTCATCACCGCATTAGCTGAGAGATGGAGGAAGGAGACCCATTGTTTCAACTTTAGAGAAGGAGAGGCCACTATCACGCTAAAGGATGTCGCCATCCTAACCCATCTGCCCATCGACGACAAACCAGTGTGCGCGAGTGATCATCCCCCCGAGGATCGTGACGATATGCCCGGTTGGGTTCATTTCATCCACATTATTTATCATCCCCCCAAGGATCGTGACAATATGCCCGGTTGGGTTCATTTCATCCACAGTGTTTTGGGAGTGAAAGTACCAGTCAAGGGGAGCATTGATGCGATCGATCGCTTGCCACCAATGAGGAAACACCAAGTCTCAATTACTTGGTTGACGAAGTATTTTAGAGACCATTACGAGAGTCATCCCCTAACCGAGGAAAGTCCGGAGGATGAGAAGGAAAGATATGCTCGTGAACGAACGGCCTTGTAGATAGAGTTGATACTCTCAATTGAGTTCGTTGTGGCAATACCCCATCTTGTCCCTCCATATTTATTAAATGTCCACATGGATAGGTCGTGTCCATCCAGTCACTGTGCCCCTTCAGGGCATAACTCGCGCATCTTCTGCAACTTTTCCTGAAATTTTTTCTCTTGGTAGGCAACCGCTGAGGAACACACAGAAAAGTATACCGTTAGTCAATTTTCGGCAGTTTAGTACAATTCGAACAACCCGGAGGCACTCTGCTTAGACTCTTAGGAGAGGTATACATCTCCTTAGAAACACAGCTTGTTTGACAGAAAAAGGGGGGATCTGAAGATCGCTTAAAACCCGATTTTCCCAGGAAATGGGAGGACCATGATAATCGCTTAAAACCCCATCTCCTTAGGCATGCATCTCTTTAGAAAGAGTCTAACAAGTGCACCACTCTCCTGATTACAAGATATTGTTAGCTGACAAAATTAAACGGCTAATAGAGAGCTTACCAATCCACCACAAATTCTCAGCAAGCTTCTTCCGCTTGAAATGATGGTTCCAGTTGCTCTTGAAGTGTCGTATGCACCACCTTTGGGACCAATTCCAAGCTGGATCTAAACCTAAGATGGCAGCTCTAATGTCGGCTTGCCGATCAGAGATTATTGTCAAGTTCGTCCTCCTAGTGACGTGGAGCTGAATTTGCCGGAAAAACTATCCATAGCTATCAGCATTCTCTCCCTCAACAATGGCGAAGGCTAAAGGAAAGACTTGTTTGTTTGCATCCGCCCCACTGGCAATCAGGAGAGTGCCCTTCTACTTGGCGGTAAGGAATGTACCATCCACTTGGATCACAGGGACACAGAAGCCAAAACCATCAATAGATGGCTTGAATGCCCAAAAAAGTCGTCTGAAATGGCGTTTGTTACCTGAATCTCGGGGTTGTATCTCTTCATCTTGGTATCGAGGAGAGAAAACAGTACCGGGGTTAGACGCTTCTAATGCCAAAATTAACCTGGGAAGGAATGCATATGATTCTTCCCAATCACCAAAGACGGCGACCAGATCTTTCTGCTTTCCATGCCACGCCTTCTTATAGTTAATCATATAACCATAACGACTTGCAATGTCAGCGATTATGACTTTCATCTTCAGGTCCGGATCTTGCTCAATTAGATGCTTGATAGCCGCAGCAACCACCCTGGATTTCAACTGTCGATGGCCTTGGGAAGTTATGGATGACACACATGTGTGTGTGTTCACCGCACGGGATGTGACCCAGTGGCCGTGCCTCTTGTTGTTGATGGCCCAAATCCTAACATTGCACCCCTAGTGATGATTATGGCATCTGACTAAGAGCCTTTTAGTGTTGGAATGAGTTGTGTGCCATTCAAAATGTCGAGTCATTGCTTCAGTCTCAATGGCGTGCCGCACCTCCTTCTTCGAGCCAAATTGTTGGCCCTTCATAAACCCAGTGAGTGGACCCCATACTGGGACCTCTGGCGGCTCCATGTCGCTGTCGACCATCCAATTGTCGTATGGAATATTATTTTAGTAAGAGACTGGTGCACGGTTACGAGCCAACTCATCATCATTATCTGAGTCTGACTCTGACTCTGGTCCTGAATCATCAGCACCTTCAAGAGGGTCGGAGCTGTCTGCACTGACGTTGTTCTCTCCTTCTTCATCGGAGGGGTCACAAACTGGTGCTGGCAAGGCAACTTCCATCTGATCCAGCTCATGAAAGGTACCTTCATCAGCTCCATAATGGTAGTCATGAAAACTACCGCTGCCTGATTGGAAGTTGTACTGAGGTTGGTTAGGGAGGTCCGGTTGAACTTCTTCTTCATATGACGGGAAAGATTGATGATGACCTTCACCTTGATCTTGGTACTGAAAATAGGAATGGGGATCATGGTAACTTTGGTAGGGATGATCGCCATATAATTCACCTCCACCATGGATACCAGATGTTTGACCGTGTCCAGAATGACCTCCAACGCCAATGGCCGCCTCGGTGTAAACGAACATCTCGGCTTTGGAAAGATTGTTGGACCTCAAGAATTCGAGCATGGAATCTACTTCATCCTGAGTGGTTATGAGATATTTATCATGCCACAATGACCCACTTTCTCTGTTTGAATATCGGTACACCATACGATCAACTCTTCTCGTGCCATCCATGCAAGTAACGTTAGTGCACATTTGATGGAGGTCTTCAAGCAGCGGTCTGGTAACGACCTTTATTTTCTGAAAATTTCCACCGACGTAGGTGACCCCTTTCCGGTCTCTTCCGTGTAACCATTCCACCGTAAGCCAAGCGTGAACTTTTGGAATGCCGTCTGCAAAAAAACCGCAGTTCAGTTAATATCATAAAAATCACAAATCACAAATAACAATAAAAAGTAATACAAAATAAAATTACGAGTTAACGTTAATCGCAAAAACACTAAAGAAATATAGAGCTAGAACAGAAAATTGAAAAGGGAGAAAGAGAGGTGTGAAGAGAAGAGGTTTTCCGTGCAGTCTTTTATAGGCAAAATCACTGATGAAAACCGCACCTTAGGGATGTGGTTTTCGTCTGACATGCAGCCCCACGTCTGTAATTCTGCATCGCTATATGTCGGGTGTCGGAAAATAATTGACACACAAACCGCACTGGGGGGTGCGGTTTGTGGCAAAACCGCACCTTGGGGATGCGGTTTTGTTTTGGAGAAGCAAACCGCATCTCCAAGGTGCGGTTTTGATAGGTCAGGCCAAAACCGCACCTCGGCCATGCGGTTTATGTAGGTCAGACCTGAAACCGTATGGCCAAGATGCGCTTTTGGCCCAGGATAATCAACTGCACCTTAGAGGTGTGGTTTATATATAAAACGCACCCTCTAGGTGCGGTTTACATATAAAACGCACCTTGGAGGTGCGGTCCATAAAAAAGGGTGTTATTTTTGTAAATATTTTCGGGTGGGTGCTATTTTTGTAATTTTTTTTAAAAGATGCTATTTCTAGAAAAATTCCTAGGATTGAAGGGGATGATGTTCTCGTATCCTCCCCCGCCGGCTAATAGTAGAACAAGTCAACAAATAATATTTTATTTTGACCGTTAGTTAATGGATGGAAAAATGGATGTACACACAATTTAAGAACATTAGTGATACCCGATGCCCGATGCTCTATTCTAATTTAAGTGGTATAACTCCCCCAATTTTCAAACTTAAGTGCTACCCGAGGTATTTTACCCTCACTTTTGACGATAGACTCTAATAAGTAAAGTAATAATGGGAATTTTTCCCAAATTGTTTGTGAAAAAAAACTCAACGTACATAAATTTGGGCTAGATCACGGCTGGGCTTAGAGGTAAATTGCATCGCTGGAAGCTAAAGTGATCTATGTCAGTCGCTTAAAACCTAAGCGATCCACTTATTAAAAGAAACTAGCATGGAGCCCGGCTAGTTGGTCGGAGGAGTTGAGTTATGAAATTTGATAAGGGTTAATACCTTAGTTCGGCTCGAAGTTAAGTGTAAAAGACAGTTCTGACCTCATTTTTCAAATAAGACATTTATGGCCTACTTTTGAAATTATTAGACAAATTTGGCACGATACTTGTGTTGACTATTAATATTAACAGTCAAACGTTTATTCCGTCAATGACTCAGCATCCAATGATGAAGTTGCAGTGAGGTAGCTTCCATGTCATTTTTATTTCAATTATTTATTTCAATCTTTTTTTAGTTCTTAAAAACTTGAAAAATAAAAATAAAAACCCTAATCTAAACCCCCTCCTCCGATCTCCCCCTCGCCTCCGTAGATCTAAATTCACCGGTGACCCTCCCCCTCTACTCCGCCACCATTCCTGAAGGCTGAAATGGCTTCGATCCATCTCATCTTCTCCCCTACGCACCACGGTTGTTCTCCCTTCCAGAACGGCAACTTTGTTGTTGTTCATCTTCATCATTCTCCCCCACCGAAACAAAAAATTAGTGGAAAACCTTCTCTCAACTCAATATAATCTTCCCATTGCTTCGCTTCCCAGATAATTCCTCTCAACTTCCAAAATCCCTTTTCACCTATCCTTGATCGATGTCTGAAAGTAGAAATGTTGGCCACAACAACATGAGGAGGAAGCAGATCTTTCGAAGGAGATCGACTGCAACCATCGGGATCTGGCGGAGAGATGATGGTGATTGACGACGACGGAGCGCCAACTTACCTACGGAGGATGGCGTCAATCTCTACAACAATGGCGTCGAGAGTGACGAAGCAGATCAAGGGTTGCGGTCACGAGGAATGGCATCGATCTTTACGACGATGGCTCCGAGGGCGCAATGTAGATCTGGAAAATGACCACAAGCAAGGCGGGGGCGTCGAGGCTTTGGGAGATTGAACAAAGGAAGTCGATGGTGGAGGGAAGATGAAGGGCGCGGCGGCGGAGGCTCCAAGGGCGCGATGTGTCTCTGGGAAACGACCACAATCAAGGCGGCGGCGTCGAGGCTGTGGGAGGCTGAACGAAGGAGGTCGATGGTGAAGGGAAGATCGAGGGTGCGGCGGCGGAAGCTCAAGGAAGATGAGTGGCGGAAGAATGGGGAAAGTAGGGATTTTGACCGGAAGTCAAGAGAGAAGTAGGGTTTTTCCCCGAACAATTTGTTGCTATGTTTTTTTTCAGAAAATTAAATATATAATTATTTAATGATGTGGTGATCAAACATCAGCCACGTCAGCAGTATTTTGCTGAGTCATTAAGGCTAAGAATGTTTGACCGTCAATATTAACTGTCAACACAAGTATCAGGCAAAATTTGTCTAATAAATGTCTTATTTGAAAAATGGGGTCAGAACTGCCACTCACGCTAAACTTCGGGCCAAACTAGGGTATTAAACCATTTGACAATGTAATGGGGTGTATAGATTATTGTTGTATAGCTTTTTTTAGAAACATGTGATAAAGATAGTGAATTTTAGCAAAAAAGATGCATGCATTATGCAATAAAAAATCAGTCTTATGAACCAAGTTCGAGTACGTGTTAGCTTGTGAAACAGTATTATTTCTGGTAATATGAGGAAGTGGAGTAAGTTTATAGAAACCAAATTCTAGAAAACCGAATAAAATATCGCATATCCCTCCAGTCTTCGAGAAATGAGCATCTCACAATCGTTGCTAGCTTTTACTCGGCCCGTTGGTCGATTAATTTTATTTATAAACCTTTTATCTTGTCGTCAAAGTTATTAATTCGAATGGAACAATCCATTCATCAACTCACATAAAGGGTTAAATGGTTAACCTATGATCCAACTCGATTAGCCTAGTTTTCTAATTTGAAACATATATTATACTATTATTTTATATCTTAGTGGCTAAAATATAATGTATTTTAAAGTTATTAAATGGTTAAATCTCAAGCAATTTGATTAGTCCAATGTTTATCATTTCAAATATATATTATGTAATTATTTGATATCATAATGATTAAATTATAGTGTATTTTATAAGGAAGAGTTTGGTATTTATTAGTAAAAAAACTAAACAGAAAGATGTATTTGGTTATTTTTAACATTAAAACAATCCTAAATATTTTTAGTTTCCTTTCAACTTTCTATGATTTTGTTCCCGAAGCAGTGATGTGCAAATGGCGAATTGCAGTCTTCTCTTTTCTTTCACTATTTTTCAGTTTCAAATAGAAAGTTTAAAAGTAAAGAATAATTGGAGTTTAGCATAGGGTCGGTAAAACAGGCTGAATTTCAAGTTTTGGCACATTTCGATCAAGCCTAATTTATAATCACATGGTTCCCTGACACCTGATAAAAATCTTAATCCAAACTAGTTCGGCAGCTGAGTCCCTGTTTACCACCATTTTCTAGGAATACAAAAACGACGGTTCCTATCCCAAATTGTGTTGTTCTTTCTTGATTTCTTTAGATTTTATCATGGCATGGCAAAAACCAGAAAGCACAATGAATCAATCCACCGAACCCAGAATCGTCGGGAAGGAGGGTGGAAATCGCAAACACAACGGATGGATCTCCCGACCCAATCTCCATCACGCTTCCCCGACCAGATCTACTTGTCGGTGGGAGAGAAGCAAAGACAGAGGGGTATGTAAACAGCTTCCGATCGGGCTGAGAAGTGGACAAATTGTCACCAGAATGGGAAGAAGCACGCACTTCGCATGAAATTGACTGTGAAGAACCGGAATCGGTGTAGAAGGTTGGTACAAGAGGTGAGTTTATTGTAAATCAACCGTCAATCCGCAGCTGGCTTGCAGATGAGAAGGGTAGACGCAACGGGGGAGTGGGCGATCAGTCCGGCCTTAGGTGACCAGTTCGTGGAGCAAGAGCGGGAGCGAGAACGCGAGAGCGTATATTTCAAAAGAACTTAGAGTTGAGAGCGTGATGAGACCGTCATTATTACATTATATATAATTATTTATATTAATATAATTGACAATTAGTATACAAAATATCATTTATTTTGTTTATATAAACAATATATAAACCGTAAAATATTAATGGACAAAGGTTTAACAATATGGAAAAGGTTATATTTTCACAATATTGCATTTAGATTGTATTAATCATTCGTTCCATTTTTCCTGTCATAAAATTTAACAATTTGGAATTCGAAAAGCCTCTCAGTGTCCTGTTTTTCCTGAGATTGACGAACCAAGTCGCATGAACAACCACCACAAGTGCAAAACGGGATTCCCCCTATCGACTGCATTTCGTCCCAGTACGAACAAAGTTGAGTGTAGAAGGCGAGACTGAAAGCTTGTCTTGGTGGAGGCTGGTGATATTGTGGCGAAGTTAGTAGGCTCGTTGAGCAGAGCGGCGACAGAAACGCCTATGCAACTTCGCCAAAATCTCTTGAGCGGTGGAGGCAGTACGTATGTTGTTGCGTACCTCGCGAGTCATCGCTGTTTTCAATTAGCCCTTCACTGTGGCATCACAACAATCCCCATGCATCTTTCTGCAATGTCGCGCTTGCCTTAGATCGTGGGAACTTGTCATCGACGAAAGAGAGCTTATTTTTAGTTAGGGTTTCGCTGATGTCGCTTACCTATTCGTCGTAGTTGGAGTCTTTCAACAAATCACTACCTAAAAGCTGAGCAGGATTTCCTGAAGGGGAGAGATAAAGGGGGGAGCTGATCGGAATTGCACTAGCCTCGATGGGTTCGTGGTTGGCGCCACTGACCTCCTCTTTTTTGCCCATGATTAATTGAATTGAAGCTCACAGCTCAGATACCATGAGAATAAGTATAATCACGAAAAATAAAGAGCACACAAAGATTTACGTGGTTTTCTTGAATGTCGGGACTACTCCACGGTGGTGAGCATGAAGCTCGATGATGATCACTAGTGATGGTTTAGGGTTAGTGCTACAACTAAAGCACCCTCGTATACCCTTAACAGTAAAAACGAGTATAAGGTAAACTCCTAAAGCGCATATGCTCCAACGACGTTCTAGGTTTGTGGCTTCCTGCAATGATGGTTGGGTCTTCGTCAAGCGGATATGCTCCATCGCATTGGTTTATATCTTGACTCGGAGGTCACTACTCGACGGATTGGAGTTATTAGGCTTGTTATCGATGGTGCCGTCAGAGTAGCAACTTGAGGAAGATCGGTGACGATGATTTTGGAAGAGGAAGGATGGGGAAGAAAGCTCTGTGGAAGTTGAGCGACGGAGAGATGAGAAGTTTCAGTATTTTTAGTTTTTAGAATTATTTTAATTTTAATTTTAATTTGAGTGGGCCTATCATAGGTTATTGGGTTGGGTTAGGTTGGAGCTATATGACGTGACGAGTTTTTATGATGTGGTGGGTTCGATGTTAAGTTTTTAAGGTTAGGGTATGCCTACGGCGACTTGCAAGTCATTGTAACTTGGAGAAATCGGTCGACCTCTTTCATTAAGTGGTCGACCGCTTTCCCAGAAAATGGTCGACCTCTTCCACCAAGTAGTCTACCACTTCCGGAAATGCGTCGACCTAATGACACACTTACCTTCAAGCGGTCAACTTCTTTGACCAAGTGGTTTATCACTTGAGTCATCCGGTTTACCACTTTCAAAAATGGGTCGACCTGATGACACACTTACCTCCAAGTGGTCTACCTCTTCCACCAAGTGGTCGACCACTTTCCAAGAAAATGGTCGGCCTCTTCCACCAAGTGCTATACCACTTAAGTCAACTGGTCTACCGCTTCAGAAATGGGTTGACCTGATGACACAATTACCTTAAGTGGTTGACCTCTTCCACCAAGTGGTATACCACTCGAGGCAGTCGGTCTACCGCTTCTGGCAATGTGTCGACAGGTGACACACTTACCATCAACTTACAACTACTTGTTGGAGTTGGTAGACCGCTTCCGCCAAAACAGCCTACCGATTTCGCAAAATGGTTTACATATCTCTTTCAGCAAATGATCTCCACTTTCGGCGATTAGTCGCATAGATAACACAGTTACCTTATACTTACATTAGGAAAACAATGGACAATATGAGAACAATATAAAATTGTCTTTTGTAGTAACGCAACATAAGAAATAAATATGCGTAACATTTTTCAAATCTACGAGAGAACATTCACTTGAGAAACTTATCATCTATGCTTGCAACCTTTGTACTAATTTTAAATCTCTTACTAGAAAGCATATATATTATTATTGGACTCTAATTATATATGATAATATCACTAGGAATGGTTCATCAGGTGGATCAATTATTGAAAGAGGTGGACCACTTAGAGAAAGAGGTAGACCACTTGATGGAAGTGGTAGACCATTTTTGTGTATAATGCCTTTTAGTGAAAGAGGTTGACCATTTGTTGAGCATAAACAAATGAAAAATAGTACATCTGGTCGACCATTCCAACAATGAGGTCGACCATTTTGTCCAAATAGGTCGACCATATCAGTGATGAGGTCGACAGTTTTGTCCAAATAGGTCGACCTCATTAGTGAACATGTTGACCGTTTTGTCCAGATAGGTGGACCTCATCAATGAATAGGTCGACCATTTTGTCCAAGTTACGATGACTTGCAAGTCACTATAGCAAAGTTTAACATGGATTTAATTATATTTTTGTTACTTCAGTTGTTCCATGGATTTAATAATATGTCTTTGCGTGTTAGTTCAAAAAAAAAAAACTTGGCTTCTTGCTATGCCTAAAAGGATTCTCATGACTTTGTTTTGACTCATATAGCTTAAGCCTATTGTAGGTCTTGCTAGTAATGAAATAATTCTTCAAAACTGGTATTGGTCTAACTGGTTACAATCTTCCAACTCATGGTATAAGATAGAGATATTATCGAAAATTCAGTTTTATGCATATCTCGTCACCTCATGCCCTCTGCTTTTGTGTTTTCTGCAGCTTCTGGTGCTTTACGTTGTGGAATCAACAATGGAGGATGTTGGAAGAAATCCTAAGATGGCATGACATTTTCTCATGCACTGTGAGTAAAATCCAGTTTCTAACTACAAAACACTTCTTTCTGCATCTCTTGCTGTCTCTTTATCATTTCAACTCTCCAAACTTGTATTTACTTACCGATGGTTTTTTTCTAATTCAGGACTCTTCAGAAGGCTGCAAGTGTCCTCGTGGATTTAAGGGCGACGGAGTGAATTCCTGCGAGGGTATATATCCTCTTTCCCCTCGTCCACTTTGTTTTCCAGTTGATGAAGAAAGCCCTATGTTCCTCAACGCATTGTTTTCACTTTTCAGGCCATAATCTGTTTGCAGGAGGCTAGCATCTATTTGATTTTGGAAGAGGCTATTCTATTGACAAAAACAATAGTTGAATACCCATTCAAACCACCTCGAAACTATAGAAGATAAACCGCGACCAGTTTCATTTCGCAAAGTAGGTTCTGTAACTGGTTGGCCTTAAACATGTCGATCCTAAGAACATTGAAGGGCTAAACAGATCCGACATTTCAATGCCAAAACACCCTTCAGAATCACTACGAAACCCTGTTGCTTCCACACTGCATGCACAATCAGAACACAGCCCAGAAAAGGTAGCAAGGACACACTGCATTTTGCGCTGCAGATGCTCTAGAACTGGAAGCAACCTAAATAACCTCCACCTATCCTACTGCCCGAGCCTAACAAACATACACTACCTTCTGCCTCAAACATCAGCTGCAATGATGTCACAGGGTCTAATTTTGTATTTTTCTCTGATCACTGACAGGAAATAGCAAACATCTGCCCAACGGCAACAGACATCTTAGATATCTCATGCAGGCTTTGGACGAGGGCATCACTCTTCTGCAGGTGTTCCCCATTTGGTCCCCTTCAGCATGCCAATCCTATAGCAGTAAAACGCGAGCACAGCAGTACTGCCGAAACAAACCAAGCCATCAGAAACAAGAAGAACTATTAGTTAAGACCCACAAGGGATACGGAAAAGTACTGAGCTCTAACAAAGGCAAAGCTGAGTTACAACTACTGCAAATCCACCAAAATCATTTCTTTGAGCCTACCTTAGTTCGTTCTATTACACTTCTGCTAAGGTAAAGAAAAGGTCAAAGAGAAACAGGTTACAGACCTGATGACAGCCGAAACGAATTGGAAAAGAGAACCTCTCTGCAAAATGAGGGAAGCAAAAACTATTAGCAGCAATACCACGCGTAGACAAAACATGGGGAATCAAGGAATAAATAAAGAGGGGCGGGTATAGGGGAGAAGTGATGAATGTAGCTTCTGCACCTGAAACAGCAGAGTGATCTTCCTAAGGAAAATTATAGTGGCAATTGCTGCAGAAGCGACAACAAGTCAAATATAACACTTGATAGAAAAATAAAATGGCTGCACTGTGGAACACAGTACAACAGTCAAATACCCAACCTGTCTGTCCTTTCAAAGGCACATCATATGCCTCTCCATTGTTCTGAGCTCTTCGACTTGCTATACCAAGTGCCAAAAGAGCGCCACCAAGAATCACACCGAACCTAACAGCAGAAATGCTCCCGACCAACATGAACGCAGCAAACCCACCAGCAAACACAATGGAACCTGAGAGAAAAAGCGATATGACGAAGCAATAATGGTTGAATGAAGAGCATCATAAGAAGAACCGAATTTAACGCATTCAATCCATACACACATACCGTAACCTATTCCAACGTGGTAATCCTTGAGCTCAGAGAAATCTTTGACATCAGTAGATGAGCTGATAGTCTCCAGAATATCCCTAACACCTTCAGGAGAGTTCTCGGCAGCTTCATTAATCTCCTTAGCCAAGGAATTCAAATCTCTCCTGGCCCTCTCAGCTTGGATTTTGAGCTGCTCCGACGTCTCTCCCAGGATGACCATGGCCTTCTTGGAATATACTTCGTACGCTTCCTGAGAGATTCCCTTCATGTGTATGGCCTGTTCCTTGAACGATTCAAGGGCCTTCTTCCAAGCTTCCTGAGACTCTTGATTCCTGGCGTCGAGATCCTCGTTATTCTTCTCCACTTCGAAATCAGGGTGCGCCTAATGGATGGTTTTCACCATAGAAAGCCCCACCGTCAATTCAACGAACACATCATAATCATTGCTTACAGAGCAGGATAACCAAATTGGTTCTTCAAACATACTGAATCAGTAGCAAAAACAAAAAACAAAAAAAAAGACGGTAAGGAAAGCTATAAGAAACAAAATCGAGAGAGGTAGAGGTATACCGATTCTTGGCGAGAAGCGGCGGAGGCGACGATGGAAGTCAGACGAGTAATGCAGCGGAGAGAAGGGAGGCCAAGGCGCAGGCCGTTGGGAGGAAGAAGATCGATCGAGAGTCTTAAAGAAGCTCTGCAGTCGGTAAGCGAATACAAAGAAGGTTGGAAATGGAGGGAGGGAATGGAAGGACAAGAGGAGGGAAGTGCTGGGAGTGGAGAGTAGTAGCAGGACGCCATTTTAGGGTTTTTGAGGGATACGGATACCGTGTTCATTGTTCTTGAGGACTCGCCGGCTAACTGACTGAGCTTTGAATTGGAAGAGAAACGGAGAAGGAAAGATTGAGTGACAGAAAAACCCGAGGGAAGTGGTAGAGTCGGGTAGGGAGAGACGGAGGCGAGTTGGCGAACAAGGGCAGGGCGAGAGCCGAGAGGAAAGGAGGCGGCCAAACAGTCCGCTGAAAGCTTTGGCTCTGGCTGCCTGACCAGACCGAAATAACCGGAGAAGTGCATTGCCACTCAGTGGTTCGGGCAGGGAGATATTTGCCTCAGTCAAGATCGCGTTTTAAAACTTAAAAACTTACGATTTTACACTTCTAGGTATACGTATCAATCAGGCTGGTTCATGCGGATTTTGGCTGGATTCAATCGAGTTCGGGTTCAAATGGGTTGCGGGTTCATCGGATTGCAGGTTTATCGGGTTCGGTTCATCGTGTTTGGATTCAAACGGGTTGCGGTTTAGCCGGGTTTATGTTCAATCAGGTTGCGGGTTGTTCAGGTCAGCGCATCTAGTAACTTACTACTTATTCGTTACCAACTTACACATTTTATTACACTAATTTAAAATAGGCCTAATACACCTGTGTAGCCAAAACTTTGACGGTTTTGCCAAATATAGCCACGTTTGGAGAAATACCAAAAATAGCCACTTCCGTCCAATTGTTTGACGGTGTTAATTAACGTGTTGACTGGACTAAGCTGACATGTCAATCTTTTAATCATTAAAAATATGAGCTGGAATAATCATAAAAAATGAAAATGAAAATAACTAAATATTTTTTTATTTTTTCTCTCTCCCTCTCCGTTCTTCTCCCACCTAACCTTCCCAATCTCTCTCCTTTTTCTCAATTCTTCCCGAGAATCATTCCCCAATCCCCATATTCCTCCTCCCCAATTTCCCTCCCACCCAACCTTCCCAATCTATCTCCTTCTTCCCCATTCTTCCCCAGAATCATTCCCCATGCTCCTCCTCCCCAATTTCCCTCCCACCCAACCTTCCCAATCTCTCTCCTTCTTCCCCATTCTTCCCCAAAATCACTCCCCCTGTTCCTCCTCCCCAATTTCCCTCCCACCCAACCTTCCAAATCTCACTCCTTCTTCCCCATAATCACTCTCCCCTGTTCCTCCTCCCAAATTTCCAAGCCGACCACCACCAACCTTCACACTCACCACCTATCTTCCATCCACCTCAACTACCACACCGAATTCAACCCTAACCACGATCTATTTCCAATCTGCAACAGCCACCACCAACCCCCAGATCTAACTCACTGTCGCTCCTGCTGCAACATCGACGGCTTCAGAGCTTTAAATCGCCGCAATCCCGCCGGCAAAACTTCGGTTTATGAACACGGGTTGAGTTAGTTTAGCGATTGATTGAGCTCGAAGCTGCGAGGGTTTTGTGGTCCTTACCAATAGAACGAGGGCGGATGATCTGGAGGCTCCGTGCCCGACAAACAGAGGAAACGACGAACGGAGGAAACGTTGCGAAGTCGGCATCGCTCTTGGTCGGCGTCTTTGTTGGGTGTCGTTTCAGTGGTATCCCGGGGATTTGGGGGAGGGAGCCTGGCTTGCTACTAGTCGAGGGAGGAGCGGTATCGAGGGAAGCGAGATCGGAGATGGGACTAGGAGGTGGTGGCGATTGGTTTTGATCGTGCGTGGAGGAAGGAAAGACGGTTGCGGGCGGAGGCAGAGAGAAGAGAGGGTCAGAGGGATGTGAGATAAAATTATTTATTGTTTTATTGTTTGTTTTTTTATTTATTTTTTATTTTTTTAGTTTTCATAAATAAATAAAAGTTGTTCAGATAAAAATGACTATTTGGAAAAAACAATTTCATTTATCCACCCAGAATTGTTAAAAGATAAATCAAAATGATGTGGCAATGATATTGATGACTTGTCGCTGACGTGTGTGATGAGTTGGCAGCCACATCATCATTCTATTAATTAGACTGACGGTGTCATTGACGCCGTCAAACTATGTAACGGAAATGGCTATATTTGTCATCGAACTTTCAAAATTCTGGCTATTTCTGGTATTTCTCCAAAAGTGGCTATATTTGTCACAAACGTCAAAGTTTTGGCTATACAAGTGAATTTGGCCTTTAAAATATCTTTCTCAATTTTTAACCAATTCATTTCTACCTCATATATATACTTAATTTTAAAAAAAAACTAGTCAACAATGTTGAATCAATTTATATGGCTTTCAAACTTGTTATGTAATTAATCGTAATTAGTAAAATACACTAGTTAATAGTAATGGTTATATCAATATTTGCAACCAAAAGACACCATTAATTGTTTATTTGATATTTTAGTATTATTTCATTAATGATTGGATTAAAGTATCTCATTTAGTATAACTATGTAAATATGGTATTTGAAGTGTGATATTTGGCAAAAGCATAGCGGTAAAAGTAGTTATTTCGAAATAACTCATTGCCCTAATAACTTCAGTAAACTGTTGTCAAATGAGTTATTTGTAAAATTGTTCGAATTACCCTAAAAATTGAACCATTAAAAATTATTTAAATTTAGTAAAATTGTTGTAACTTCATTCATACACTACAACAAAACAGGTGTTTAGTGTTGGTTCACTTAACCATCACGAAACCTATCGAAGTGTTTTCCATTTTCAAATATAAATAATTTTTATTGTCGGTTAAAACTGAAAATTATATATATATATATATATATATATATATATATATCCATATATATGCGGCTTCTACGTTACCCGGGTGAAATCCAGGGTACCGCATACCTTGAGTATGAAAACGCTATCTAGACCTCAAATTAGTAGGATTTTTGAGCATGATACTATACCCTAACCCTTAATGAGTGAACCCTAGGTCCTAATTATCTAAATCATAAACTATAAACCCTAAGATGGTGCATTAATTTTTTTTTTTTTTGCCTATATTTGGACGAATCATAACCGTCGATTATTGTTTCTAAATAAATTGATATTGGGGTATAAGATTTGGAGAATTAAGACCTAGATTTTGATCTTTAAGGGTTAGAGTATAGTATCATGTCTGAAAGATCAGTCAATTCAAGTTTTGTATAGTGTTTTCTTACTCAAGGTATGCGGTACCCCGGATTTCACCCTGGGTACCATAGAAGTAGGGATGGCAATTGGTCGGGTCGAGCGCGGATAGTGCATATCCGTTACCCTACCCATAGTAGTTTGGGTTTTACCCATACCCATACCCACATGTGAAACGGGTAGAAAATCAAAACCATACCCATACCCGTTCGGGTTTCGGGTATCCACGGTTATCCATGGGTAATAATTTCTCTTCATAACTTCAACCAATATCTTAACATTCACATGTATTCTCACATTACGTAAGAGGAAAAGTACGACAATAATTCACTAGAATGAAGAAAATTAATTGAAACTACACAATTTCATGAAAATATTATATTTATATGCTAAATATAAAATATGTTAGATAATAATAATGATTATTTCTAGACAAAATACTTATGCATATGTATAATCGGGTGGGTTCGGGTTGGATACTGAGAAACCCATGCTCACCCATTACCTGCAATATTCGGGTTCGGATTTTACCCGAACCCACTAAATGTCCTACGGATTCGAGTTTCGCCCTACCCGATTAGGCCGGATTCGAGCGCATATCTATGGTTACGGATATTTTTTACATCCCTACATAGAAGGCACCCTATATATATGGATGGTTCTATTGTACCTCGGGTAAAATCAAAGTTATGACATATCTTGAGTAAGAAAATGATATCTAGACTTGGAATTGACCGGAGTTTGACATCTGGTATTATTCCCACATCCTTAAAGATCAAAATCAAGGTCTCAATTATGCAAATATCATACACTAAGATCAATTTGATTAGAAACAAAAATCGACGGTCATGATTCGTCAGAATATATGCAACAAATTACATGCATAATCTTAGGGGTTAGGCTCTATGATTTAGATAACTAAGATCTAGAGTTCACTCATCAAGGGTTAGGGTATAGTATCATGACCAAAAATCCGGTTGATCCGAGGTCTAGATAGTGTTTTCTTACTTAGGGTATGTCGTATACTAAATTTTTCCCAAGGTACGATAGAAGCCACCATATATAGATGGGTCAGACTCGTGTGCTCTTGAGCATACCATGCTCCATGTACTCATAGTGAGATATCTCTATCTAGACCATGAATTAAATCGAGCTTGTTGTCAGCTTATATAATTTTCAGGTTTATCAACTAAACATGTTTGTTTTTTGTTTTTTTGGTTCTGTTGTGATTGTATATTGTTGCCACAACTCAAATACAGCCATTACAGTACCGAAATTATACTAAACGAGGCCTAGGTACGATTTAATTGTAAAAGTATTTCCATGATCAGAGTCGTAGAGATGAAATTTCTCCTTCAGCCCTAAACGAAGCAAAACCCACATTTCGCGTTAGTCCTGCCTTCCCATCCTTTCCTTCTAGAAAGCAAGAAGCATAACTAATAAAATATGATACGAGTAAGTTACGTATAAGACACCTATAAGTATTTCAAGTCGTTTCTAAACCAATTATACATTTAGCAATACATTAATAGTCATAAAATATTATATGAGTAAGTTACATATAAGACACATATAAGTATTTTAATGGCAAAATACACCTGTGTAGCCAAAACTTTGACGGTTTGGTCAAATATAGTCACTTTTAGCGAAATACCAAAAATAGCCAATTCCGTCCAATTCTTTAACGGTGTTATCTAACAGTCTGACTAGTCTAACGGAAGTGCTGACTTGACAAATTTTTATTATAATTAATTACATTAAAAAGTTAAAAAAAAAGCCAAAAGAAAAAAAAAATAGAAGAGATCTCTCCGTCCTCCTTTTACCCCTAGCCCTAATTCCCTTCCCATGTTGACCTCCCCTCCGATGTCTTTCTTTCCCAGAAATTCAGTCGCCCACCTCTGTTCCACCCAAACACACCAGCGCCACTGTTTCTCTTCCTGTCTTCGAGCAGATCAAATCCCTTAAACAAATCCCACCGAAAACTGTCGACCCCCAATGTTGCTCTCGCCGCAAAATCAATTCCAACTGTATGCTCTCGCCGAAAAACTCACTTCCCCAGTTCCTTCGAATCTTCTCCTTCCTTTCGCCAGAAACAAGCAAATGAGCAGCTCCCCTGAGTGTGCCGCCCTCAACGTCTCCAGCTGTCGCTCCGACCAGTGCCTCTACCAGGTCAATTACAGCGATGGATCCTTCACCGTTGGCGACTTCGTCACCGAAACTCTCTCCCTCGGCAGATCCAGATCCGTTTCCAAAAACCCTCGGATGCGCCCACGACAACGAATGCCTCTTCATCAACGCTGGTATCCTCGGCTTCGGCGGCGGCCCGCTCTCCCTCACCAGTCACCTCCCAGATCCGAGCCTCCTCGTTCTCCTACTGTCTCGTCAACCGCGATTCAACCTCTTCGTCTTCTGCACCAGTAGCAGCTCCAATAGGGAAATCTGGGAAGAAGATGTTGTACTTTTGGTTTTTTGGTTGTGGAATTGGGATGGTTTCTTTTTGGGGTTTCTGTTGATTGGATTGGGGGTTTTGTTGTTGTGGAGAGGAAGATGGTTGCAGAATCAGATTAGGGATTCTTTGTATAGGATTAGGGATTTTTTTGTTAGGGGTAGAAGGTGGTGGAAAAAATCCAAAAATACCACTGTTTAAAAAACAAATTCCAAAAATACCACCCAACCCCAAAAATTTCCAAAAATACCACCCTTTTTCAAAAACCGTCACCCCACCCTGCGGTTTACACGAAAACCGTTTGTCGGAGGCGCGGTTTTCTATGCAAACCGCGGGCCTAGGGAGCGGTTATAAAAAAAAAAGTTTTGACCAAACCGCTGGGTGGGGTGGCGGTTTGACCCAAAACCGCCACCCCACCCAGCGGTTTGGTCCAATTGTTTTTTTTTTCCCGATAAACTCCCAACTTCGGCCGAAACTTCAAACGAACGTAACTTTTCACTCGGGTATCCGATCGTATCGATATTTTTTTTCATTTCGCATTACTTTTCAAGATCTACAACTTTTACTAGGATGAAATTTTCAAAACAGGAACTATTTGTGGATATACGGGACCTTGGGAATAACTTTACCTTTACTTTTCACAAATCCATGTATATTTTGAAATTATGATTATATTAAAAGTTGTAGATCTTGAAAAGTTATGTTGAATCAAAAAAAATTTCATGACATTCGGATTTTGGAGCACAAAGTTATGGCCGCCTAAAGTTTGACGAAATCAAAAAAAGGCTCGTTCGGGGTGGCAAATGACGTTTTTTTCGAGACGAAGGCGGGACCCGACGATTTGTGGCTTGCAAGATCTCAAAAAGTTATTCGGATTCAAAAAATGGAGGCCCCAAAGTTTGACGAAATGCGAGACCCGGCAGTATGCGGCTTGCAAGATCTCAAAAAGTTTGCGGCCTCCATTTTTTGAATCCGAATAAATTTTTGAGATCTTGCAAGCCGCAAACCGCCGGGTCCCGCCTGCGTCTCGAAAAAACGTCATTTGCCACCCCGAACGAGCCTTTTTTTGATTTCGTCAAACTTTGGGCGGCCATAACCTTTGTGCTCCAAAATCCGAATTTCACGAATTATTTTTTGATTCCACATAACTTTTCAAGATCTACAACTTTTAATATAATCATAATTTCAAAATATACATGGATTTGTGAAAAGTAAAGGTAAAGTTATTCCCAAGGTCCCGTATATCCACAAATAGTTCCAGTTTTGAAAATTTCATCCTAGTAAAAGTTGTAGATCTTGAAAAGTTATGCGAAATGAAAAAAAAATCGCTACGATCGGATACCCGAGTGAGAAGTTACGTTCGTTTGAAGTTTCGGCCGAAGTTAGGAGTTGATCGAAAAAAAAAAAAAATTTGGACCAAACCGCTGGGTGGGGTGGCGGTTTTGGGTCAAACCGCCACCCCACCCAGCGGTTTGGTCAAAACTTTTTTTTTTTATAACCGCTCCCTAGGCCCGCGGTTTGCATAGAAAACCGCGCCTCCGACAAACGGTTTTCGTGTAAACCGCAGGGTGGGGTGGCGGTTTTTGAAAAAGGATGGTATTTTTGGAAATTTTTGGGGTTGGGTGGTATTTTTGAATTTTTTTTTTTAAACAGTGGTACTTTTGGATTTTTTCCGAAGGTGGTTAGATGAGAGAGAGAGATGAGAGTCTTCTGAATCTAAAAAATATATTTTGTTTAAATTTAAAATATGACGTGGCGATTACGTGGCATGTGAGTCTAGGTGAAAACATGACGTGTCGTCTAGTTGGCAGCCACATAAGCGTAATGTTCACTTAAACTAACGGAGTTAGAGACACGTCATGTTTGTCTATTTTAATTCGTTTCTAAACCAACTATACATTTAATAATACATTAATAGTCATTAAATATATGAAATTATTTATTTAAAAATTAAAAAAATATGTGAAATTATTAAATACATATGTTACATGTATTATACTTGTTTTATACATATTTAGCACATGATACTTCGCATGGTCGAGAAAAAATAAAAGATTTGACAATAACACGGAAATGAAAGTTTTAAATGTACAAATATGTATGTCCATATATACACATTTTAGTATTTATTAACTATGACAAAACGTAGAAACTGTTATAAATTGAATAGTAGAAATTAGGGTTACCGAATTTGGTTGAGTTATATCGCTCTCTTTAAGACATTTGTGGCACAGCCTCGTAATGCGCACGACAGAATTTCAATCGATCTTCTCTAAGAGAAAACAAACACTCTTTGTTTACTCTCAACTTGTGCAAAACCCGAGCTCAGTGAATTTCACTCTCTTCGTGTTTCTGCCCTCGTGAGCGTGGATCTAGTCGATCTAATGGGTCAACTGTTTATAGGAGGCGAGATAACCTTGGAACACCTTCTCCGTGGAGAATAGGTCATGATCCTTAACTAAAACATGTTCGGGTATTAATTATCCTTCGTACGTTTGTTTTCGTATGAGAAAAAGAATCAAATATTAAATCGAGATTTCTCGAAAAATTTATAGTATCGATCCCATCAACCCAAGTCACTTGATCTGTCGAACCAATGGCACACATATGGATGTGTGGTATGGAGGTCCTTTTGCTTCTTACTCTCCCACAAAAGTGAGACACCCAAGGGTATACCCTCAAAAGAGAATAACTTATTCTTATATACATTTTACATGACTCCGTCTACTAATATCTATCTATCTATCTATCTATCTATCTATACTATATATTATGGCAATTCAAAAGCAATCTCTTGCCGCATAAGCACTTGGAGGATCCACAATTTGCCAAGTTGTGCAACTTTTTTACAAACAAAAAATTAGTTATTAATGTATTTATGAAGCTACCTCTCTCTTCTTTAATATTTTCATTTCTTTTAACCTTTTTTTTGCTTTAATAGTGTGTTACATGTTGATAAACTTAACCAAACACACATAAATAATAATTTTTTTGTCCAGTAAAAAAAATATAAATAAGAAAACAGAAAGTAACATATACCACATTTGTTTAAATAAAAAATATCTGATTAAACCTTATGAAGTAATTTTTTACTCATTTTTACTAAAATTGAATGATAAGTTACATTTTTATGGAAATTAGACAAACATACACATAAAAAATATTTTTTTTATTAAACAAAATTTATATGAAAAGAGAGAAAATAAACATTTGACATTCAATTACCTATGAAAAATAAACTATATTACTTTATATTTTGTTGCAATGAAACACTCTCTTATTCGTAAATTATATGTCTATAAAATAAAATAAGTATTATCTAGCAAAAAATGTCAGAGTATAATCTTGATCGAGTAGTTATAATTATTTATTTAAAAAAGACTTCTTATTCCTCACATCTTTCCTCAAACGAAGAGAAATCGCATGTGCAATAATTTTATAATGTGCCCTAAGTTCACATTAATAATATTTGTTCTATATCATGTTGATTGAGCAAGCTCTATTGATGTCATAAGTCGTATGCTAAGAAAGTTTCTTTCAGACTTGGACTTATTCGTCAACGATTATAAATAAAAATTTTCAAAATGACTTAAGTATGATTGTTGACGAACTTTGACTTCATACTCTCGGATGAGACACAAGATTCCTTAAAAAAAAATAAAGAAATGTTAGAGAATCTTTATTGAGAATCTACGATAAACATCGCGTTTCATCAACTACTAACCTAGAAATTTAGCAAATAAAGGTCGGCAATTTTTAGTAAAATAGTCAATTGGGATAAACATATTTATCCAACAATCAAGTATCTTTATCCAGTAATCTCAACTCTCAAAATTGGTTGACAGTTCGTCCAAACTCGAGAAACACGAATTGATATATGTTGTATAGATAATAAGTTAATGCAAATAATCAAATGAAATCCACCGATATTGTTCAAATGATAAGACATTTTAAATGCAGTTGAAATATGTGTGTATTGTAGACACTCTTTATCAAATATTAATATATAAGTGATAAAATCTTTGAAAATTACACATTCAACGACCATGTTAAGACCAAAATCCTCGATAGTGTGTGCGAGTGTCTTAGATTGAGATTCTAAGCCAACATATAAACAATGACCACGGGTTGAACTTCAAAAATTAACAATTGATACATATTGTATAATGTACTAAATTTAAGTGTCTTGATAGAAAAAAAAAACTAACATCCAAAATGGAAATGAGTCGAGATTATAGAATTTAATCATCACGAGGGCTACGGTGTGTGTCAAGTTTCAATATGGATGAATAAATTGATCCAATAATGAAGTATCTTTACTAAGAATGTCTCACTAAAAAGTCCCAATCTTTACAACATTGGTCAAGAGTTCGTCCAAACTTGAGGATCATCAATGTGTATTGGATTTCCAAAGGACCTAAAATCTCAATCCCTTTCGGGGGCTAAATACCTATGGTCACAACCATAGGTATCAAAGAAGAATGAAAAGAAGCACAAAAAAAAAGAACATAACCTCCGATACGATGAACAGAATAAAAGCATATCGAGCTATGATCCTTTCATCCCTACCCCTTTCATTCTCCATAAAGGGGGGGGGGGGGGGAGAGGATAAGAAATAAATAGCATCATCTTAGAATTTCCCTCTTTATATATTACATATCAAACAATAGACAACCTCAATGGTTGTCTGACGTTATGAGGTAAAAGCGGGATCTTTATCCCGAGGGTGGGGATAGGCGAGTAGCACTTATATATATATATATAAAATATCAAGGTATACTATATTTTCATTTTACTCAAGATATGATAGAAGATAGGTATGACAAAGTATTTGCATAAATTAGAGGTTAGAGAATTAGGGATTAGAGTTCACCTATTAGAGGTTAGGGTATAGTATCATGCCCCAAAAAACTCCGGAGTCTAAATAGTAAAACTCAATGGTCATATGGTAGTGTGTGTGGTTCAGGTTGGCGTACGCTAAATATTAGTGTTTTGGTTGACAAATTTTGACATAAGTTATAAGTGGGACGTGACAGCGGCATAATTTATGATTAGAAAACCGAAGCATCAGAAGTGAGTGTGCTAAATATTGGAAATTTTCAATATAGACATACTACAAACTCTTTTATGAATCAAGAACACAAAATATTTAGAAGATCCAAAATGATTTAAACAAATAAATAAGTTAATTAATATAAATTATAAAATAAATCTCTCCGACCAACGGGCCAGGTATAAATGGTAGTTGATGAGACTTCAATTATAGCATTCTAACTTGAATAGTTTTCAAATTATCTTCAAACATCCGTAGTATAAAATGTGAGAACATTCTCACATATGCCTTGTAAGCATATCTGCCCGCCATCTGGCCGAATCGTCGTTGCTTATCCCTGCCATACATTAACATTCCAAACTGAACATGATACATCGCCGCCGATGAGCGTGGAGTTGCAACAAGTAACAACAGCAGTTGCGGTAATGAAAGTGGAAGAATCATCTTCCGATTCCATAATGCGGAAAGAGCAGTATAGATAGATAACAACAAAAAAAAAAGACACCTTTTGTGTTATAGAATTAGACCCATCTCGACTACTTTACAACAGGGTCAATACCAGTTACCTGATCGTCGTTGTCTCTTTCGTCTTTCTTTTGTCTAAATTTCCCCATCAGTTTCTATCAGTATCGTTTCCATTTTTTTTTTTTTTTGCCCTTGGGTGTCCAGTCCAGGTACAAGCTAATCGATTTCATCATAGACAATTGATTACCTTCGAGGACAGGGCAGGGCACCTCTGAGCTGAACTGAAACAAAAAGAGGAGGGAAAGGAAAGGACTACTTCCTCCAAAAATTAGCTGCTCACTGTGACTGCGGGGAGGAGCTCTTTGTCCTCTTAGCAGCAAACAGTTGCCTGAGGAAGCCAAACTTCCCCCTTGCCCGAGCAGATAACTCGGTCACCGTGCCATTACTCGAAGGCCCCGCCGCCTCGTCGGCTTGGGAGTCTAGCAGGGACGGTGATGGAGGCGATAGTGTGAACAGAAACGCGTTTAGCATGCGTATGATCTGGTTGAAGCTGGGACGCAAGTTTGGGTCTTCCACCCAGGATGACTGAATGATAAAAGCCAGCTCGGGGGGTATATCGTCCGGAATACTGGGCCTCTCTTGCTGCATCGTCACAATTTGGTTAGCGATTACTCAACATAGCTCCACAAGGTATGTATTCCCGAAAACTCGGAATGAGAACAGTGTTAGTATAGCTAATTTCATCATGTAATCAGTAGACGCAGATACCTTAAACGCGGCAACATAAGCGGCCTGCAAATTAGACATGCCTTCGAATGGCATGCGGTTGGTCAAGAGTTCCCATAGCACGATTGCGAAACTGTAGACATCAACCTTATTGTTGTAGTGCTTCTTCTCTCCTTGCCGTAAGGTTACAGTACTATACAGCTGCAATAGGCATATGTGTAAGTGAAGGTATGCTACAACGACTCGCTGGGAAGCGAGTGCCTTTCGCAGGCAAATCCGCACAAGAAACAGAATCGACACTTCATCTTCATAACCGTTAAAATTATGGATTTTCGTAAGAGCGTGTGCTACCCTTTATGACAATGAAGAGAACCCCAAATAGAGAAAATTAAAGTATCTCACTCTAATAAAGGTTGACAAATTGTGTACAGTTCCTTTTAGAAAAATAGACACTCTTTTTCCAGACATCCAATTTTATACCATAAGAGAAGGAAACGAAGGCATTAACCTCGGGAGCCATCCAACGATAGGTCCCAGTCTCTGCGGTCATCATCTCAGTCACAGTCTCTTCCCTTGCCAGACCGAAATCTGCAAGCTTCACAGACTTCTGATCCGCTGTTAGCAATAGATTATCTACAGACCAAAACATTACTTCCATGATCAGGATAAAACTGATATAAGCATTGTTCCGACCACTTACAGTGCTTATGCATATTACCAATTCAGGAAACTGAACACAGTAGTGATGGGCATCTAAAGCTTCATTAATAGTACAAACATGCCAGCAAACAAAGAGAAAAAAAATCGATCGAGATGATTGAATGAAGGTATTGGAGTTGGATAGGATCAAGTCGCAAGTTATTAGCCTATTACAGTATTACTAGAATACATATCCGGCCATCTTAATCAGGACAATGCAAGATTTACAACTAGGAGAGTAGTCCCTTGACATATAAATCGAAGTACCTGGTTTAAGATCTCGGTGTATGATCCCATTAGCATGCAGACATTCCATGGCTCGAGCAATATCAAGAGCAAAGCTTAACGCCAAGGGCAGCTCTAATTTGTTTGGTCGAATACTAAACAGAAATTTACGCAGAGACATCCCCGGTAACAGCTCAGTTACTATTGCCATCAATGGATCCTTGCAAGCTCCAATGAACTGTGCATGCACAAAAAGTAGCATCATATAAGGAAACACTGAATTTTGGACATAATCGATCTAAGCAACGATTTAACAAGCTTTAAGGGTAAGAAGATGCATTTGGAATAAACAAGTGACAACCCCTCTAGTCCTTTTGAGAAAAACAAGTAATCATCAAGCCGTCTGGTAAACCAGTAATTACCTTGACAAGATTCTCATGTTTCACCTTGGACATCATATTTACTTCACGGGCAAAACGATTCTCAAGCACAGACCTTTCATCAGATGTGCTGCCTCGGTGAAGAACTTTGATAGCAACAATTCTTTCACCAAACCTGGATAAAATTTAAGCACACCTATTATATAGCAAGCTTAGGACCCTTTTTAGCAGCTTCCCGTGGAAGGCAAAAATGTAAGTATCATGGCTAATTACAAGAACAACATGATAGCAGTCTACAAAGCCTTTCACCAAATCTAGAAGTCCAATAACAAAAAAACCATGCAGCAAACGAAATGAAATCAATAGCTGGAACTGGTACAGATCTCCCATTATCCATACATTGGGGTAACTTGGTAGTTGACATAATGAATTCACATTGCATCAAAACTGTAACAACAAGTCCGGGATGATTAATCTACGCCAGAGTACAGAACCATAACCACAGGCGTTAACAGGGAGAGTGGGATCACCCTGCAGAGGCTAGTTCAGAGGTTGCGTAATTCAACAGCGATTCCCCTCGATTGGAGAAGAAGATCGTAGAAGAATACAACGATAATAAGATCGAGTCGGGCTTTAACACTAAATTTGTGCATAATAAATTAGATTTCCCCAGAATAGGCACTCATGTATGCAGAACTGACCTTCCTTCGTAGACCTTTCCATGGGCTCCCTCGCCAATTTTCGATCCTATAAACAATGATTTAGCATCAATGAGAAGGCTCTCGTCAATCGAAAGTCGAGGAGCAATGATCGAACCGTTTCCCAAGCCAGCTTTTGATTGTATCTCCCCGGACCTACTCTCAATAGACCGCCGTTCGTATGCTTCTACAACTTGTGCTCCTCCGCCGTTAACCTCCCTGATGCGACTCATCTTCCGAACTTACTGCCTCAAATAGTGCCTGAAATCCTCATCCCTCCAATACCTCGCTTCAGTTTCCTCATCCGAAATCCCTCAAACAGTCAACTAGCGACCGATTTCCTCGCAATTCTGCAGCGACGGCAGTTCGCCTCTGTCACTACCAAACGGTCCTTGGAGAATCCACAAGCGACACTCAGCTCCCCAATTCAGTCGGAGGAGTCGTGGATGGGAAAAAGGCAGGTCAATCCGGAAGATTAGAAGAAAGCAGGTAAAGAGCTGGCTTCTGCCTCTACTACTCCCTCTCCATTACAAAGAATTTTATTTAAGCTGGAAGCCATCTCTCCTCTTGCGTGCAGCTTATAAAGTGAAAACCCTAGCGATTCAACCATGAGTCAAGCAACGACATACAATCGACGCTATTTTTTTTTCTTCTCTCCCCTAAAGTAGTACAATAATAACGGTTTCAGAGCATGAACGATGACCAAGAATAAATACTACAAACGCCCGTAAGCTCTCCGGAGGCTGTGAGCCGGCGATCACTAGCTGCAACGGTTTTCGGTGTTTAGCATCAGGCGGAGAGGGAGGAAGATAAGTTCCGACGACGATATTCCGACGAGGGATTTTAAAAGTGGAGGGATGTGTGTGTGTGTGAGAGAGAGAGAGAGAGAGAAGAGAGTCCCACACTCTCGGCTCCCAAAGAAAAAAAAAAGCAGAGAGATGTTTGTGAGAAATGTACAGAGCGAATAAAAAGTGCACACGTGGATAGCACAGAAATTAGGCCTTTCTTATGGGTTATAGCATCAGCGATTTGGACGTTGGGTGCTTTGGATGGACAAGTCATAAAAAGACACAGAGCAACTTCGCAAATTCACCGGAATCAGCTCGGCTCCACTCCAACGTCTAACCACTAGGCCAGTAGGCCCCCACCCTGCTTTTGCATTTTTTTGGCATAAATAAAAGTAGGCAGAAGTACATACACATAGGAAAAAGACTAAATTACACGTTTGGTCACTCAAATTACATAAATTTTTCATGTTTGTCACCCGAATTACTTTTTTTTCTAATTGACACTAACTTTACGAATCGTTTCACCATTAGTCACCGGCCGTTAGTCTCCATCAAACTCCGTTGATTTTTTAATGACGTGGCAAACGAGACTGATGACTAGATGGTTAACTTAATGACATGTCAATAAAAAAAATAACTAATAAATAATTAACAGGTGGCCTGCACCCCACCGTGAACTTCCTCCTCTTATCGCCCGCGGCCAGCGATTGGCTAGTTGCTGCCCTCTTCTGTTAGGAGATTCAATGTCCGTCGGAGGTTGTCTCCGAAAGGGATTGTGAATTAGAATGGTGGATATTTGTGGGGTGGCGATCTTTTTCCTACAGAACTCAGACCCCCTATGGGCATCATAGCAAACTCCAACTGGGCCAAGAACACCACCACCACTAACAACAGCAACCGTGACATGGGCTTCCTCCTGTTCTTCTTCTCCAGCCACAAGAACTCTTCCGCCGGGCTCCAGGATTCTCGTTTTCGACGGCAAACAGACGGTTCACAGCTATGATTACACCCTGTCCTCCTCCCCTTCCTCTGGCGATTCTCTGGATAATGCAAAACCAGCCATGAAACGAACCAATTCCAGCAACCCAATCCTTACCAAAACTCAATTCACCATCTCCCGCCTACTCCTTGTTGGTCCTCTTCTCCTTCCTCCTCTTCGCCCTTTCCACCTTCGAGCCCCCTCCCCTTCCCACCCGTCTCGTTCCCCACCAGTTCCTGTCCAAGAACCACCTTGCTGGAAGAGGGAGAAGGTGGAATTACTGGCTCGACTATGCCACCAGCTCAATCGCTCGCGGCGGCGGCAGGATTGTCGGGAGGAGGAGGAAAAAAGCAGAGGATTACCCAACGATTTTTCCTCTGCTAATTCTTTTTCTCTCTAAGGGATGGGCAGGTTGTACCGGCCAGCGGGGAACCATATCCATGGCCAACCTCCACGTCAGCCACATGGTGGAGGACACGAGTTTTGCCTCTTCCTGCGGATGTTCCTCCAGTCCAGCCTAGCATCCAGATCTGACGTTGTTTCCTCTTCCGTTCTTCTTCCACTCCCTCTGCTTCCAGATCTGGTTTCGAAACTATAGTTCGCGAGGAGAACGACTTGTTCTCCGCGCTCCTCCGCCTGCATTGCGCGACGAATCATTGTAAATCGCCGTTGAAGGAGAGAGGAAAATGCTCCTGGTCCAGATTTGACGCGGAGCGGTTCGTGAAAAGAGTGAATCACAGCAAGGGAATGGTTAAAGCGGCGGCGGCGGGGACGATGGAGCCAACTCTTCTGCTGGGTAAGAAATTTCGAATCAATGCTTCCATTAATGGCAGTTACAATCCTGCTCCAAGTAGTGATGGCTAGTCCTCCATCGATGACGACGAGTCGACGACTCGAGTGGGTTACAGGTCGGTGGTTAGATTTGAGGCGAACGAGCTCGACCTGGAAAACTCGCTACCCGGTTGACCATCCCTTCCGGAGACAGCCTCTGAAGGACTTCAAATCTCCCAACGGAAAAGGGCGGCAACTTGCCAAACGCTGGCCGTTGGCGATCAGCGGAGGAAGTTCACGGTGGGGTGCATACCACCTGTTAATTAATTATTTATTATTTATTATTATTTTTTAATTGACATTATCATTAAGTTAACCATCCAGTCATCAGTCTCGTTTGCCACGTCATAAAAAAACTAACGGAGTTTGTCGGAGACTAATGGCCGGTGACTAACGGTGAAATGATTCGTAAAGTTAGTGGCCAATTAGAAAGAAAAGTAATTCGGGTGGCAAAAGTGAAAGATTTATGTAATTTGAGTGACCAAACATGTAATTTATCCCATAGAAAAAACATAAATACGATGGTTACTACTAAGTGAACTATCGATTCAAGAATTTTTTAAGCCATAATATGGACAGCCCTGAACAACTTAATAAACTGATAATACATTATAAACTAACAAATAAAGTAAGACATGAATATACCCCTGTAAGTAGTTCCACCTGCAAAATGAATAAACACATAAACTGCAAAACAACTGAATTGCAACAAATATGGAAAACAACTTTTCCAAAATTCTTGCTCATACAAAAGACCACCAGCCGCAAAAAGCAAATCGGACGCGTCACATGCAAAAACGCAATTTAGAGTGTAATGATAAAACACTTAAACACAAAGGGGGTATGCACCACGCGACCATCAGCAACGCACCACGATGCACCTGCAAAATCAACATACAAAACAAACAAAAAGCCCCATACAAGCAGGTTTATGGTAAAAGCCCAACCAATACCGGATACAAACTATGAAATCAGAATAAGGATACACTCCTCTAAGCAGCTTACCTGCAAAGTGAAAAAAAAAAACACAAACTGCAAAACAGTCGAAATAACACAAACCGGAAGAACATCTACAAGGAATTCACAGACTAGACATTCGAATAAAGAAAAATACAATAGAACCCCCAAATAAAAGGAGAGGATGAAGAGTAGAAGTAAAAGATGAAAACCCATGAGAAAACTAGAAAGAGCCACAAACATAGCTGAAACTGAAACCAAATCATAGTAAAAGGCCAATCTGAATGGAGAAAAAGAATGATACAAGTATGCACACATAATTGTCAAGATTGGGTTTTGTTACAGAACCCTTATGTATAGTTAAAACATACGGGAAAGATAAAGACAAGTCACTAACAAGATATAACACAACTGCTATAATCAAGCAATAAGTCGATTCTCGATTCAAGTGCCTTTTGAGCTACTATATGGGCAACCCTGTTTAGCTTCAGCCTACGTGGGATAAACTTACATGAAAATTAAGAGTAAAAAGTCAAGTAATAACCAAACCTCTTCTAACAGTGTTCCACCAAACATGTGCGAAGTGAAGAAGTGAAATCATGCAATAAACACCATTACAAGGCCTCACGAAGCGCCATTAGTTCAATCACAAAGATATCCTCAATACCCAAAAGATAACATTCAAATGCAAATTGGAGTTGCATCCCACCAACAAAACCCACATCTGCCCCAACACCCCGCTTGAAAGCACCATCAAAATGGAGAAGTACCACCTGGCATAGCTGGTTGTGGTAACAAGGAAGACATTGGTTTTGGCGTAGGTCGAGAAGAAGCAAATGTCGCTCCCAAAAGAGAAGGAACCGAGGCAGCAACCCACTCCTCTACTTGGTGACTGAATTGACGATAGAGTGGGCGAACCTGAATAAATAAAAAATCATGGACAACAAAGTACCTTGATTTCCATAACCGCCAGCACATGAAAACAACCCGATCGACTTCCTGCGAAGACACGTATGAGAAGAAAAATAAATGCCTCCATGCTAGGACAAAATGTTCTCCTGCAAAAAACAAAGGAATTGTGTCCGTGGAAGCCATGTGCCAAAGTTCCTTCGCCACCCTACAGTAAAAAAAAATCAAAAACAAATGACAAGCAGTCTCTGGAGAAATACAACATACAGGACAAGGAGCTTCTGAGACCAAATGTCGATAACGAAGCTCATCCAACAAGGGATGGAAATGACGAAGCATTCGCCAAAGAAAATTTTCCAGTTTGGACGGCATAGGTAATGCCCATGGGTACTTCCAAAAACGAGAATCAAATGAAGTGGGAAGGGGAAAAGGATCAGAGCTGGATTCTGCAAATGCCAGGCTATAACCCGACTTCATTGTGTATTCACCAGTTGGATCATAGTGCCAGATGAGTTTGTCTTCAATTGGATGTCATGGGAGAGAAATTGAGAGAATAAGCTTAACAGTAGATGCATCAAAGAGAAATTGCAACAAAGATAAGCATCATTCTCTCGTACCTTGACCAATCAATAAAGAAACCAAAGGAGAAGGAGGATAACGACCGGGTAACAGCTTAGGACTAGAGGGAAGAGTGGTAGGCAGCCTGATATCACCACTAACAAGGATGGAACTCCCTGTACCAACCTGCCATCTTAGACCTCAAACCAGCAAATCACGCCCTGCAGGTATTCCTTGCCACGCCCATGACGCCCGATAGCCAGCCCGGGCATGGAGAAGAGAAGTAGAAGGAAAGTACTTTCCCTTATATGTCCGAGCAAGGAGGGAACCAGGCTGACGAAGTATCCTCTAAGCTTGTTTAGCGAGCATGGTGACTCTATCTGACTATCACAATAAAATTCCACCTAAGGCCCAAGTATAAACATTAGATGGATGCAATATAGGGCAAGTATGTTTAAATATCGACCAGGGCCAGCCCATGTACCGCTACTTCGATTTGTTTGAAACATTAACTAACATATAGTTTTGGTTAAAACGAAGATCTAAAACTAAAGTACTTTGCAAAGATGAAATGATTTTGACACTAATTGAGAAGGTTTCACCCGGGTGTTGCTCCCCCTAGCTAATAATTATGACTTGAAGGATCGAATGACTGTGTGTGGTGAGGGAGTTATAAACTGCAAGGAAGTCTAACAAGTAGACAAAGCTACCCTCTTATTCTTTAGGTCGAGGAAATGGGATACAATCCACGCCACTAATGCGACCCTCATCGGCTACCTCTCACTGAGTCGAAGGCCCCGACTCATCATCTGGAGGGCAAGCAACCCTCTGTTCATCATCAGATGGCCCGACTGCAAGCTAGGGACGACGGACCGGGCTAGGAGAGTATGCATGATCCTCCATGGGAGCCGCAACTTAACCGCATTGGTGCGGCCAACATCGTACTCCTCCTGATCATGCTAGGGCGATAGAGGGCCTGGAATGCGCCCTGGTAGTGGAAATCGACGGTGTAATGCCGCTCCATCATCATCATGTATGTAGTGTTGAGCCCCATGGCTTGGGCGAAGGCATCATAGGTCAGCACCCATGGCTGACCGCCCAGCATAAACTCCACGTAGGGTCGACTCTTCTTGCTTGTTGGGACGACGTGGGAGAAGGTGGAGTAGAACTCCAAGCAGAGCTCGTGGTAGATGAGCTCATCCAAAGACAACAGCTGGCGCCATTGGGGGTGACAGGCGACCCCTGGCATCATGGCTCGACACCTGAACAGTTAAACATGTCCAAGTCCAGTCGCCAATGTTGCCCAATCGGGCTGTCCCTCTAATATGCAAACTTGGTCCCGAACCATGCATGGTTCACCAAGTAGTTGATGTACTCGTGCTCCACGTTAAGCATCCCGCAAAACCGACAAACATGCATCATATGTGGAAATAATTATCAATCTCAACTCATTGGGAGGAAAAAGGAATCCCCCCCCCCCTCCCACTTGTATTTCCACTTTGGGCCCATGCTAATCAAAACAATTAAGCACAAGCACAGCGAGGCATGGTTGTAGGTGTTCATGGATTATCCACACAAAAAAAAAATTAAACTGAACCATGCCACGGTGGCTACCATCCACCACTCAAGCATAATCATTTCACATTCATTCACAAATTAGCACTTGGTGGGCAAATTTCACAAATAAAAGCAATTCGAATCAAAACGTGCCCACCAAGGCTCAACTAAGCCCAAGCAAACATCATTCAACCATTCAATCACCCTAATTCACCTATTTCCTCACCCTAATGCTAAGTTCAACATTCAATTCACTAAAATCTCCTCACTTCACTACCTAATCTGATTCTCCCAAAAGAATCAAGGTAGAGTTGAAAACAAACCTGGAGATTCAAGTAGGAAGGGTAGGGGAAGTGAGGAGAGGGAGGCAAAAAATCGGCCGAAAACATACCAGAGGGGGGTCGTCGGAGCTTCACCAGAAGATCGTTGGAGCCTCTCCAGCGGCGAATTCATCGGAAAAAATATGCTCCAAATCTCCCCAAAATTCTGGCGAAGGCCGGCCTTGATGAGGGAAGACTGGTTTTGTGCTTGGTTTTGGGTTTGGCTAGCCGCAAGTGGGTGAAAAGGGCAAAAGTGGTCGGAGATTCACGATTTTCGGGCGAGGTTTGGAGGATTCTGGCGAGTTTTGGGTCGTGAAGTGAAGGAAAACCGTTCACGACCCTTTTATAGGGTGACCCTGCCGTTCACGGACGCATTTGTTAGTTCACGATCATTAAAACCGTGAACACTGCAATCCGTCCGTGAACTGGGGTAAGTCGATGGGGTGGCCTTTTTGGGCGATGACTTATGTTTTGCCCTTTTCATTCCACCGGGCATCAGCATGACTTAACCGTTCCCTCCAAGCTCTTTTCCTTACTTCTTTGGGAAAGATGCCCTTTTTACTTTCCTGCTTCACATCATCACAAAGAACAACAGTAATAATGGGGTTCACCTTGCAAGGCTCTCCTCCACTTGCATTCACATCACCCGGTTCCTCTTTCTTCACAGAGCGATCGGCCAATGTGACACTAAGCCTCGTAGTCTTTAGTTCACCTATGTCTAGCCTCTTAAAAAGCTTAAATAACATCATATTTATGCTCGCCACTAAGTCCTCCAAGGAATTTTCTATGTGATGAGAACCGATGCAAAGAGTTATAGGGAAACTACCTGGATCGGGTTTCTTCTTGGGCAACCTGTTGAGGATGAAGGCTGAGAACTCTTCGCCTAGGGTGACATTGGCGAGGTCTTTGAACTTCGGCTTCTTGGAGAGAAGCCCCTTGAGGTATCTTGAATACCTTGGCATGTGGGCCATTGCTTCAAGGAAGAGAATGTTGAGGTGGAGCTTTCGGAGCATCTACATGAAACCTCCACATTCCTCTTCCAATCTTGAATACCTTGCTATAATGTTGTTTCCTCTAGCATTGGCAATGAAACTCACTTACTCCTTGAGGGTACTTGTCTCCTTCATCGCTTGGCAATCCGCAATTTCATGATTAGTGCTTGAACACCAATCACAAGACATCACCGCTCTCTTCCCTTGCTTATTGTCCTCAAGGATCACCTCGATCAACTTGTCAAGCTTCCTATCAAGTGGAGCACATGCTCCCACACTTCGCACTCCTCTTTTGGTGCTTCTCTTCCCACTTCTTGTCAAGCCCCAATCCTTTAAGAGCCATATCTTCGAGCAAATCGTCCATTTGAGGAGGGTTCATGTTCATCAACTTCCATTGGCAAAGAGAGTCGATGAGAATTTTTCATCTTAAATGAGTCTTCCATAGAATGTTTCTATACAAAATTTCTCCTCGAATCCATGACGAGGGCATTGGAGGAAGTAGTCGGAGAATCTTTCCCATGCATCCCTCAATGTCTCATACTCCTCTTTCTCAAAGTGAGTGATCTTCTTTCTCCACTCGGCCGTCTTGGAAGAAGGACAATATCGGGTCATGAACTTATTGAGTAAATCGTCCCAAGTGGTGATGGATAGAGCCAGACGGCTGTTGAGCCATCAGAGTGCCTTCCCCTCCAAAGAATAAGGGAAAAGCCTCAATCGCAATGCCTCCTCGGGGATGCCATTTATCTTCAAGCTTCTCGCTAGCTCAAGAACCTTTGGACATGCTCTCGTGGTGATTCATTGGAAAGCCCATGAAAGTAGGCATTGTTTTGAATCATCGTCACAAGAGTGGGCTTGATTTCAAAGTTGTTGGCGGCCACGGGTAGATTTAAGATACGAATTGGATATCCGACGCCCATGGAGCCATAAATATCCCATAGTCCTTGGCTCTTCCTCGGCTCCCGCTTCCACATTTGGGTTTGGAAGCGGATTAGCCCCTCAGTGTTGATTCCTCGCCATCTCAACTTCAACTTCTCCTTCAATTCCTTCAAACCTGGGACCAACTTGTTGTCCCCTCTTCACTTCTCCTTCTTGCCTCCACTTGTTCCCTCTCTCGATCTAAAAGTCGGAGATTTCGGTTGATGTCCTCGTCCAGTAATGTTAAAGGCGCCAGATTGCTCCAGGTCATGCACCTCCCTACACACACTTAAACTCTTAAAGAACACAACACGTCTAGCACAAACAAACTTCACTCTTAACAACACTGACAATAAAAGCTAGATTAACACCAAACACACTTTTCAGGATAACGAACCAAAGGTCCCCGACAACGGCGCCAAAAACTTAACTCGATCTGACTATCACAATAAAAGTCCACCTAAGGCCCAAGTATAAACCTTAGATGGGTGCGATATAGGTCAAGTATGTTTAAATATCGACTCGGGTCGGCCCATGTACCGCTACTTCGATTGTTTGAAACATTATCTAGCAGATAGTTTTGGTTAAAACTAAGATCTAAAACTAAAGTACTTTTCAAAGATGAAATGGTTTTGAAACTAATTGAGAAGGCTTCACCCGGGTGTTGCTCCCCCTACCTAAAAATTACGACTTGAAGGATCGAATGACCGTGTGTGGTAGGGGGGGGGGGGGTTATATAAACCGCAGGGAAGTCTAACAAGTAGCCAAAGCTACCCTCTTAGTCTCTAGGTCGAGGAAATGGGATATGATACAAACCGCTAATTCGACCCTCTCAACCTTGAATTGGAGTTCACCTTCGAATTGGAGTTCGGACGACCACCCACAACCAAATGCTAAGGGCTAATACGAAATAGGAGGTTTGCCCTGCGTTAACCTAACTAGGAGACAACGAATTGCCCACGAAAACCAAACATTCAAGACTCTTTCAAATAAAGGAAGGGGGTTTTCTCTCTATCTAGGTTAGAATGACAATTAGATTGATAGGCTTTCACACAACACGACACAATCATTCATGAATAATACCTCCACATTCACATTAAATACACCACACACAAATCATTCAAATCATACAAGCTTTCACATAATTGTAGCTAGGGTTTACAAACACCCAAGTGAAAGAAGGGACTACTCCATGCTAGGAGAAGGGAAAACACAAGGGAGAAGAAAGAAAACCATAAAAAAGATGCTAGCCTTGCTCCTTGTGTTGAAGAGATCCTCCGTTGGGGAAGGAATTCTCGAATCCTTGCTTGGAGACGAAACCCTAGCTTCTCCTCTTCTTTGGTTCGTCACTTTCTTACTCTAAAAATCTGAAGAAGAAGTTTCTCACACTAGACCTCCCCCTTTCTTTTTCCTTTCAACTAGCTCTTTATATGAGATGGTGCCCATTTCACGACCCAAGTTCACGGCCGTGAACATCAAAACGTGTCCGTGAACACAGTGTGCTGAACCAAAACGCACCGCTTCACTTCTTGGGTTCGGTTTGTGGTTGCAGTTCACGGTCTTAGCGAGTGTGAACGACCTTGGCGTCAGTAACCTCAAAAACCCCCTGGACGCTTTTAGATTCACGGTTTGTGGTCCCAGTTCACGGTCCGGGAGGCTGTGAACTCCAATGGCAGACCGTGAACACAAGCTGTTTCCTCCTCTTTGCCCGGTCTTTGCTCCTTTTCTTCCAACTTTCGAATTCGAGGTTGGTTTCACCTGTTAGGATCTGAAACACACTGAAACACAAGAAACCTAGCATAAAACCACCCCTTTTGGAGCTCAATTGCAACAAACGCAAAATATAAACGTGGATAAAAAGTGTACTATTAGACCCGAATCACATTGCAACATTAAATTGTTCAAAATCTCAAAATCCTAGGCCACCGTCAAACTTGCTGTGACAGAGCGTCTTCCAGAACGTCCAATGAAAGCCATCATCATGGTCTTGATCAGCCCGCCAAAACTTGGAAACATAGCCATTCAATCGCCCGCAAGTGGAGAGTGGTAAAAGAAAGCAAGACATAGCAAATAATGGGAGAGCAACCCACACAGATTTTACCAGAATCTCATTACCTTTAAATTATAAAATAATTTTTTTATTTCCTGTCCAAATTTTCTGTCGCCGGTCACCAGAATTTTGTCTGTGGAATATGCTATTGTCGCCGGAATATGTTAACAATCGCCGAAATCCTCTTATCGTGGCCGAAATATGCTCAACGTCTCCAGAATATGCGCACTATAGACGAAATCAGATCACCATGGTAGAAATATGCTTATCGACGTCGAAATCTAGTCATCGGGGCCGGAATATACTTATTAGTGCCGGAATCCGGTCACCGAATGTCATCAAAGCTTGGTTAAAAGTCTTCGTTGACCAGTCAGTGATCAACGATCACTGAATATTGTGGTATGCAAAGTGAGATTCATGGTTTGGTTTCTCGTGATTTTGGTACGCCTTTTGTGGTGTGCTTTATCGTGTTTGTGGTTTGAATTAAGAAGTTTCTGGTGTGCTTTCGGAAATTTTGTAGTTTGCTTTGTGAGGTTTCTAGCTTGTTTTAATATATTTGTGATATGTATTACGACATTTCTGGTTTGCTTTACGGTGTATGTGGTTTGCATCAGGAGGTTTTTGGTGTGCTTTTCGAAATATTTGTGGTATATGATTTGTGGGATTTCTGGTATAGTTTAGGAGACTTGTGGTGTGCATTAGGAGATTTTTTGTATGCCTTTTGTGGTATGCTTTATCGTGTTTGTGGTTTGCATTATTAAGTTTTTTGTGTGCTTTCGAAAATTATGGGGTTTGCTTAGTGGGGTTTCTGGTATGTTTTAATAGATTTGTGGTATGTATTAGGAGGTTTTCGGTTTGCTTTTTGTGGTTTGTTTTACCATGTTTGTGGTTCTCATTAGGAGGTTTTTGGCGTGCTTATGAAGTAATTTTGCATTAAGAGATTTTTTGTACATAATGAGATTTTTGGTTTATTAGGTTTTTCAGGTTGTTTTAGAGATTTGGATTCTGCATTAAGAGATTTTTTGTACACATTGAGAAACACAAAACAATACTTGGCAGTACAATAGAAAGCCCAGGGCTAAGTTCTCGTCAGTAACCCCATGGTTACTCACCATGAGTAACTATAATCTCAGCCATCAGATTTAAGTGGCCCCAGAAAATCCAGATGTAAGGGTGGAGAATTAAAGACATTTTTATTTTCCCTGTTTTCTTAATCGGCTCATATCTTATTCGTTTTAACTCGAATTTCTATTTTTTTTTTGCACAGATGGAGCGAGTTTGTTGTGCTCTACAAAATGAGATCAATTTTCAATATTTTTTGAGAAAAAATTTATTGCCTCTCGTTAACAACTGCATACCATATGGTATCTTTTTCGTTTTTAAGTTGTTTTTGAAAATTTTTGCACAGAAGGAACGAATTTACCATGATCTATTGGATCTACAAATTTCTGGGGAAGTAAAATACAGGACCAAAAAATACCACACAATACCACACTGGTACGGGGTGGTATCTTGTGGTACAAAATGTTGAAAGTTGTAAATGACAGTTTGTATACTCCTACTATCATGTATTCAATCATCCTACAATCTTGGTATGTTCATACACGATGTAAGCTTTTTCATACCATATGGTATGCACTTATTTAATACCAGTCAATACCATATGGTATATACTCGCAAAAAATGACTCAATTCTTTTTGTTCCAAAAATATGTCAAAGTGGATATCATTTTGAAGAGCATAATTAATCAGATCTAACTGTGCAAAAAAATTTAAATTCCAACTTAAAATGAGTGAGAAATCATCTGTTAAAGATTAAGAGAGAGATAATTAAAGATTTTCCAAGAGAGAGAAGGGATGCTGATGTGGTTGATGGTGATTGGGTTACTCATGGTTACTCATCTCAAGATTACTTATGGGAACCGCTCCCGAAAGCCCAAACACCCCAGAAATACAACCATTTTTGAAGGCTTGTTTGTGTGAGAGTCAATAAGACTGTTGAATGCTTGTCTGTGTGAGTCAATGAGGCTGTGCCTGCCGAACTAATTCCTCTCGCTACCAACCCTGATTCAGATCTCATCGAACCAATCGCTAAGCTCGAGGTTGTAGAACAAGCCATCGAAGGCATCTTCAACGAGCGAGTTGATGACGTAGTTGCATATTGACAATATTGAGTGGAAATCCTAAAACCTGAGTTGTATCTTGCATTGAGATGAATATATATGTGATTTTTGCCACTACAAACCAAGGATCAGCTAGCTGTGCTTTTAGAGAAGAGTGAAAGGTGAAAAATAAATGCAACAGAGAAAATACAAAAGGACTATTCTGTTGTGTTGTTTAATACAACGGTCGGCTTGACTCCTTGAACGACGTCGCTCCATGTGATTTTCCTTCTCCCTATGTGACTAACAGATGACATGGTCTGAGAAATGGTGGATGAGAAATTTTCAATTTCTGTTGTTATTGCACCCGAAAGAACAGATCTTCTCCACCAGATCTAGCTTCCCCAACACTGAGTTTCCCGTCACCACTTCTGCCGCCACCGTTGTCGCGAACAAAATCCGCTCCACTAAACATACAGATCCGATTCAATTCGAAAATTCAATTTACGTGAGATTCAATTGAATCGGAGGAAAGATGGGAGGAATATAGAAATTCGAATCACAAACTCAATTGCGTGCCGTCCGGAGATGATCTCAGAATCTTGGCTCATCTTGGAGCTCTCAATATACTCTTGGCTCGTCTTGGATTACCTTTTTATCCTTGTTATATTTTTTTTTTCAAAAGATAACATATATTAATCCAATCAAAAAGATAATTACATCCTGGAGAGCAGCCAGGCCCTGAAATCAAACAAACGATTCCCAGTTGGGTACAAAGAGAGGGCTTTTATAGCTACCGAATGAGCTACCCTATTGTTATCCCGACCTACAAACCGCACACTAAACCCCGGATGGGCATCAAAATATTGACAAATCTCTTCCAGGATTGCCCCCAAGTGATTGTCCCGCGAATCGGCTTGATTAATCTTGTCAATAATGACCTTTGCATCACCCTCGAACCGAACCTCGGACAAACCCCACTCTAAACACCATGTGATAGCCTCACGCAGCACAAGCAGCCCCACCACCATCGGCTCATCAATTCGTGCAAATTGCACACCTTTAGCCCGAAGGACCGACCTTCCCTGACCACAAAGAACCATCCCTCCAGCCGAGTGTGATCCCCTCCTAGTTGCCCTGTCCCACATGCACACCAACCGAGAGTCATCCACTTGGGTCCCATGTTGGACCCCCTGGCACGACCTCCTTGGTTGCCGGTCAATTGGCAGACCCACCCATTCCTCGAATTGCTGGTGAAATTGGCGCATTAAAGCCGGAATCCCAAACAGTTTGCCTTCAAAGACAACCCAGTTTCGCGATCGCCAGATCCGCCAGAGGATGGCAACCACTGCCATAAACAGCGACGGATCATGGATCAGGGCAAGCATTCGCTTTAGAAACAGTGGAAACGTGTGCCGAGGCAAAGCCTCCCCTAGATAATCCAACCTCGAGTGGTCCCAGAGGGCCCGTGCAACCGGGCAGTAAAGAAACAAGTGCTCCATAGTCTCGGGACCCTCCCAACAAACCGGAAACTGGGGCAACACAAGAACCTTCTTTTCAACGAGCGCCTCAGTGGTTGGCAGGGCCCGATTCAAAATTTGCCAGACAAAGACTTTAAGCTTTGGCGGGATCTTAGCCTCCCACAGCCGGATCCAGCTTTTCCTATCCATCCAACTCACCGACTCCCGCCACCCACCCCTCCTTCTGTCAAGGTCCACTGCCAGATGATATGCCGTCTTAACTGAGAACACCCCATCAGCTGTGTTATGCCAGATAAGTTTATCATCCACATTCCTCCTCGGAAGAGGGATAGCCTTAATAGCCCGACAGACAGCAGGGTCAAACCATTGACTCAGCTTATTCTCATCCCACCGCCCTTCCCCTTAACAAATGACCTCCGCCACCAAGGGATCCCCCTCATTTGGCAGGATGCGAGGATTATAGCAAGGGGTCTCCAACTGAAGCCCAGGAATCCATTTAGAATGTACAAGGGAGGTCGAGAGGCCATTGCCTATCTGCCATCGTAAATCTGCCTCCAGAAGCTGACACCCAAATAGGATACTCTGCCAACCCCACAAAGGCCTAGACCGGGCAGTCGCAGACAGAAACAAGCCTTGCGGAAAATACTTCCCTTTATACACCTGAGCCAGGAGGGAATGCGGCTCTTGGAGAATACGCCAGCCAATCTTTGCTAAGAGAGCCTGGTTAAAATGTTCAAACCTGCGTAAACCTAAACCCCCCTCATGCTTGCTCTGGCAAAGGTTCCGCCAGGACACCCACCTAATCTTGGAATGGCCCTCCTCAACTCCCCACCAGAAACGGGCCACATCTATCCAACAAACGGCACAGGGATAGGGGCAACCGGAAACATGACATAACATACAGGGGCGAGGCCAAAGCAACAGACTTGATTAAAGTCTCCTTTGCCGCCCATGATAAAGTTCTCTGTTTCCATCCCTGCAAACGCGCCAGAAGTTTCTCTTCCAAATACCTGAATGTCGCCATCTTGGATCGGGCAATCAAAGTGGGTAACCCCAAATATTTATCATGAACCCCTACTACACCGACCCCAAGAATCGCAGCCAAAAACTCCTGATCAGCCAAGGCAACATTTTTGCTAAAGCAGACTGCCGACTTTTCCAGGTTAACCCGCTGCCCATTCAGCTCCTCATACTCATTGAGCACCACAATTAAATTCTCACACTCCTGAAGAGAACCTCGCAGGAATAGATAGGAATCATCCGCGAAAAATATATGCGAGATCCTAGGAGCACGCGGTGCCACCTTTACCCCTTCCAACTTCTTTTCAGAGATCGCCTTCCGAAGAAGGGCGGCAAACCCTTCCGTGCAGAGCACGAACAGGAGAGGCGACAACAGATCTCCCTGTCTGAGTCCCCGAGAGGAACCGAAAAAACCCGAAGGCGTACCATTCATAAGAACCGAAAAAGTAGCAGATCTAAGACATTCATGTACCCATCCTTGCCAGACAAAGTTAAAGCCCATCTTTTCCAAAACTGCCAGAAGGAAGGGCCATTCGACTCTATCATAGGCCTTTTCCATGTCAACCTTTAGAGCCATGTACCCCTTCTTCCCCTGCCTTTTTATTTTAAGATAATGCATTAACTCATGCCCAAGAAGGACGTTATCAATGATCTGCCGATCTTTTATAAACGCATTTTGCCCCTCAGACACGATTTGAGGGAGCAATCCCGCCAGCCGCTCAGCCATGATCTTGGTTATAACTTTATAAACGAACTGGCATAGACTGATCGGACGCAGCTGGCGGATATTATCCACAGAATCTACTTTAGGGATCAACGTAAGCCACGTATGGTTAAAACTCCGTAGCATTCGACTAGTCGAAAAGAAAGAACAAACCGCCTCAATCACTGATGCACCCACAACATCCCAGAATGCCTTGAAGAATTTGCCGGTAAAGCCATCCGACCCCGGAGCCTGCTTCGATCCCATAGAAAAGACCGTTTTCCGAACCTCCTCCGACAAAACCACCGCCGTTAAAAGCGCATTCATCTACGGAGTAACCGATTGGGGGATTGAGAGGCTCGCCACCCTATCAGCCATGTTTTGCACCTGGGATTCCGAGGTAAATAGAGTTTGGCAAAAGCTGGTAGGAATCCTAGCCTTCCCGCTCTCTTCCGTAACCCACTCACCCTTTCATCCCGGAGCCCGGCGACAAAATTCCTTTTCCGACGAGCACGCGTAACCGTGTGGAAATAAGCTGAGTTTTGGTCCCCTCGTTTCAGCCATCGGACCCTGGATTTTTGCTGCCAGTACAACTCCTCTGCATCCCATTGACGAGATAGCTCCATTTCCAGGGCTCGTACCGCATCCCAATCCACAGGATAGATGGACTTGACTCGGTCAACCTCAGCCTGGAGAGTTTTAATATTACGCAAGGAGCTTGTGGTTCCCGCTCTACTCCAATCATACAGCAGATGCCTGAGTTTCTTGAGGCGTTCCCAAAGCCGAAACATGGGGGTGCCTTGCAACTCCTCCTGCCAGACATACTGGACCATAGCCCTAACCTCAGGATTTTTCGCCCAACGAGCATCAAACCGGAAAAGAGGCCGGCTATTTCGAGTATACGGTTTATCAGCGAGAAGAAGGGCACGATGGTCGGACCCCTGATCCGTAAAGTGTTTAACCAAGGTCTCAGGATACATATCTATCCAGGACTGAGAACAAAGGGCCCTATCCAGCCGTTCGCGAATGCACGCCTCCCCCATCCGCTTGTTGGTCCAGGTAAACTGATCCCCTTGGTATCCTGGGTCATGGAGTCCTAACTCATGGACAAACTCCCGCATGTTGGTGGCTTGAGCCGCATTCCAAGCCCGACCCCCATCTTTTTCTCCCTCATGGAGGGTGACGTTAAAATCACCAATGATCACGAATGGTTGGTTCGTATTCGCACACACTTCACGTAAATGAGCCAACTGGCTATCTCGAACAGCAGCATTACAGCTAATGTAAACAAAAAACACCAAATACGAAAAATCACCTTCATTAATTTGCGAACAAATATAGAAATTGGAAAAACAAAACACCGAAGTGTTAACCCCGGGGGCCCAAGCTACAACTAACCCACCCGATGCATCAACAAAAAAACAATGGGAACTCTCAAACCCTAAACCCCGCATCCGGCTGGCCACTACACGCCGGATCGATCGTGTTTCAGAAAAAAACACAACATCCGGCTTATTAGAATGAACAAGCCCTAAAGCAGAATGGAAGGTGAGGGATGGCCCAAGTCCTCTCACATTCCAAGCCAGAAGCCTCATTTATCCACTGGGGGCCACTCGAGGCTGGCTTTCTCCACCTTTTCCTGGATGTCCACTGCTTCCACAAATTGTCTCTTCGGAGTAGGAGGGTCCCCCACAATCCCCTCTACTTCCTCAATCATTCGCTTCCGATTCTCCATGATTGGGTCCTCCAGATTAGACCCATACTCATTCAGTCCCAAGCTGGAAGGAGACACCACTTGGCCAAAGCTGAGCCCTGCCTCAAATGCCTCCACCACTTGGTGAACACGGCCTTTCATACCATGAGAGATCTTCCTGGAGGCACCAGTGGGTGACCTGCGCTTGATTTCAAACGAATGGGCTACCTCCAGCGATTGATCCTCATCAGAGTCAGATCCCTGTTGATGTTTCACCGCTTTGGGATCCTCAAAACTATCCCCAGCCTCCTTATCCTCCAGATCACGAACTGCATCCGTTGGAGAACCCTCCTCCGCCAGGGTGGACACAGTCGGTGGGGAGCTAGCTCCCCCTTTCCTCAACCGCAGACGAGCCCGAGGTGCTGCCCCCTGGTTTAGCCCCAGTCATATGGGCAGCCTTCTTCAATATAGGCTCAGGGATCATATTCTCCTCCTCCTCAGATTCTTCCTGCAAAATCAGCCTACGCCTTCTGGACTGCTCAAGAACTATATCCACCGGATCAGCCTCCATTTGAGCGTGAGTGGCCTGCTTCATGCGCCTACCTGGCTGCTGGCGGCCTTTAGCTGCATGTGGAGCAAGATTGGTACTCTTCCTGGGTGACCGCTTCTTCTGAGGTTGTCTCACCCCGCCACCAACCTTCACCCGGGGAGACTTCTTGAGGTTAAACCTTTTGGGGCTTTTATGGTTCCCGGCCTTCTGGCTGACTGGTTCACGCAGCCTAGGCTGAGTCTTCATGCTGGCTTGATCTTCTGGGTGATCGATAGACCGAATATGGTGCATCCCTGGAATCTGAGTATTCGTGGCGGGCACCCGCGGCCCCTCCTCTACTCGCCCCTTGGCAGACCTTGCTTTCCCATCATTGTAAATGTGGACATTCCTGTTGATCCACACCGACTTACTTGTGTCCCGATACCTTGAGAAGTCATCCTCCTCCATGTATATCTTCCGCCCGAACTTCCTGGTTGACATGTGCGGGCCAAAGCGTTCTTTCCCGGGGGGGTGGGGGGTCAAAAACACAGTCACTCTTGGAGTGGCCCACGCGCCCACAATGGAAGCAGACGGTTGGAAGGAATTCATATTTGAGATTGACCCAGAACTCGCCAAGCTCCTCGCTTACCGCCATGAGTTGAGATCGCAGTGGCTTAGCGAAATTAATGAGCACGTGCACTTTTACAAAAAGCTCATCCGTCTCCTTGGACGCGAAGACATCGGCCTCCAAAACCTGACCAATCTTCCCCGCTGCCATTTTCTGGCCAAACGCTTTGTGCAGCAGTCATCTTTCACATTCCAGAGTTGGACCCGAAATGGGGCAAAGGCTAACTCCTCGAATGTGTTCCTGGATATGGATGGTGTCCAGGACCTGAGATGGAAGATCCTGTCCTTGACAATCCAGGGCGACCGCTTCAGGGCCCACACCCTTGTTTCGTCACTTGGCAGCACCACTTCAAATAAGCCAAATTTCGTGAGTGAAACCCTAAGGTTTCCTTTCACACGCCATGCTTCAATAAGTCCCTCTTTCATCTCCGCAGTAGTAAATTTGGCCTCCGAAAAGAGCCTTCCCAAAAGGGTCCTAGAGGTTCGAAACCTCACCGATTGGACCTCCTCCGGCGAGAACTCGACCACTTGATCCTCAGCAATTCGCGACGTTATATTCACCTGACAATCATAGACAAGTAAATTATTAGTAAGGACTTTCCCCAATGGGCTCGAAGTCAGCAAGCCCAAAGGCCTAATGGTATTGGGAATTAGAACATTGGATAAAGGCTTTAGTGGATTAAATGATTTAGGCCCGAAGGCAGCTTGTGGCCCAATTGTTCCCAAGGAACTGAACCCGCCAGCAGGCCCGACCCCAGACTTCTTGAGGAGCCCGAATTCCGACCCCGACCCAACGCTTTCCATGGAGTCGGGCAAGCCCACCGGGCCCAAAGCCCCTTGTTCGCTCCCCTGTTGCCCTAGGTTTATTCGCCTACTTAGTGGGTCGAGCCCAACTTGCTTTGGAGAAACTGGGCCACTCCAGGCCGGCCCAAAACTAGGTAATGGCTGGCCCGAACTGTGTCTCCCTCGGCTTCTCGACTTCGCAGGCAAAGCAACGGCGTTCGAAACCGTCGGGGGCAGAGAGCTCCTCGTTGTCTCTGGACCTACCGGCGAGCCAGGGAGAGGAAGCTTCCTCGTTGCAGCGCCCGACACAGTGACACAATTACTCGTCAAAGCAGGGGTGAGTAGAACTCGCAAACCATAAGAAGATGAATGGGTTTCGGCCAAAGAAACTTTACCCAGATGTTGTCTTGGAAACCAGAGCAGTTGGTGGGAGCTTTTTCTTCCTTCCGCGCTAGTAAATCTAGAAACCCAAGCGATACACCGAAGTGGGGAAGCAGGGGGAGAAGTCAATTTAAAGGAAAAGGACTCCGAGTTCTCCAGCAAGAGGGAGACTCCCCTACTCCGATATTTAGTTAGAATTCGATTTGGTTTAGGAGTATGAGTCCTTGGAAAGAGATTCGGTTTGATCTCCCAAGATCGGATCAGACCTCCGCTGATCCCGCCCACCACCGCGAAAAAATCTCCCGAAGGATTCTCCGTTTCCGCCTTACGCACCCAAGTTTCCCTCCGCCTGCAATCACCGGCGGCGCCGTCAAATTGGCTGAACCCTTCCAATTCAGCGACATTCGAGCTGGATTTTGTGGACTTGAGATCCACTTTCGAATTGACCTGCTGAATTGCGCAGTATCCCTCCCCGAAGGAGTCCCCTTGATCAACAAATTCACCACAGATTACTTCCGATCCAACGCTACAACCAGGAACGCTATTCTCATTTTCACTAGCTCTGGTGAGATGAGTGCAATCCCTACCCCGAAAGGCCCAGCGGTGCTGAATCGCTTGTGGGTTCGATCATGACCCAAAGGTCCTTCAATTTCTATTTCCGCGACCGTCGAGGCCTCTGAATCTTCAAGATCGAACTCCGCCGGACTCAGAATTCGGAATCGCCATAGACTCCGTGGCTCGGCCCGACTCCTTTTGGTCGGGTGCTCTTCTTCAAATTGGACATCGGCAAAAACCATTTCAGCCGATCTTTTCCTTCGTCGGGGACAATTCGCCCGACTCCAGGCCCTGGGGCAAGTCCTATGTAAACCGGTGACAGTCCCAATTTGGATTTGTTCATAAGCAGCCTCTCTGGCCAAGGACCTCATCAAACATCGTTTGGATTGGTTGATACCCAATATGTCGGACGTTCCCGGCTTGGAAAACCCTCTATCTCTACCAAGTTTCTGGTTCCTCAAACTGGCGGCGAAGATAATGGAGCAGATTTGCAGCAGTCGTTCCCCTAGCCAAAGCGAGATCTCGAGGAGAGAGCTCCTCTCATAATTTTTTTTTATTATTATTTGAGTTGATCTAACTTGTATCCTTGTTATATTAACAACAAATAGACTGTTATTATACAAACAGGACCTAACAAGGTTAGGAGAGTGAAGCAGGAGCGGATCAGACAAATATTCAGGTCTAATTTAAGGTACATATGAGTCCATTTATATCCAACCTGTACCTATATGTGTCATTAGGGCTGGGAATCCGGTCTCGGTTTTACGGTCAAAACGGAAACCGGGCAGTTTAAACCACTCCGGTTGTAACCGGAAACCGGATTCCAAACAATCCAATCCAATTTCCGGTTGTACTAGTCATTGTCCCGGTCCGATCCGGTTAAAACCGAAAACCGGATCCATAACATTTCCATTTAATAAGCCCAAAACCAGCCCATTGATCTGTAGAATAAAGCCATGCCCTAAACAAAAAATAAAACCCACCCCCAGCCCAACAAAACACGAAGCCCAACCCAGTCCCAAGTGAAGCCCTTCTAAGTTCTAACCCTAATCCCTTTCTCAGCTCTGGCTCGCGCAGCCGCACCTCTGCCAGAAGAGGATGAACGACGGAGACAGTCGAAGCCAACGACCGACGATGAGGCCCGAAGCCGACGGGACGAAGCTGACGAGGCCCGACAATCCTTCAATATTCTCTTCCCAGCAATTGTCTTTCAATCTTTCCTTCTCTGACCTCGAAACTCTCACTTCTCTTCTGCCTCTCGATCTCTCAATCTACCTGGCGTGAGAGTTCTTTGTAGAGGAGAGAAGGAGACTAACAACATCGGCCACTAGTGAGACCTCCAAAACTTGCATGCGTCCTCTCTCCCTCGATCTCTCTTCGATTTTCGAATTCTAGCGGGGGCTTGGCGGAGAGGAGAAGAAGTCGAGTGGCCAGCCATTAGCCTCCCTCCAGTTCGATTCGCCGACGGCCAATTCATTGAGGAGAAACCAAGAGGAGATGGTGGTGATTGTGAATCCTATGTTTTAGCTTTGCTTGATCGGCTTCACGGGAGAAAGAGTTGCTCGCCATCGCCATTTTGTAAAAGAAGAGGGCTAGGGAGGAGGGAGAATAGAGGAAACTGAAGGAGATAGACGATTGAGAGGATAAACATTGTGCGGATAGGAAGGAGGAGAGGAAGCCAAGCGTCCAAGGTTGTCAAACCGGTTTAAGTCATTGAGCCGATCAAGCAAGGGGTTTGAGGTTTAATGGTCTGATCGGGGTCCGGCCGGTTTGACCCGTTTTAGACGTTTTCTAAATATATATACAAATAAAGTAGTAATTAAAAATTTAATGAGTGAAATAAAATTTATCTTACATATATCTATTAAAAACTTATTTTCAACAAAATAAATCTACCTAACCTCCATGATCCACCTACCATTTCCCTTCCTTCGTTCCTTTTCCTCTCTTTTGCCTCTCTTCTTCTCCCTGTTTAGGGGTCAGACCGGGGGGTTTTCTGGAGGCCGTTTTGAAGCCCGACTCGGGTTGAACTGGGTCCAACCGGGGGGTTCGATAGGGGTTTAACAACCTTGCAAGCGTCCCACACTTTTGTTTTTTTTAATTTGTAAACGACGCGTATTGGTGTAAACCTGCACACCCCAGATTTTTTGGTTAAAACCGGACCGGATTAATCCGGTCACGGTTGAAACCGGATCTTCATCCAATCCAATTCCCGGTTGTCGATATAGCCAAAACGGTTTCAAAAAACCGGGTTAATCCGGTCCGGTTTTGACCGGATTAAACCGTTTCCCACCCCTATGTGTCATAACAAATAGATAAATTTTCCCAATGAGCGCCTCACATGTCTAGAGTCACCACGACATAAATCCGCTGGCACTGAAATCTGATTACAGAGAATCTAATAACACAACAAAAGTGAGTTTGATACACTCATTTGCTAACCATATCGAATCTAGTGTTCTACTAGAGAGAGTACAGGAAAGGTTTGGCTATGCATAACAGATAGATCCTGTTCATTCCTACTCATCAGACCAACACTAATGTCCTCCAACACATTTTGGGAGACCTCAATATTTCTGCTTCAGCTTTCAGATAAATCTTCTCAAGTAGAAATTGCTGGAGAGAAACCAGTAACCTTGCATGTAAGAATAACTGCCACCTTCAAAGACCCATTTATGGAGCCTTCAATAGCTCTTCCTCATTCAACCTTTGCAATGACTCCAGAGGGAATGCCGCCTTCTCCAACAGTCTCTCTGACAAATCTGCAAGCAATTGGAAATCCACTTTTCAGGGAAGAGGGAGTAATCAAAGCACTGTCCATCTCAGACTATAAAAAGCTCAAGTTTTCATCTTCTGTAATAACAAACAAAAAGCATAGTACCTCGCTAATTTGTCCCGTGATGACTGCAGGATGTAAATTGAGAGAATGAAAGACATCATAAGGCCTGTTTGAATGCATCAAAACATTTTTAGACAGACGCACTTCTTCAAGTAATAAAGTACACCTATTAATCATCAGTGCTACAAGATAACAGCTCTAGTATGTTTAATATAGGAACCAGGATTACCTGATCCGAACAAAACATAAAAACCAGCAGCCACATCTATATCAGAATGCTCCTCCCTGACACGCCAAAACATAGACTTTAGTGAAGTTACTTACCAATTCAGAATGGCAGCAACTGGAAGCAAACTCGGCGAGCTGGTGTTTTCTATACAAGATCATGTAATGATTAGAGATTTCAATCTGGAAAATACACAGCCAGAATCCCTGGACCGCGATACTAACCAAGTGTATCTCACAAGAACATGCTTGGGCCAATGCTGAGGATCCCAAAATTGTTTACGGATGTTGGGGTGTATTTCCACATCTGTTAAGTCCAAAACATGAAAGAATTGACAGGTAACCTAAATTAGATCCAAATGCGAACAAACAAGTTAAAACGAAATGCATATGATGTTAGCATAAATCATTTGTACAACAAAGACGGTAATGATTAAATGCGTTGGCAGATGAAGAAAAAGGAACCTATGCAGTAATGCAGCATCTGTGCAATTTGAAAATTCACATATATAAAGAATAGCAACATACTAAAATTAAACACAGAATTTAGGTTGGTTTGTTAGAGAAATATGGTTAATAAGCATGGTTCGCACACATGATTGTTTCCCTATAAAGATGGATTATGCATCCATACAAGAGACTGGCAGAAAGTTCAGAAGATTGTTACATACAGTGATGAGGCATATCTACAACTTGCGAAGTGATCCCATGCAAATCACCACCTGCATACCTCTGCATCAAAACAAAGCACACAACCAATAAAAAGTAAAATACAATGTCATTTATTGAAGAGAAATTTGCAAAAAGTATCTTTTGACCAGTGTATATTCTACAGAGACAACTTGGCAAACATGCTGCAAGAAGACCCAACTTATATCATAATGATAAGTGCATCAAAAGTGAAGGGCTTACCAAATGCACATCAATCATAGGAACCTCAGAACTTTTCCTATTTATCACATAAAGCCACGGAGTTTGATACTTTTCCCTTCCTACTTGAAACGATCTGAATGCAAAAGGAACATGAAAACGCATAAGCACATAAACTAGTTCCACAAACATAATCCACTGCAGAGTGAAACTTAGAGGACCAACTCTTAGTGAAATATGCCAAAACCGGAACCCGGGAGCTTCACCTAAGCAAGCAGTTGATAATGAGACCTAAGTTGAGTAAACTGAATTCACAAGCCAAAGGATATCATATGCCAATTGAAGCAAAACAAGTCAAACATTGAAGTAAAAATTCCCAAATAAGGGGTAAATGGAACGAATTCCTCACATCTTGTAAGGATCTGCGCCGGTGTAACCCGTGGGCTTTGCGATCGGAACCAAAACCTGCGCATAAAATTTCAATCATCAGCCACGCCAGAGAAGGGATAATCCAATTTGGCGGGCTTAAAAATGAAGCTCACCTCGCGATTGACGCCAAAAATGGGGCAATGCTTGCCGATCATATCATGCCACATGGTTCTGGACTGAGAAAATTTAAGCAATCTAATTAGATGTTCCCGTAAAGTGCCTGCGGACAATCCAACTACTACAACGCTAGGAAGGGAGGGGAAATAGAGAAACGGACCGAGTGGTACTGCCCCATCTTGCTCATCGGAACGATGTCTCCCGGCCGGTATGCCACAGTAACGGACGACAGTGACAGTATGAGTAGAAGAACAACCCTCGCAATTTTGCTCCGACTTCGTCCCTCGGTGGCCGCCATCCCGCTGCGATTCCCAGTTGAGAAAGAGAGGAATTTCGTTGTACTTGGAACTTCCAAGTAGGAATGGCAATGGGCAGGTCCGGCCCGGGTTTCTTGGTACTCAGACCCGCTCCGGTAGGTCGGGTAATTTATCACTGATCATGGGTCGGGACAGATCGACCCAATGGATATGCAATTTACATGAAAAATATTAGAAATATTTATTATTTTTATTATAAGACCAAGGAAACAAACAAAATTATGATAAATATAATTAAATTATTGGAGAAATTGAGGTTTTCACTAATTTACATCTTTATTATAACTAAAATTTTATGTAATAAAAGGGAAATCCTAAGTAATTTGACTAAAATTACGTGTAATTTAGGCAAGAACGGGTCGAGAATGGGGCGGGTCAGGGCAGGTTAGGCCGATGAGATTACCCATGCCCGCCCCGCCCCAAAACAGGTCAAACAGGTCGGGTAAAATGGGTCAGGTCGAAATTGCCATCCCTACTTCCAAGAACCACTTTCCCAGCATTGTTTGTCCCGAGTCGCGACACTCTTGGCAGTTGACATACCCGAACTCAGCCCAAGCCCAAGTGTAGATAAAAAGAATGTTGAAAGTTGGCCCAGCTCAGCTACAAACTCGAGCCCTTTAGGACCTGCCAATGCCATGTTCATCCTCTCTATTTGATTAGGTTTTTCTTTTTCGAAAATGAATATGAGAACTTATATCATTCACACTAGCTCAGTGGCCTTACACTAGTCGCTTAGCGAAAATGGGTTTTTATGGTTTTTAAAAAGGCTCCGAGTTTCCTGGAAGTTTTCTCCTTTCAGAGCGGAAAGCGGTATCCTAGGGTTTTCTTTGTGATTGTTGATCATGGCGACCCCCCGCCTCCCCCCCCCCCCCCCCCGGTCGTCTGGGACGGCGGCGCTAGCTGGTAAGCCCTCGGATATCATTGGGGGAAGGCGGCCGCCACCAGGATCCTCTTCGCCGGACGGTAAAAGCGAGAAGGAGACGGTGCAAGCGAAGAAGAAAGTCCGACCCATGAATGTTGACGCAAACTTCCCAGCTGACGAAGGTGGAAGGGTGACTTGTATGGACACGGAGGAGGAGAGTATACGATCACAGGCGACATCGGGAACGGAACGTGGAGCAAACAGATGGCATGGGTCATCAACGAGGTTATTTAGTGATGTTCTTAAGGATGAGACCTGATATGTGGAGGAGTCTGATTCGGAGGACGTTGCTCAACGGGAAAAGAAGGAGGATGATATCCCTAACATTGATGATGACCCTAAATGCCCCACGATCCCGTTCACAGTGGCGCAGAAGATAAGGTGGCGCCGGGAGTGGAGGTCAGCACTTGTGGTGAGGGGTTTGGGGAGGAAGGTGTATTTCGCGACATTGGAAAAGAGGATGAACTACCTATGGGCAAAGCATGGAGAACTCCAAATTTTGGATATGAAAAACGGGTGTTTCCTCGTGAAGTTCAGGAACAAAATTGATTACGAACATGCTCTCACAGGTGGTCCTTGGCTACTGAGCGAGACATACTTGACTGTGCATAGATGGTATAAAGGTTTCAGCTTGGGGAAGGCGGAGGTCAAATCCACCATGATCTGGGTACAATTACCTGAATTGCCGATTGGGTTCATAAATAAAGAAGCAGTAATGATGATTAGACAAGCAATTGGAATCCCAATAAAAGTGGATCGAGCACCGGAACTGGGAGCTAGGGGAAAGTTTACTAGAGTGTGTGTGGAGGTCGATTTAACAAAGCCTCTCCTATCTCAGTTTAAGATCGAAGGAGAGACATACCTGATACAGTATGAGGGGATCAAAAATATATGTAGCAATTGTGGTATGTATGGGAAGAAGGTACAACAATGTCATTGTCAAAATACCATGGAGATGGGTGAGAAAGATGACACACAAGGAAGGGAACCTGAGACTCAATCGCCTAACCCTACTGAAGGATAGGTGTATGGTGAGTGGATGACGGTTCGTAAACGGCGTCCCATGCGTTTGGGATATCTCACAATCGCAGACGGGGAAAAGAGGAGACGTAGGGAATGTGAGGGGAGGCTGGTTTCACTTGCTGCATGGCCATGAGGATGAGGTAGAATTTGGGGAGTTTGGGAGCACGGAAACTAGTGATAAGCACCACGCCAATTCACATGTAGCGGCTGCAAAGGGCACCAGCCCAAGTGGTGGAGGGAGTGGAAGATCAACAAAGCTTGATGATAGTAGGGAGAGTCCGACGAGTGCAAAGGGGAGCAATAAGAGAGGTCTGGAGCAAGGTGAAAAGAGAAAACAAGGTATGAAGGTGGGTCGGCAGGTGGCGGAGAAGAACCCTAAGGAGAAGGGAAGTAATAGAGGAGTGATAGTAGAAAATAAGTCGGGAAAGAAGCGGGAGGATAGTAGCTCAAAACACCGAGTAATGGGGAGCAAAGACAGTTCAGAGAAGGCAACGAATACTAATGGTGCGGGGAACCTATCCCCTCCAAGTCATAAATGAGGATTATCAGCTATAACTGCCGCAGACTGGGGAGCAAGCGGGCAGTTAAAGCATTGAGGTTGCTTCTGCGACAAACCTCCCCGGAAATTGTTTTCTTGATGGAAACAAAACAAACAGAAGAAGAGAACAAGGTCACAAGGACTGAGCTGGGTTACGAGAATGGAGAGAGTTGGTCCACAGACCTATCGGGTGGTGGGCGAGCAGGAGGAGTGTACCTGAGGTGGAAGGAGGAGATCACTCTACAGATCATGTCCATGTCGTTACACCATAACAGGAATTTGATCAGGATTCAAGTCATTCAATCATTCAAACCTCAATTGAATATAAACAAATCATAAAATCTGTACTTGGGTTCATACAATCAGACCTAACATACAAATCTAGGGTTCTCCATACCCAGATGAATGGGAGAACTACTCCATGGAGAAAGAAGCAAAAGCAGATTCAGATGCGGAAACCATACTGTGAAGGATGGGTTTCTGCTCCTAGGCGTCGATCGACACTTCTCCAAGCTCAAGCCGGGCTCCAATGGTGATGAAGATCAAGCTAGGGCACTTGGGAACTCTTGTTCGTTGCTTTCTCTCTCTAGGAATCGCTCTGTCTCTCTAAAACTCGGAACTCTCTTACTTGTGGCTGGAAATTGGCTTAAAACCAGAAAATCCCGACTCACACGGCCGTGTGACTCCCCCAGCTGCCCGTGTGGCTTTGCAAAACGCGGCGTTTCGTTAAGTGACTTCAGGCTTCCCACGCGGCCACGACCCACACGGCCGTGTGAGTGTCCAGGCTGCCCGTGTGGCTTTTGCCGAGCCTTCACACGGCCACAGTGGGTCTCCTACAAGGCCGTGTGGCTTTTGGGCATGCCCGTGTGGCTTCTCAGCTTCTCGCCAAGCGTCCAAACTTCGTCCAATCGACCCCGAACTTGTTCCTAAACCTTCATTCACGTACTAGGACCTGAAATATCACAAACAATAACAACCTAGCGCGAAATCGGCCTAAAACACGGGAATCGACATCTCAAACGACTCAAGAATAGGGGTAAAAACATGTGTAATCAATGGTCTATCAAACTCCCCCACACTTAACCGTTTGCTTGTCCCCAAGCAAACCTAACTCAAACCAATGCAGCTCTCCAGACCTCTATAGCAACAAACAACCTCGATCGTCGGTAGAGGATTTTCTAGATCATAAAGCAGCTTACGAGGTCAACTGGTCTTCTAAGACGTCCCCTATCTCTCTCAATGCGAGTACTAGACTCAAGCCAGAATCATGAGAAGAAGTAGAAGTAAGACAGTTAGTTCATGGATAAAGGGACTCACAACATTCACAACCAAAGACTCATTGTACCGGGGTGCTCTTTCACTTTATTTCACCGTTGGAACCCCTTTTTCACTTGCACTTTACTTTTGTTTTCTTTTTTTTCATTCACTTAGCGGGGGTTCCAACTGCAATCTCTTACACGGTCGACCTTTATTAGTCGAGCAAGAGCAATTTCCGTACATCTGGCGCTCGCTAGAGTACTTCTTTTAACTCCTTTTCCTCAACTCGTGTGGAGGGTCAATGAAATTAAGGGGGGTCTGAAGCTCTATCCGTGCCATTAAAAACACATCCTCAAGTAGGCAAACCGTTCAACGGGTGGAAGTTTTACTTGTACTAGAGACGGCTTAGCTTCACCTTGTAGGAGTACCCCACTAAGGATCATTAAAATCTCTTCCAAAACCCGATTTTGTGCAATGAACGGTGCCGCACACGTTGGGCTTACCCCATGTTTAACATTTAATGATTTTGACATGGAGGACCAACTGCATTTCATTTTTCACATGAGCACCCTATTCGATACACGAGTCCATAACACAATCCACATAGAGTCACCATTACCACATGAATTCAACGGTCCTAGCTCCACTAATTCACAAAATCAACTGGCACAACAAAGAGCTAGATAGGAAAAATCTTATACTTCAACATCCTCCATAGTGCTACACTACCTCCCTAGGTTGCGTATTACTATAGAGACTGTCAATTCAAAGCATACTGAGCAGGCAATTTGCAAGGAAATACGTACTCGGAGCCCTCAAATTTAAAAATTTGGACAGTGGACTAGGCTCCAAGCACACAAACAGATCTAATGCAGTCAAAAGATAAACATCCCTCCCACACTTAAGATCGACATTGCCCTCAATGGAGAAGAGGGAGGGATAAGGGGAACGATGTTACCGGTGTGCACGGACTACATGAGACTGGAAGCGGACCCGTCGAGTGAAGCGGACTGGAGAGGGACCAGTCTTGAACAAAGCACAGCTAAAGGGGAACAGAAGAGCTCAAACACAATATGTTAGGTCCAATGGTCAGCCCAATAATACATCATCCAAAAAAAAAGAAAACAAACCAAAACCAAATCGGTTTACAATCCGACTCAAAACACAAGAAATAGATTAAAACCGTGGTGGGGTTGCCTCCCCACAAGCGCTTCTTTACCGTCTATTAGCTGGACGCCCACGGTGGATACTCAGCGGGGTGCAGGAGCAGGTGCCTCCAAGAGCAGATCCACATCGCTCTTGAGGTATAGCTTCAGATGGTGGCCATGCACCCGCCAGATGCGACCACCATCATCGGTTGGCTCGACCTGGCCATCCGGCAAGATGCAGGCGAGTGAGTACTCGGACGGCCAGGGTGGTCGTGGTGCAGGAGGTGGGACCAGCTCATAGTGGTCTCCACCTTTCTTCCGAACAGGCTTAGCCACCTGCGGCTTCGGCCGCCACTCCTCCTTGAGCTTTTTATTGGGAAATGAGGTTGCCGGGAGTGGTGGCGAAGGCGTGAGAGGGGGGTCCTGCAAAACGAGATACACAGGGGGGTACACGACAGGCTCGTGTACCTGTTGAGAAATAACATGCATAGGTGTGACAACAGGCATATCACAATGATCAAGGTCAGCCACAGGAAAAGTAGCATGTTCATTCCCAGCACGCAAGATCAGTTTACGATCTATTCTCCTCCCTCCATGACCAAAATTATCAATGGGTTGGTTGAGTAGATTTTTTTTTTTTTTGAGAATTCACTGATGGGATTTCATTGAAATCAATGATCAATTCCCTCAAGGGCTACATCATCAGCTACCATTAAAGGCAAACAATCATTCTCAAAATGAGTTTCATCAGGAATAGTAGTAAAATGAGCTAGGAGATGAGCAACGTTGTTAGCTTCTCTATATGCAAAAGACCATTCGCGAACATCCAACTCTTCCGACTCCTTCAGAATGTCCGAGCAAATATTCCCCAGCTCCCACCTTGTTTCAACAGCTGGACAATTTTCCTGCAGTTAGATTCCACAACAATTGGTCCAAGTCCCCTCTCCTTCACTAATCTAATTCCATAGAGAACAACCATTCCTTCTGCAACATCCGGAGACCACCTGACCTTGATGCTTCTGTTGGCAGAGAAGATTGCATTACCCTCCGAGTCTATAAGAAGATTGTATTTAACTTAAAATTGTCCAGGTGGTAATAAATGACCAGGCAAGAGATACTAGCTCCTAGAACTACTATATAGTTTCCACCTCATGCTTCTGTGAGATTTCCCACTCCCACTCCATGCCCAAGTTGCCACACGTGGAATCCCTTATCTCTAAGTAATGGGATTAATAAAGAGTATGCCATCCTCTTTTCTGCTACTTGTGTTAGAGAGAGAATAGAGAGAAGGAATCCAGGAGCTGCTCAATTGTTTGGCAAATTGAGCTATTAGAGGTACCCTTCTTTGTTTGTTCTTTTGTTGGTGTCTGGTTAAGTAAAAGGAAACGAAGAATTAGTTTTCTCATATGCTTACAGCAAACAAGATTGCCACACCTCTTTGATCGAGTGGCAATTGGGAGTTTTGTTTATTATTATATAAGAAGTATATTCATCTTGGTTTACACGGATAGGTAGTGGTTTTATGTTTCATATCAATGCTAGAGCAATACTTGTGTATAATTAGCATAAGTTCGTACATGCAGTTGGTGGAGAGATTGGCGTGAACGATCCTTAAGATGGAGAATGCATATGATAATAAAATCTATTTAATATAAAGAGAATGAATCAACGTGGGCTGTTAGGGTAATATACATAATTACAATTTTAAGATAGTGAAAGTTAAAGCCATATAAACTTACGTGGGGTTTTTGTGTTATGAACTAAGGGTAGAATGTTTATATATTAGTGGGGTGGAAGTTACTATTATATGAGCTGTGAGTAGATTTCAGTTTAGGAATAGTTGTACCTTGATTACATGAGGTTAGTTCTTATTTATGAGAAGCATAATAATTACTAGTAGTACTGAATCATCTATATATGATTTCTTAAAGGAAAAGGGCAAGCTATAGAATCCTCGAAAGGTAAGGGAATAGCAGAGTAGCGACAAAGCTGTGAGTAATTTCTAACATAGTAGTTCAACTAATATGAGCATGATATTTGAGTCATGAAGCGGCCCAAATACAAAATTCTTTAATTGATTGTGGATGAGTATCGTGGTGGAATTGGTGTTTGTGATGGATTATATTATGTGAGTTTATTAATGGTCTTAATAGTGTGATTGAGTATGTGATGGGAATAATGGAGAATGTGATGATTGTGAGTAGAGATGGTGATCCTTGTGTGAATGATGATTATGATGGTTAATGTTGAATGAGAGGCATGAAGAGCTTCCTTGATGATAATGGTAATGATGATGTGATGATTACGAATGATTGTAGTGGCTGTAATGGTAAGTAGTAAATTAAATGAATGTTAGCTGTACATAACATATGATGGTGAGTCATGCACCCAAAGGGGGAGTAGAGGAGTAGGGATGGTGGCGAGCAGCCATGGTAGCGATTATGGTGAGAGGCCACACTGGTATAGGTGGTGAGAAGCCACCACATTGTGTAGAGGCGAGAAGCCTCAGTATTATGTGGTGAGATGCCACATTGTGATGGAGGCGAGAAGCCTCGAGGTGAGAAGCCTCATTATGGGAGATACTTTCCGGTTCCTTAGGTTGGTGTAGGGGGAGAGGCCTAGGCATCGAGAAGGTGGAGGAGGCGGAGTAGGGGAGAAATGATAAAGGGAATTGGTGGGGTGAATGACTAAGCCTGATAATATGGAAATTCTGATGATGAATTGTGAAACTATATATATATATATATATATATATATATATATATATATGGTGGCGTATTCGGTGCACCCACTTTTTCGGGTGCACTCAGTGCACCCGCCTCATAATTATCATTCTGAGCATGCGATTCATATCAAAACGGTATCAATTGTAGCTTATGATATTATGAACAAGAAGCACATAAATTTGAAAAAAATTCATTCCAAATTCACTTTAATTCGAAGGATTTAGGATTAGGGATTTAGGGTTAGGGTTTAGGTTTACAATTTGGGATTTTGGGTTGGGATTCAAAATTGAAGGTTAAGGGGATAGGGTAATGGATTGATTTGTTATGATTCTATGTCATATCATCATATTATATTGAGAGTACTAGTTCAAAATCGATGTATTATGGACGCTTTTAGAGTTGGGTGCACTGAGTGCACCCAAAAAAGTGAGTGCACCGAAGTAGCCACCATATATATATATATATATATATATATATATATGAACTATGTGTGTTGGATGTGTGTGTATGTATGTTTGCGTATGTTGAAGTAAGACTTTAGTATCATGAAAATTATGAGTTGAATGTTGGATGTGAAAATTAATGTCGTTAATGCCTAACCTTATGATTATATTAGTTATAACTTCTAATACTAGGATAGGACTTACTCATTGAGGTGATGTCTCACTCCCGTCAATATTTTTCCCTAAGATTTTGAGAAGCAGAAGTAGAAGTTTGGGACAAAGCAAGCTCAAGTTTGACCGTGATGAGGTGGGCGAATGACTCGAATCTCCACATGTACATACTAGGGTTTTGGAAAAAGAAAAGGGGTTTCTTTTGTGCATGTTTGAAATAATTGTCAGGTTTTGTAATATGGTTTAAGCGAAGATTTGTAAAAATGCATGGTTTTATGATATATAGGAAAAGGGGTGTATTAAAGTTTGAAGGGTGTTACACACATACCTCGAGATGATAACACGGATGCCACTCCTTGTGGGAGATTTGAAATTCTGGAGAACGGCTACAACAGGGACCCATTAAGGTTCAATTTCGGCCAATTCGATGAGCTGAACTACGGGGAGGTCATGAGGGGAGCTGTGGCGCACCATGATTGGCGTCGACTCCTTGAGATTGAAGATGACATTTACGCAGAGCTTTGTGTCCAGCTCTTCACCAATTTCTTCATCCATCAAGACAAGGATGCGACAAAACACTGGAATCCTGTAATTCAGTTCCTCCTTGAAGCATAAAATGAGTTTTGATGAGCTTGCCCAAGCCATGGGAATTGAAGAAAGGTCGGGGCATAGTGGGAGGTGGATGCCATACAAAGTTTCGACTTCCAGGCGGCTTTCAAGAGGTTTTGCCTACCAAAGAACAAGCGAACCCGGTTTGAACCCGCGTGCACCTCGGTAACCACACTCATGCCCCAATGGCGTGTCATCAACAGGCTTCTTGCTATTCCATCTTTCCGAGCTACATGTCTGCCAACAAGATCACCGAGAGAGGCCTCTTTGCCTTTACTTACATTGAGGACCCAAATCATCGCCTCCACCTCAGTTTCGTCCTGGCAACATCCTTCAGCAAAGTCCGAGGCAACCGTCAACAAGATCATGTCATTGAGACCCTACATCACACGGATTGCTCGGCATTTGAATGTTAACCTCGAGACCTGCACGAAAGAAGGTCGCTCGTCGTGGTTCGGGGAGGACATCTTGGACTCCATGAACCTACTTCGAGTATTTGGACCATATCAATATATTGAGGGTCTATTCACCCACCAGGGGTTCCTTCTCCTCAGAAGAAGAGAGCTTATGCCCGCAGTCGTCGTCGCCATGTCTTACCACCACCATAAGTAGCATCATCCTCGGCGGGAGCCGGTCCTCTTCTTCCATAGTCCATCTCGAGGATCGAGTCACTCACCTCGAGGAGCAGTTCGTAGGAGTCACCACCCGGTTGGATCGATCCATTGATTTGCTGGAGCAGATAGCTCGCAACCAGGGTGTCTTGTCGAACGAGGAGCAGTGAGGTAGTTGACCGAGTGAGACATGTGGCAGAGACGATTTCTTTTTACCCACTTCCCCACTTGAAACTCTGAACTTTGTTATTTTTCTTTTCTTTAGTTTGTGTGTGAAAAACTACTATCGTGATGTCGTATATTATTATCTGTAATAACCTCGTCTCGAGCGATAATGTGTGTGTTTTTTTTTTCTTCTTCTTTTTGAAGCTCAATTCTACTACCCCGATATTTGTCTAACTTTCTCTTGCCATTAGTCGGTAACTTCTTCACCCTACCTTTTTTCTCCATTGAGGACAATGTTGTGCTTAAGTATGGGGGGGGGGGTTGTATCATTTGAAAGTGGCATGTAATTGTCTGTGAAATTGGTTTGCTTAGAGCCTAGATTTATTCCCAAATTTGAAAATTTTGAGGGCTCCAAGCATTGCATGATCAAAGTGGCCGGTGTGTGTGAGAATCTCGTGTTTATTAGCTTTGACGTTGGGTTGTTTACTTATGATCGAATGCATCCTATTATGACGATTGAGAATTGCATTAGGTTGGTGCAAATGTTTAGTTATCATATGTGTGCAAATGATTGGATGACTTGACTTGATTACTCGTTGATTGCAAATGTCATGCATCGAAAAATGTGAAATTGGAATAGATGCTTGGGTGGCTAGGTAGCCATGTGAGTTTTGTGTCAATCGTCTTTTTCATGTGTGATAGATCCTTCTCGCCAGGGTGTGTAATATTCACCGCTGTCACTAGTGCATATGATGGAGGCATAGGATTAGTCCACGCCCAAAAATTGATTGTCCCGAAATATTGTATTCCTTAGTCAACCCATTTTGAGTCGTGGGACTTTGGGGGTCCTTCTCATGTTAGGAGCTTGTTGCTTATGAGCTTAATGGTGATTAAAAGACTTTCCTTTCTTCGTGTCTAAACCGTTGTCAGTCGTCCTTGTGTCTCGGAGTTCTCGCTCTTGAGCTCCATTGAGGTTCTACATAGGTGGATTTTGCATGATTCTTGCTATGAATGAAAAGGTAGTGTTGGAGGAAAGATCTTAATAGACAGCATTGTTCGTTAAGTGTAAAAGTGGCATGTGTTTAGATCTCTATTACCCCCCTCAGAAAAAAGAGAAAAAAGGAAAGTAGGAAAAAAAAGAATCGAAAAGGGTAATAAATTGGGTAAATAAAGGTAGAGAGTTGTCATGAAGAAATGATGTGTTTGCTCTAGAAAGGGTTTCTTGGCACTCAAGCCATTGAAACACCTAATTGTTTGTTGACCTCCTTCACTGCTTTGATTGAATTTTGGATAGCAAGATAAGCTGAAGAAGTTTGCTTGAATGTAGTTCGTGATTGATAGTGATTTGGAAGAAGGGAAGTGTGGTTTTGTCCGATGCTAGTGGCCTTTGATCATAGGGAAGGTTCTAGTCGAAACCATAGAATTGTATCTTAGGTTGAAGATGTAGAACCTCATGCTTTACTTGCCACCACCCAAAAGGCCTTTTCCCCATGTCCAAGACAATTGCCAGTCATTCGAACACGTGTCTAACCTCTAGACAAGCTAGTGATGACAACCATCCCGTGAACTCTAGCATTTAGAGGTTGCCGTCATGGTGGAGAGATGATAGGATTGAGTGTTGATGATTATGCACATTTTTTGAACCAAAAGGTCTTGACCCCGCTGGTCAAGAGTGAGTGATTCATTCTCATTGTTGCATGTTCATATCTTATCCCGATGAGGACCTATGTTGCCCATTCGTTTGTTCCTTGGACTTGAGTTCTATGCATGGTTAGTTGTAGTTGGTGAGTAGTCCGGTCGAGACTTGTTTTAATTTGTGAACAGGGTGAGAACTTTTTGTTTGCACATTCTTAATGCATTCGAATGTCGTTTGTGATGGATGTCGGTATTGCTTGTAACAATTCATGTGTTGAGGTTCAATAGCCATTGAGATATACCCACTTTGAGCCCTTTGATATGTCCCCAAGTCACTTTGTTAGGTTGAGATATTGCCTTGTTTGGAATTGGTTTGTTTGGGGACAAGCAAACGTCTAAGTTGGGGGGGGGGGGGGGGGGGGGGGGGGGGGGGAGTGATTCGGGTCAAAATACACACATTTTACGCCCTTTTTTCCTTAGATGTTTGAGGCGATTTCACTCAAATCAGGTTTGGTTTTATGCTAAGTTGTGCTTTGTTTTGCTATGTTTCATATCCTAGCAGGTAAATCAACCCCCGGGAATGAAAGTTGGACGAAAAGGAGCGAAAAACGGCCCAAAAGGAGATGACAGCTGCATATCACGTTGGAAGCTAGCTATTCACGCCATGCCAGCCTGTGAAGAAGCCTCCCCACCCGTGAAGTGCCATGTTTCCAGAGGGTTTTGTGCACCTCACTGGACTTCGACTAGTTCACGGTCGCTGGACCGTGAACACTCGCCTTGGACCGTGAAGTGCATAAGTGATAAGTAAAACGATACACTTTTGCTGAAGATAACAATCCCCAGTCATGTTCACGGCCATGAACTGGGACCGTGATATGCCTTCGATCTGGCTATATAAAGAGGGTTAAGCTGAAAGAAGAAAGGGTGGAGAGCCTACTGAGATAACTTCTTCTTCTTCAAGACTTCTAGAGAGAGAAAGTAACGAGCAAGGAAGAGGAAGGATGCTAGGGTTTGATCCAAGCTCAATGTTTTGGGAATTTCCACCTTCAAGGTTGATTTCCACACAAAAGTAAGAAAACATTCATCTCCAAGATGGTTTTCTCTTCTTCCCTTTGTGTATTCCTTCTACCTAGCATGGAGTAGTCCTTTATTTCACTTGGGTGATTGTGAACCCTAGCTAGAAACATGTGAAAGTTTGTATGAATTGATGATTTGTGTATGGTTGTGTTGAATGCAAGTTTTGAGTTATTTTCATGGATATTGTGTGGTGTTTTCCATTTCCAACTACTTTGCAAATTTGATCTAGGTAGAGGGAAACTCCCTTCTAGTTAAGAATCTTTCAAAAGCTTGGTTTTCTTGGCCTAATTAAGTCACCTACCTAGGACAAATTATGGCACACCGCTTACTACGTTTAAGCACCTTGTGTCGGTTGCGACTTAGCCGTCTGGATTTGGTTCGAGGGTGAAGTTTGGCAACCCTTCGACGATTGGCTAAGAGAGTTACCTAGATAGCTTGACTTATGTCACTTGGCCGATTGGCTAAGAGAGTCACCTAGGTAGCTTGGCTTGTAGCCCCTTAGCCAATTGATCAAGAGAGTAAACCCAATTCACTTGTTGCGCTTCCCTATGGTTAGCAACCACCTTCACCGCGCACTTACATGCGGTTTAACTCACCTTTATAACTAGCTAGGGGAACAACGCCTAGGTGAAGCCTTCTCAACTACTGTTCACACCATTTAATTTTCCAACCAAAAACCAATTGCTATATAATGTTTCAAACAATCGAAGTAGGGGTACATGGTCGGCCCGAGATTGACTTTTAAAACATATTTGCCCTATATTGCACCCAATGAAGGTTTATACTTGGGCCTTGATTGGGATTTCTATTATGATATTTGGGACGAGTCAGGCAGATTACAAGCAAGAACTAAGAGTTACTGAGTTGGGCTCTAATTACACATGAAATGGCCCAATGGACCGAATCAACATGTCGTCTCGTGGGAATCTGATCATAAATCATAGAAAACAAAATTTGGCGACACTTTTCTGACTAAAAGAAAAGTTTGATACTTCGAAGTAAGTGTACTTTATATTCTAACACTAATATAAAGAGGTTCTCTTTCAGAATCCCTCTAATCATACTTTTCCAGGCTCCTGCGCATAGAACGTAGGGTACCTTTGGTCACATTTTTTAAATTTATATGGCCCTAAATGAAGATAAAACGTGTCATTTGGTGGGCCTTTCCCAAAATCCCTCCTATTATATTTTTTGTAAACTTAATTAAATAGAGACAAAAATTGTTACTCTACATGTTTCCAGCAAGGCAGACACATGGTAATTAACTATTTATGATGTTTCTAATTCATTTACTTTCGGAAGAATTGAAATTTGTTTTTATTAAAGTTTTTCTCTGATTTTAGTTTCTCTGTTATGCATGGGCAGTAGGTTTTGATGGGGTGTCGACTGTTGAATTTTGTAGGTGGTTCAAGCAAAGAGTTCTACAAATTATGCTGAGGACTTCAGTTGTTCAAAGATTACAGAAAAAACTTTATCAATATTTTTCTTATATTGTCATGTCTAATAAATATTAGAAGTTGGTTATATGAATTTATTAATACTTAATTGACCAATGTTAATCTGAATAATAAGTATTTGGGTCGGGTTGATTTTGATGTTTCTCTGGAACAAAAACAGTTGGGATGAAAATTTTGTCCAAACTCATAAAGTAATTAATTATCCAACCCAATTGAGTTGAGTATGAGACTCAAATACAAGGTAAATGCGTACATTTTTTAGTTTTATACACATACCACTTACCCATATATAATTATTAATCAAAAAGAGACTTCACAAACTAAGAACCGTAGTTTTATTATGCCATAATTGATATTTGGTATTACCACCGGATAAAAAATACCCAACCCGTTTATCATAACTAATCAGTGGAAATTATATGGTATAGAATCTTTTTTCCTGCAAAACTCTATAAAACTCCATGTCAAACAAACCCTAATGCAATGGTGATATGATCGTATCAGGGTAGTATGATTATATCATCATCGTATCAGGGGCAGTAAGACACGAGTTTTGTACAGTTTGTAGCCTTGGATTTATTACCTTAACCCAAGTCATTGATAAGTTGGTTGGATGTATGTATACATATATTTATATTTGGTGGTCCTCTGCTTAAAAAAAATTCTCATGGACACGCATCTAATTGACAATACAATGCGCCAGTTTGATCTTCCAACAACAAAGTCGAAGAGATGAGAATTTGGTGTATGACCTCTTTTTATGACAACCGACGCAAATCCCAAGCGCTATTGTTAGGTGTTTTTCAATCTACGACAAATTCAACGTCCTTTATTTCCTTTTAAACTTCAATTTTTAAAAAAAAAAATTGGTTTAGGAAATAATTATTAATTGAGGCCTGTCAAAGAAAAGTTAAAGAAGACTAAGAAGAGTACTTTTATAAGAAGTATACAACATCAAAGATAAAAATAGTTAGGTAACAATTTACTCTACTCTTTTATTCTTTTTAATTTCAAATTCATTAATTTAAGAAAAAAATATTACTCACTAAAACATAAGGTTTTCGACTAAATAGTGTGTCTCAATTGCTAACATTTTGTAGATGCAGGATTCATCCCCCAGTGGTGGACAAAATTGTTGAACTATGAATTTATTGTTCCAGAACGCAAGAGAGTTAGACTTTTTGGAACTACTGAGAAAATATTCGAAGATAGTGATAGAATGAGAGAACCTTAAGTCCTCATTTCCTACAAACCAAAGTAATTAAGTTGAATTTTGACATCAAGCTCACATATTATAATATCGTGAATACAATGAGTGAGTACACTGAAGATAAGTAAGGATGAAGCAGAGTAATCTCAAACGAAGTTTATTGACATGGACGAGGTAAATTTAACTTTTTGGAAATGGTGCTTCACAAATCAATATAAATATTGTGTCACTAAATTTTTGCTTTCAGTGAAATGTTGGAAAAGAAAAAAGAGCATGCTAATGGTGGAAGTAGTGGATTTGATAATGAAGAAATTTGTTGTTGAGACAAAGGAATAGACTGTTGATGATGGATCTATAAATTTCAACTATGGAAGAAAAAAGCGAATCATTGGCAATATTTACAATTTGGATGAAGTCAATTCTACTAGAGGAAAATGATGTTTAACATTTACAAACATATTAAAATTATAGTTTTGTTTCAATGAAATGCATGAGAGTAGGGAAAAACTATTGATGGTGAAAATGAATCCACGCGGGAAAGATAATGTTTTTTCATGGTGGAATAACCACAAAAAAGTTTAAAATAAATGTGTAGTTCTTTCTAGGCTTAATACACTTGTATATCCAAAACTTTCACGGTTGTGCCAATAATATCCAAATTTCCCGGAATACCACTTATATCCATGTTTTAAAGTTGTTCTTTGCCAAATCTGTCCATTTTCCAATATATTTTTGGTTAAATACAATTGTATATCCAAAAACACCGTTAAAGAATGTGAAGGAATTGGATATAAGTGGTATTTCGGGAAATTTGGATATTATTGGCACTATCGTGAAAGTTTTGGATATACAAGTGCATTTAACCTTCTTTCTAACAACGAGAAGTAAACTTAAGTGTGTTTTGATTAATATTTTTGAAAACATGTTCCTTGCATGAGTTGTGTTTTACAATTTTGATATGGACTTCTGTCCATGATTGAACAATGTATCAACACAAATTCTAATCTATGTTCAGTAGTGAGATAATTTGGATTCCTTCATGTCAGCGAATAAAAATGTAACATCATTCAGACAACATGTTTATACCATTTATGTAATTCATCCATACAACGGACGGACCAAAATCTAGTTCTAAGAGCAAATATGTAGGTTGCATCTACGTTGGGTTTCAACGGGCCTCCGCCTCCAAATTTTTTGAAAATCATATATATATATATATATATATGGTTATGTCTTCGGTGCACTCACTTTTTTGGGTGCATTCAATGCACCCGCCTCATAATCGTCATTCTGAGCAGACGATTCATGTGAAAACGATGTCAATCATCCCTTGTAGTATGATGAACAAGAACCACATGAATTTGTACAAAAATCAATCAAGGTTCACTTTAATTTGAATGATTCAGGGTTTAGGAATTTAGGGTTAGGGTTAGGGTTTACAATTTGGGATTTTGGGTTTAGATTCAAAATTGAATGTTAATAGGTTAGGGTAATGGGTTGATTAGTTGTGATTTTATGTTATATCATCATATGAGACTAATGCTACCCATTAAATTTCAAAATTTGATGTATTATGACCACTTTTAGAGGTGGGTGCACTGAATGCACCCAAAAAAGTGAGTGCACCGAAGTAGCCACCATATATATATATATTAGTAATTATGAAAATTACATATAAATCAAATATAAAATAAAATATTTTCATGTATTAGCACATCAAAATGTTCTTTATTAGTCAAGAGAAATATGAGACAGCGAGGATATGGATTCAATATTCATTCTAAGTTTACCTTTTGCTTAAAAAGGTGATATAATCACTTAAATTTTATGCTTTAATCTTTTAGACAGTCTAACTTCAAATTAAATCACTTAAGTTATTCAACTACCAAATGCATATTTTCAAGGATAATTTTCAACTACTAATATGTTTATTTTTTGGGAGTCAATTTAGTGAATTTAAATTTAAAACTAGATCAATTAAGTTTTTTCATCATTCCAATTTTTATATTTTTAAGGTAATTGTGCTTATACGATGAATAAACAATTTTTTTCAAATACAAATATTCACAGACATTCATCTTTTCAGTTGTGAAAATAAAATAGCAATATGACATGCTACAAATTTTTGTTGATATTTTAATAATTTATGCTGAATATATATTATGATAGAAATCTTTAGCTTATATTCTATTTTAGTAATTCTAATTATCTAACTAAATAAATTGTTTATTTTTTCATCAAACATCATTTATTTTTATATTATGTTATTATTGTTTTTTTTTTTTTGTCTTCTACTGTATTACACATTTATGAAATTTCCTGCTCTGGTTCTAAACCTATGAATAATGGAACAACCCCATAAATTCATAAATAAGAACAAGAAACATTCAAAAACAGTAAACGTCCCACTCCCAAGGCCCTCGCCACCTTATTCTCGACCCGCTTTTCTTTCCCCATTGTTCTGAAATCCTCTCAAACCTCCTTCTCCTTCTTAATATTCTTTTCCAATGTATGTATTGCTCTCTTCTTCTTTTTCTTTTCTTTTTCTTCAGGTTGTGCATCTATGATACGAAGCGACAGCGATAAGCACCTCCAGGCACCACCACCGTCTCCCATTCCAACTGGAAAAGGTTCTCGCTCTGCTGCCAACTCCATCTTTACCAACTACCTCCACCACTCCCTCCAAGTCCCCGACCTGTCCGAAGTCCCTGATCCCATGACTACTCTATCTTCTTCTAATAATGTGACGATGTCGGCGCCTGAGCCCAATCCATACCCTCACGAGCCACAAGAAATCAGCCTCCCGTCCATAGAGTCTCGTGACGCTGTCGTCGTGGATCGCCTCCTCAAAGCTGCAAGGAAGTTTGGCACCTTCACCATCACCGACCATGGCATCTCCATCGAGGTACTTCGATCACTCGTCCAGAATGCCGAGCGTGTTTTCCAGGTTCTGGAGGATACTGATATGGGCCACCCGCCTCGTAACTTTGCCAAGCTCCGCGAGTACAAGGAGCAGATCGAGTGGGTCCGCTCTGGTGAGGAGCGCATGGAGTGGGCCCGCGGCTGGGTCGGCCGCGACGGTTCTCGCCACTTTGGGTAAAATAATTAACCAAACTAACTAAATAATTATTAGTTTTAATTAAACTTAATCCAATTGATCGATAAGTTACGGGACACGTACATACGTATTGTGTAGGGAAGAGATGGAGAAGATAGCGACAAAGCTGGATGCGATCGCGAAGCTGATATGTGAAGTGTTCTCAGAGAACTGGACAAAGAGGCAGTTCGGGAGGAGGTTTGAGGAGAAAGATTCGATTGTGCGACTATATAGATACAACCGCGCTAGTAACGAGAGCCACGTGGAGTTGGTAAATCAACAACAACATGCACAGGATGACTGTGGTGGGCATGCTGTGTGCCTCCACTTACCACTCTCCCACTCTCACTTCTTACTTCAATCTTCCCTAGGAATTCTCTCCTTCCATGCCGATCCTCACGCTATTGTCGTCTCCGTTGGACGTCGCTTGCAGGTACCTATGTAACTATTAAATTTTCAACAAGTAGTAGAGATTTCTTACAAAACTTGTTCCATTAATATTGATTGATGACGTGGATACATGCATGAAGGAGTGGAGCCTAGGAGATTTCAAGTGTATCTCAGGTGAAGTAGTATGTTCGCCGCAGCTAGAAGGAGGAAAACCCTCCTACTCCGTGGAGCTAAAGTGTTTGTCACTAAATTTTGATGTGAATCGATCTAAAAAGAAGAGTCTCTTTACGATCTCCGTGAGGAATCAAATAATTATAGGGATAGGGCTTGCTCTTCTATATAAACTTGTGGTTTATGTGTATACAACATGGGAAGCTTATAAACTTCAAAATCTATGATAAATTTTTTGGGGTTGTTTAGGGTTATTTTTTTCTTTTAAGTGTACCCTTCTTATTTCTTTTTCAGCTAATGACAAGCAATAGAATTTTTTTTTTTTCCGTCTCCATTGGAATTGAAATCTAAGCTCAAGTTTTGTATAGTTATATTACATTTAATCAACAAGCAATCTTCGATTACGATTTTCTCCTGCTCGAGTCCCTCAACAAAAAGATTTCTTAATTAAACATCTCTCAACATCAATTGCTTTTCAAACCATGTTCTTTCTATTGATTTGTTGTTATTTCATTGTTTAAGCGAAGGTGAAATATGAAACTAAGCTCTCTTTCAGTCAAACTTTCTCTCTAAATAACTAGATTCAGACCCGGCCCGTTGGCCGGATACATTTTATTAATTTATAAACAACAATAATAACTATATAAAGTAAGATATCTTTTTCTTGGTACTGTGCAATGATGCAAAAGAACCACACTTTATTTAACTACTTTGGATTACAAATTATTGCAAAAGTGTTCTTAGACTTTGTTTCATTTCAGTTGTCCTCTTGTCGCATTGAAATTTGATAATGATAATTATTATACTTTAGAATTTATAGTCTTCTCTTTTTTATGATAATAGCAAATTTTCTCTCAGAGTTCATTCTTTTCATGTTTAAGTAAATAGTATAATTAAAAGATACCAATTTAACAAAGTAATATATTTTCTTATTTACGACCATAAAATAATATGAAATATTCAAATTATTTGAAAATTGATAAAATGAGATACACCATAGAGTTTTCCAACAATTATACCGAGTGATCTATGAAGTTCCTTATTGAAATGAAAACCAAGAATAAAGCAAGGAATCTAAATTCTAAGAAACCTAATTTAATTACACTTCATTTCATTTTACTATGTTTTGTCAAACATTAGAGCAATTTTCTTTTGACTTCTTTACCATTGGCCCAACATCAACATGTTACTCTCTCAACCATTAACAACATAAACTATCTTCATCACCTACCTATACTATCTTCACTGCTAATTGTCTCTTCTTTCTTCTTAACAACGTCGTTATCCATATCAGTGACTCCACTGCTTCATTTCATTGGCAGCAAATTTGAAGGCAAAAGTTGTGCAAACATGAAACATCATTATCATGCAAAATATCTTTAGAGAAGAGCAATCTATGACGGGCAATTTATCATGACTAAAACATGGATTTTGCATCCCATAGATGTTGTTCCATCCTTTGAAACTTACTACAATTAGAAGCCTTCAATTCGAGGAACTAAATGTTGTAAACACATTCATAATTAAGAAAGAATTATGATGTTGGGCATATTCACAATAATGTCGGACAGAATGGTAACTTTGACCTAATCTATTTTACATAATCTATTTTATCTATTTAAAGTGGGTAATACCCCCTCCATAAGCGGGACAGGACGGACATGAGTATAATTTTACTTAAGTCACATTTAATTTTATTTTTATTGCCTCATATGTTGCAACAATAAAGTTGTAAATAAGTGAGAATCTCAATTACTTGAATAATTTAACTACACTAATCATGTTATACTTTGTTTCTTAATTTTTTAATTAAAAATCAATATTTCTAGTATTTTAATTTAAATTATAGGGTAATGTCTATTTTTTATCCAAACGTTTTTCAGATTCTTTAATATTATCCAAACCTATTAAAATGCTATTAATTAGTCAAATCTTTCGTAATGCATCAAAATATTAGCCATTTTTATGTTATCGTTAATAATTTTGTAACTCGTTTTTAGTTAAAATACTAAAATTTTAAAATGTTGATCTTCATGTGTCTCTTCCAAGTCAGTATCATTTTGCCAAGTCAATATTACTAATAAATTGCTAACTGGAAGTTAACATTTGGCTAATTCTTAGTATTTTGATAGGTTTGGATAATATAAAAGAATCTGAAATATTTGGATAAAAATAGACATTACCCTAAATTATATGTCCACATGGATCGATCTATCCCAATCATTGTCTTAACAAAAAATTATCTGACCGAATTTATACCAACAAACATATATGAATATCGAGATACTCGTCCAAACTTCCAATTGCTATTTCTAATGGCGGAGGGATTATGCAAGTTGAATTAGGAATTGAGCAGCTAAAGTTAAGCCATGGGCTTGAATAACAATTGAAGCTCAAATTAATTTGCCTTTTAGCAAAACTGTCGAGTAAGTAAAAGACCATGTCGTCCTTCCGAACTGTGCGCACAGGCCAGGAAATATGAATATGATGATTATTCTAGGGGAACGTCTTTATATTATTGGTATGATTCCTAAATTTTAATTTCACCTATTCAAGTCCTCATAATAGCCTATTGTCACTTCAACGTTGAAGTGGAAATGAAATGAAGAAACTACCCCTAACTTTCACTTAAACATATGAGACATGTTTTCCTATTTCCAAGTTTCACATTGACAAAAAATCCTTGTGTAGGATTTCGATCCTGAGGGTTGCCTAAATGAACTGTTTCCAAATATAATCAACACGATTCCTACAATACTCAAATCTAAGAGAGTTACATATATACAATCTAATAAGAGGCATCATAATAAATTATCGACAACATACAATAATTCGAAATAATAAAAACCTATAGAGGGATTTGGTTTCTGAAAAGCTTCTCTAAGATCTCTATCTCTAATGGAGAAAATGTAGCAAGTAAGTCCCCCCTCAGGGTTGATTCCTCCCTCCGTGAGAATTCCGGATGGTAGGCAACACTTCACCATCGCTTTCATATAATCGAGAACTTGACTAAGAAATACACCTACAACATTTGATCCAACACAAGACACAACATTAAGTTCAATGGACATCTCCATTAACACAGAGTGGTATGCATAACCTCCAATTTTCAGCAAAATATGGAATCATGATATGAGCACGGATCTGATACCTGTAGTTATCAAAGTAACGCAGCCATAATATTTTTAAGGTTTTCTAGTATTTTCTCAAAACACGAAAAGGTAAAGAATCATGCGGAATTCACGTGAAATTTCACACCTACGAGAAGACTCGAATAATATAAGGTAGAAGCTCTACCACAATCAAGGGGAAAACTTGATTGATACAAAGTTGACACGCTACGACACAACTCCTAACAGTGGCCAAGTGTAACCAATGAAAGGTATTGTAGTATAGTGGTGCAAGTAATAAAAATCGAATCCACAGGTCTCTAGAGTTGCTATTACTCAGCTTCGGTTCATTATCTAGCAAACCAGATTGAAATAGAAGAACTATAACTAATCTAGCAAACTACAGTTAAAGTTAATCTAACCACTAGCCAGATGAATGATTGATGATCTTTAACTTGTTTCACTTTTATTCACAATGCGGAGAATCCTTGACTAGACCTTGAATCTCGACTAAAGGATCAAGGCCCTCTTGAGTCAATTGCCTAGAGGGACGTATCCTTCTCTAAAACAACCGATCAAGGCGTTCTAAACTAGATTCCCTCTATCGAATGAGATTCTCAATCAATACAAAGCAGTGAATCGACCATCGACTAAAGCAATCGATCCAATACTATCAATCTATGGTGCTCTATTGACCTAATCAGGTATTCGCTCTCATAGAATCAAAGCAGAATCAATAATCTCGACTAAAGCAGAATCAATAATCTACTCCATCATGAGGTAGCTTACGATTGGTCTGAGGAGAGTTTTTACCTATGTTTCGTATTTTAAAACAAGTATCATAAACATGTATTACGTTGGGTTTGATTGCATTGAATTTGATCTATTGAGTCATTATGATTTATGGATTCTACTAAAGTATGTAAGATGGAGATTTGAGTTTCAACGAACAAGTGTTTGGATTTTGATGTCATGAATCGGATGTTGTATGTTGTTTTAGTTTCATAAATGAGATTGGATATTAATAAATGTGTTAAATTTGGAATATATATATATATATATATATATATATATATGTGTGTGTGTGTGTGTGTGTTCACCTCATGTTATGTTTAGTAAACGAAAGATGCATATGTATTGAATGATAATTTAATACGTAAACCCCGTTAGTATTTTCCGTTGTTCGGGCGAACCAGTGGTTCGACCCATGAGTTTTAGTGTGGTGTTACAATGGAGATGAGTCTACACCTCCAAATGAAACAAATTATTCATTTAAAGATGCTCGAAAAATTGTTTAGCTCCTAAATTTTGAATGTACTCTAAAAGATGCTCCCCAAATTCAATATGTTCAATTCTTCAAGCTCCAATGGTGGGTGACATCCTCCAAGCAAGCTCCAAGGACCCTCTAGGTCTCTCTCTCTCTCTCTCTAAATCCCCCTTTCGGGTTTTGTGTCGGAACCCTAAAAGGGAACCCAAAAATTCCAAACCAAGCCAAGCTCTCCTTTCTCTCTCCCAGCTGCCTTCTATTTATATTACCGGGGGGCAAACATCACAATCTGGATGTCACGGTCGTGACATCGGATTCATAACCGTGATCTGAACCGAAAACACAGGAGCTTGCTGTCGTTTTTGTCCAACATCACATTATGAAGGATATTGTCACGGTCTAGTGATCGTGAGAATTGTCCTGCCCGTGAGGCATGCAAAACCTCCTGTTACTCAACAATATTCAAGGTTTCTGGTAAATCTTCATGGACTGTGGACCATGACAATTTCCCCTAGACCATGATCTCAGCTCTTTCCTCACACTTTGGGAAATATCATAGGGTTCAAAACAACTGAATCACAATGGCTATTAGACATCAACATTTGGGCAAACCAACAACAATCCTAACAACCACCACCATAAATGAAATTTGAATGCAATAGAACTATGGAAAGGAAGAGTTCTCACATTGTTCACAAACCAAAACACAACAAGTCAAAATGACTCACTAGTCACAATCATTCATGCATCGGATCAAGTCACCAAAACAAAAGATTGAGGAAACTAGATCCTTACTAGTATACATGATATACATTAAGCATGAAGAATGAATCACTCACTCTCGACCAGTGTGGTTAGGACCATTTTGATGCAACAGATGTGCATACTCATTCACTCAGTCCTATCATCTCTTCACCATGACACAACCTATAAATGCTAGAATTCACAAGACGGTTGCCACCACTAGCTTGTTCGGAGGTCTTAGACACGGGTTCAGATGACTAGCTAGGGTCTCGGACATGGAGAAAAGGCTTTGAGGGTGGTGGCAAACATAGCATGAGGTTGAAAATATTTAACCTCAAACCAACACAAGCTTATATGGTTTCGACTAGAAAAAGACGAGCGATACAAATCTCACATGGCTACCTAGATGTTCAATCATTCATTCGAGCAGCCTAAACTCGATGCATAGACGATTGCAATCAATGAGTAGTCAATCCAAAAAATTCATTGGTTCACAAACACATGAGAACTGAACATTTACACAATCCTAATACGTGTCTCAGTCATCATCATAGGTTGTTCTCAATCACAAACAAGTATTCCATACATCAACGTTAATAGGCATGAGATTCAACACAAATCACCAAAGGTGTCACTATGATCATTCAAATGAAGAAGTTGATATGCTTGAAGCCCTCAAATTTTTAAAATTTGGGCATGCACTAGGCTCCAACCACTCAATCACACCAATCATTCACACACAAGCATGAAAGACTACCCCCACACACTTAAACTCGACATTGCCGTCAATGGCGTAAACTAAGGAGGTAGAATGATGTTACCGCTTAGCTTTGTAAGTGAAAGTTGGGACCGAATTGGGTCAGTTTCGACAAGCAAGAAAGCTTCACATGGGAACAAACACAAAACACAACACATTCTCGCACAATGCGAGGTTATTTCACAACACAATATTTAACAATGCAATAAAACGAAAAAACAAACTAAAAAAGTACAAGTTTCAGACATAAAAGAAACAACACAATGTTTAGAGTCAAAGGTGGAAAAGAAAATATGATGGTAATGCAATGCCAACATGGCACTCAAGTCGAGGTGACTAGCCCTGGCGAAGGGTGGGGCAACCTGCCACTAGTCTTGAACTCTGATGCCTCGATCCTCAGCAAGTGCCTCCAACAAGACATGGGAATGTCTCCTGGATTCATGCTCTCTCATGAGCTGGGAAGAAACCCCATGAAATTTTTGCTCCATGCGTGTCACTGAGGCATCAAGGTTACCGGAGGATGAGGAAGGTCCTACTCCTATCGATGGTGAAGAAGAGCCTCGGTAGACATGATGGTGAGGTGGTGGCGGCAGGGCTTTCTGAACAGGCTCTGGCTCCAATGCCTCCTCTACCACTAGGTAAAACAAGGTCGTTGGTCGGATGCCATCAATGTAGTGGATGCCTCTCTCCGCAGGATCATACCCATGTTATGGAGAGTCTCCACTAGGAAGATCTCTATCTGACCCACCTTTGTGTAGATCTTGGTATCCACTCCAAAATGTCGGGCCAGGCGGGTGATAATGGCCTCCAGGTGTATGGTGGAGACTCGATGTTGGCCAAGGATCCTAGAGAATGAAGTAGCCACCACTGAGCCTAGGTGGAGTGGCGATGTGGGTCGACTTATGCTGTGAAGTGCCACCATCCTTCTAAGGTTCACCTGCCCTCGAGCCCGAAGACTCGGAATCAGCGATCAGGTGAGGAACAAGTGCAGAATCCGCCACTGTGCCCAAAATTGGGTAGCCCATATGTGGCTCGCCTGATACTCTCGGTCTATGTCCTCCAGGAGGGCAATCGCCTCATACACGTGCTGAGGGTTTACCTCCCGAGTATACTCCCTCTCAGCCATTATCATGATACAAATATGGAGTCCTAAGGCCTGGGCTAGGGTATCGTAGCTTATGGAGTGGTAGTGCCCTCCAACCAATTTCAGACCTAAATCATGTCCCGATGACCACCAAGCAACATGCACAAAAGTGAAGTAAGTAATTCATTCACATAATGCACTTGATCGACATTTTCAAATTCAATCACCAAATTATGCCAAATCTTGCCCACTAAGGCTCAAATAATTTAATAAACACTTCATGCATCATTCAATCAACCTAATTCTACTAATCCCTTTCCAATTTCAACATTCATGAAAAAAATTCCCGAATCTCCCCACCTTCGAACCTGAAATCCAATTCTCCAAAATTGACTAAGGAAAAGTTCAAAATACGCAAAACCGTGACATTATAAAAAACAATATGTTTTTGACAATTTTCAACTCCTAATTGATTCAGTCGTGCCCATAACCCAAACACATTCAAACACATAAACCCTGGCACGGTGATCATTCAAAACTCTCCCACTTGACTCAATCACGCACAAAAAGAGAAAAAATAGGGAAAAGAAATGCAAACCAGCATTGGGTTGCCTCCCAACAAACGCTACTTTCACGTCATAAGCTAGACGGTTGCTCCTTAAACTTCGGTCCATCCTAGAACCTCCTTGAATTTGAGGTTCTTATCGTTTAGATGGATCCTAAAGTCATGAGCATATGGAATGGTATTTGACGATGACTCGTGTACTTTAGTGAGTTGAGACCTCCACCATTGAGATCTCTCCTTCTCTTCTTCGTCATTCTTTTCTTTGCCCCATGCCATGTGGAACATCATGGATTAATGACTTGCTAAAACACAACTCCTAACAATGGCCAAATGTAACCAATGAAAGAGACTGCAATATAGTGGCACAAGTAATAAATATCGAATCCACGGGTCTCTAGAGTTACTATTACTCAGCTTCAGTTCATTATCTAGCAAACTAGATTAAGATAGAAGAACTATAACTACTCTAGCAAACTATAGTTAAAGTTAATCTAATCACAAGTTGAGAACTCAATCAGCTATGATTCCCCCTTATCTCCTCAATTAGGTCCAAGTTGTAATTTCCTTTGTTGATTTACTGTTGATTAAACTGCGGAAGATTCGAAAATAGCTTAGAATCCCTTAAGATGACCAAGCCCTCTTAGACAGACTATCCGGCAGGTGACTAGCCTTCACTAGGATAAACTACTAAGGTGATTCACGCAAATCTCCACTACTTGGAACGAATTCCAGTACAAAGCAATAAATTGACTGACTCTCGCACAATCAATTCACTACTCTCAATCAAGGAAGCTCTCTTAGCCTAATCAAATTCTATATAGGTTAAAGCAGAAATCAAGATAATATGATCAGGATTCAATTGACTCAACAAATCATGCCTCAATCGATTAAAACCAATAAGTATAGCATCCAAAAGTTCATACAAGAAAGATCCTAACACATGGAACTAGGGTTTCTCAAAACCTAATTGAAGGGAAGTTACTCCATATAGAAGAGAGATAATGCAGAAATCTGATCTAGATCTTTACTCTCCATCTCCAAACTTGATTCCCGAGCTCCAATGGCGAAGAAATCCTCCAAAATAGCTCCAAGAATGTTCCCAAGTCACTCTCTCTCTAGGATTCGTCCCTTGGGTGTTTGGGATCCAAAACCCAGCTGCCCCTCTCAAAAATCGCAGAAAACATACTTATATCCGAGCAGGGGGCAGAAACGCGATCGTGTTTTAGCCATTCCCTTGGTTGTTCTCGGCGCTAAAAACACGGGCACATGAGGGGAAAATACGACCATGTTTCTCTTGCCCGTGTTTCTTCCGCCGAACCTGTCCACTGTCTTTCATTCTTCGTTTCTCACTCGTCCAGACTCCGAATCACTCGTCCATTTGATCACAGACGCTCATAGTATCGTCCTCTATCTTTTCATGACAAGCTTACATAATTCTTTGTCCATAAAATAAGGTACAAATTCATTCCTTTTGAGGTTATGCCCGAATTGAAGAGAAAGAAACAAGACAATGCCATAGGGTGGTGGGAGGAAGATGTAACGGGCAAATTAGCATTGATATTAAGATTACTACAATGCCCTTACTAAAAGAGTTAGTATTGTGCTAACATTATAGGTTGTTAGCAGCTATCTAGTCCCTCCAACCAGTATCCACCCTTCTTCATTTTTTTTTCTTTTCCGTGCTCATCAATTAATATACTTTTATTATTAATTTTAAAATAATGATAATGAAAATCTCTTTCCCCTTCATTTCCCTATCGTATTCGCACAGTTTCTTTCGCTGGTAAGGAGAACCGACGCAACGAGCTACAACCAACAAGAAAAAAAGGTTAACACGACCGGACCAACCCCTCTTCAAGCTTCGACCCGACTCACCGCCCCGATTACTTCCTATGCAATCTCCTCCGATGGCCTCTACCCATTAATCGTTCATGGATGCCCAATCTGTAAGACCCCTCTATTCTCTCTCTCGTTTCTTCACGCGCATTACTTCCTTGCTTTCTTCCTCCTCGAATCTAATCCATTTCTTCAGCCGCTTGTAATCTCCTGCATCTTCAATTCGTCTATTCCATTCGCGCGTTAAGGCCGGGTGGGCTCTCCCTTCCCTTTGGTTTTTGATGGATTTCCCCTGATTGCTGTTCGCTAGGGTTCTTGAAGCTTGGGTACAACCCTCTTTCTCTTTCCTTCGGTGGTCTGCTTTAATATCCCGATTCTCAGGAGCAGCTCGGATTAGGGTTTGCTATTCGGGCGCTTTATTGCGTTCTTCTTCCCGAGGGGATACATTTGCTTAACGATTCCTAGGGTTTATACGTGGTTCGATTCCAATACGGGGAAGATAGGCGTGGGTTAAGAGGATAATGTGTATACTCTGTGTGATCCAGAAGTGGTCTCGCCGGGTTGCCACGATGCTTCCTTGGTTAGTTATCCCTCTTATAGGGTTGTGGGCTCTCTCTCAGCTCCTCCCCCCTGCTTTTCGTTTTGAGATTACCTCTCCCAGACTTGCTTGTGTGTTTGTTCTTTTGGTCACTCTCTTCTGGTACGAGATTTTGATGCCTCAGCTATCAGCTTGGCGTTTGAGAAGAAATGCACGGTTAAGAGAGAGGAAGAGGTTCGAAGCTATTGAGTTGCAGAAGCTCCGGAAAACTGCTACTAAAAGGTGTAGGAATTGCTTGACTCCTTACCGGGATCAGAATCCAGGCGGGGGAAAGTTTATGTGCTCGTACTGTGGCCATATATCCAAGAGGCCAGTGCTTGAAATGCCTGTACCACCAGGATTAGGGATTCCGAATTCTGGGATTATTAAGGACTTGGTTGGCAAAGGTGGGAAGATACTGAATGGCAAGGCATGGTCTGATAATGGGTGGATGTGCAGTCAGGATTGGTTAGAGAATGGTGGTTGGACTGGTGGTTCTATTTCTGGGAGATCTAGTTACTGGAGGAAAACTGGTGGTGGTGTATTAGGAGCAGATGATAACTGTTCGGCGGAGAAGTCTTACTTGCGTGTTGTAATTTTTGGATGCAAACTACTGACTTCGTTCTTCTTGAGCATTAGGTGGCTCTGGAGAAAGATTTTTAGGATTAGTTCGTCAAAGGATGATGCCTCTTCTGACGCAGAGCATAGGGGAGGCATGTCTAAGAGAGGGGAGAATGGGGCTAACTATCCCGAAAGTAGGGGGGAGAAAGCACGCAGGAAAGCTGAGGAGAAGAGACAGGCTAGGTTAGAGAGGGAGCTACTGGAGGAGGAAGAAAGAAAGCAGCGGGAGGAGGTTGCAAGGTTGGTTGAGGAACGCCGAAGGTTAAGGGATGAGAAAATGGAGGCTGAGAAAGACCGGATCAAGTTGTCACCACCAACCAGGGAAAAAGATAGTAAAAAGGAAGCAGAAAAGAGGCGTCAGGAAAGAAGAAGAGATAAAGATAAGGGATCCAGTAAGAGCAACTCTGATGTCGAAGAGCTGGAAAAAAGAGCTGGTAAAGAAAGTGAAAGGAAAAGGGATTTTGATAAGAAGAGTGATGTGGAGAGAAGGGAGTCGCAAAAGTTCATTACAGAAAATGGCAAGGGTTACAACAGTGAATTAGGGTATGGAAATGGAACGAGAAATGCCTCTACGGCAAATTTTAACCGTGGAAATACCGGAACAAGGTACTTTGACAGGGTGAGGGGGACCTTTTTATCTTCTTCTAGAGCTTTTGGTGGAGGCAGTTTCTTTGGACGGAATGCTAACAGTCCTGCTGGTGCTACTAAAGAAATGAAGTTCAACAGTTCTGCAGATCAGTTGCACATTTCTGCTCATAGGAGAGAAACATGCCCACCTGGTGTGGTTGGGAAGTCAAGTATCAACTGTGATGACAGGAATACTAACCGACCTGTAAGTTGTCATGTTCACTTACTGATGTTGCTCCTGTTTCATAAGTTTGACTGGTTTGCTACGCTAGACATGGGAAGCATATCTTTTTGGTTTTCTTGATTTTAGTTTCATGTGGCATGCTTGCACTAGATTTTGACCTAATTGGGCTACTTTTCCTCACATTATTATGTCTATTTTTGTTTACATATCGATTTTTATAGTGGAAGGTGTTAGTACTATCGTCTAGGTCTTTGTAGAACATGTTATGAGCTTGCCCTGATGTTGAGATTTGGTAATAGATCATTATCAGTATTACAATGCTGAGATTTGTTAATATGATAGGTACCATCTGAACAACCTAGGCCAGCTCCTAAGAAGTCGTGGCAGCAATTATTTACCCGCTCATCATCATCAGCTTCTTCATCCTCAAGTACTAATGTTATAAGCCGACCAAATTCAAAACCCCAGGCAGAATTGCAGAATCCACAGTTTCCCGGGCAACCATCGACAATACAATCGTTCGACAATCCTATCAATTTTGGACTCCCATCACCATTTTCGATCCCCATGTATCCTAATGTCTCAACTAGTGCTAGTTTAGGTTTCTCACCTGCCATTGAGTCTTGTGTGCCTCACATTGCTGAAGGAGTGTGTGACTTCTTACCTGAAGAACCGGAGCGTTTTGAAGACCCGTGTTATGTTCCTGATCCAATATCATTGCTTGGGCCTGTCTCAGAGTCTCTTGATAATTTCCAGTTGGACATGGGAACTAGTTTTGCATCAGATCTAGGATTAGATAGACCAAGAACCATGAAGAAGCCAGCTGGATCACCTGAAGTGAGCAAGCCATCTCCAATTGAATCCCCATTGTCACGTCGAATGGCTGATGAAAAGCATAACAACGCAAACTGGTTCCCCACTACTCCTAAGGCTCAGGATTTGCATGCTAATAATTCCTTGGATGATGTGCAAGTAAATAACGAGAAAGGGACATGGCAAATGTGGAACAGTGTAAATCCTCTTGGTCAGGATGGCCTTGGTTTGGTTGGGGGCCCTGGTAGCTGGCTTCTACCACCAGAGCGGAGTATCCTGACTAACGAAGATATTTTGCATCCTTCATCTCAGAGCACAATGGCAGCATCGCTGTTTTCAACAGATGACCATGCCCTTTTAAGCTCTCTTTCTCCTCAGAAGGGTTATCTTCGAAATGGTCACGGTGGTGTTTTCAGTCCTGTTGCTAGTTCGGGTGACAATGAGCCATGGCTGCACAAGGCTTTTTTCCCACCACTGTCGGGCAATGAAGGTCATTTCTCTGTCAAAGCTGGGGAGCAGAGTTGTCAAGATGAACTAGGCATGTTTAATGGAGTTGCTTCCAACCTTCCATTTGAGATGCCTCCACAAGATTGTTGGTCCAAGTGAGTGTACCATCCTGATAATGCTTATGCTTAATTGCATTTCCTTTTACAATATCTTTTTCATCTGTTTACCAGATAGAAGAATTGAGTGTTTCCTGTTATTGGTGGAATTTTCTTTTAAGAGGGTGACTTGAGGATCTGGGCTGGTCATTGCAAAGTAGCTCTTGCTCATAATATTCATAGAAGGTATATTGTGGAACAACGAACAGACGTGGTTCAGGCTAGAACAAAACTTTGGTGGGTGGCAAGAGATCGTTTCAGTGTTTTAGTTTGGTTTGACAAATTTTAGAGATTCTGAAATCTCAAGTCATATTCAAAGTCAATGAGCTAAACAGTCGTGTAATGTCATATGTTATTGGTTGTGCTTACATCATCGTTGTCAGATGTGTTAGTACTTGTACTGCCCAGTAGCCCTGCCGGATTGTTACCTCGGTAGTTCAGGGTTTCAGATTTCACGCTTGACGTGTTCCCCAGAAGCTTTTTCTTGCTAGAATGTAACTTCCTGCAAGTCTTTGTTAATGTAGAATCGTCACCAAATGATGTACTATAAGCCTGTTTCGCGGGTGGTCCTAATTAAATCTGAACCTATTTAGAAGATTTTGGAAAATGGAAGTTAAAAGATTTTGGAAGACTTATCATGGAACTGGAACCTACTATAAGTAAGGTCTTCTGAGTTGGGAGTACTAAAGCAATTCGTCAATTCCATAAATTAGGTGACGTGTCGGTTGGGTTGAATCCTAGATTTATGTGGGCTATGTTGTATTTGAGTTTGATCTTGTGTGAGGGTTTTGGTTATAAAGCAGCTGATCAACGTGGAATTGGGTTGGTGGTTTTTCAGGAAGGAATGGGCAGTGAAACGAACAGGAGAAGGTGTTGTGAAGCCCTCGCTGACAACGAGAGCCACGATTGGGGGCTTATTTCCCAACCCCAACCCTGATGTACAGTCTCTTTGGTAATCTGGAGGAAGAAAAGGGCTCTCCCTTAAACAAAAAAATGAAAAAAGTGAAAGAGAACAGAGGAGACTGACAGGACAGTATGGAAAGAAAAGAAAAAAACCAAGACTTCGAAATTTTTATTCAGAGGAGGCCAAAGAAATGTGGTTGCCTTCCTCTTTTGAATGAGAAAGTCTTTTAGAATATAGAGATGGATGGATGGATGCCCTTCTTGTATCTTCCCCTTGTTCCTTACTGCTGCCCTTTGCACGTCTCCTTTTTTGATCATACATACTCACTTACCCTTAATATATCTCATCTTGCATGCGACTGTCAGGAAACCAGGTTACTTTTTCCCATGATGATGTCTACTTAGTAACCAATTTTTTACAACATAATGCTTTACTTAATTCAGCTGTTTTTTTTTTATAGGTTTAAGCTTGTTTTTAGGGTGAAATAGGCTTAAGCTGTATTTGAGTTATCGTTGCATTGCATGTCCAATGGTATACAGGTGCTAGTTTTCGAAATAGGTTTACCTTTTTTTAACATTCTGATCACTTTTTTCACTAACTAATATCATGATCTAATTTTTAAAATAAGTTTACCCTTTTTTAATATCTAACCAATTTTTTCTCTAATTAATATCATGATCTTAACTATCACCAAAAATTATTTATTTGGGAAACCGTTATGTTTAGTCAATATGTCGCATCATCGCTTTGTCATAAGCATATAAAACTCATAAATTTCATATATTCACTAATGTCAAATTATTACATTTAAATTAAAAACAACATAATTTTCCAACCCCAAATCCTTCTTCTTGGGTGAATTGCAAGTTTGGTCACTGAGACTACTAAAAAATTACATGTTTGGTCACTTTTTATTATTCACTCGTAATTACTAAAATTAGTTAAACAATCCAAGTTTAATCCCTCTTCGTTAACGCCATCCATCATTTGCTGACTTGAATACTAGAAGTGCTGACTCTCCCAATTTCAACTGGTCACATGGCTAAACCTGACATGCCACATCATTTCCCCAACCCACCCTTCTCAATCGTGACCCAACTCGAACTCCAAGCCCCTAAACCGTCCCCTCAATTAATGAAAAAAAAAAAAAAGCCAAACAAACAAGAAGAAGAAGAAAATCATAATCCAAATCCTCGATTCCTTCTTCTTCGTCATCTTCCCAATCAAAATCTATCATACCATCACTTCTATTTGGTCCACCATTTCCAACTATGGCACCTGGTGGCGATATCAGTGGCAATGGCGGTTGGGTGATGGGTGTGGTGAATCGGGCGGCCGCTATCAACCGAAGATGATGAAGATGACAACCTGCAGAAGTGAAATGAAGATTGCAGAGTTGTTAGAAGTGAAGAAAAACACACTCAACTTAAACGAAGAGCCAAAGCGACGCCGTTGCGGAGACTTGGAGTTTATCGTTGAGTGGATAGTTACCGGACGAATGAGAGATCGCCACCTGGAGTTTTACTATCATTGTAATCTAAATTTCTGTTTTACATTTCCTTGTCTCTGTTTTGTAACGTGAAGAACACACTGTTTTGCAGGTGGCATATAACAAGCTGCAGTTCCCTCTCTTTTTGTCCGACGCACCTCTTCTTCCTTCGTTGCAGCTCTCATCTACGTAGATGATGTCATACTCACAGGTGATGATCCCACCTTTATTCAGAAAGTCAAGAGTTTCTTGCATGATCGGTTTACCATCAAGGACTTAGGGCCTCTCAAGTATTTTTTGGGTATTGAAGTTGTCCATTCTCCCAAAGGCATCATCCTCAACCAAAGGAAGTATACTCGGCGATATACTTACCGATTCTAGTCTTCCAGCTGCTCGGCCTTGCCCTTCTCCCATCGAGTAGAACCATTAGCTTGGCTGTCTTGAATCACTTCTAGCTCCTGATTCCTCAGCTTTTCGTCGTCTCGTCGGGCGGCTCTTATATCTCACTATCACCCGCCTCGACATCACTTACACATTCAATATACTCAGTCAGGCTGTGCATGCTCTTACACAGGCACACTGGGATGCAGCCCATCGTGTCCTTCGATATCTCAAGGAGTCTCCAGGTCGTGGTTTGTTTTTTCTTGCTCATAGTTCACTTTCTCTTAATGGTTACTGTGATGTAGATTGGGGTGGTTGTCCCACCACCCGTCGTTCGACCACCACCTACTTCATTCGGTTGGGTGCTTCTTCTATTTCTTGGTGCACCAAGAAGCAGACCGTTGTTGCACGTTCCTCTGCTGAAGCTGAATACCAGGCCATGACTGCCACTGTCAGCGAAATTCTGTTGATGGTAGAGGTATGGAAATACTGTTGAGGACATTTTTGTAATTTGGCTAGGATGATTTTTTGGAGGTAGAGATGTTTATTTTTGTAAGAGAAAGGTTGATTTTTGCATAAGCATTTTTTGGCCCGTAAGAACAATTACGGCTATGATATGATGTTGAAATTTTGGTATAATTCTGATACCATGTTGAATTTTTGTGATTTGGCAGGTGAACCGCCTTAGCTTTGTGGTTGTAGTTAATTTTTTCACTAATTACACTTATTAATTTGTCGAAGACATTAGGCCCCGTTTAGTATTATTTTGTTGTTGTTGTGGTTGCACTGATGTTGTGCAAACAGATGTACAACCACAACAGAAAAAAAACACACAACACAAACCTGTTTAGCTGGTAAATTTGAGAAATAATAGAAGCTGACAACAAGAAACAAAAACACGTTTAGTTACTTCTACCTTCTATAACTCACAATGCATGATGGAGTTATCATGGTTCCATTAACATTTTCATTGTCATCTTTACAAGGACATCCATGGTTATCATGGCCTCGCCCAGCCTAAGTCCAAACAACAAAGACAAGCAAAGGAAACGCGGTGCAGAAGCATACCATCATCCGACCTTTGACCAGTTCAGAGTAGGTTTTTCCCAATGAAGCTTTAAGCTCCTCACTGGTCAATATCATCTCAGGATACTCACATAAGACCTTCACGAAGGAGAGTGATCGTCATAAAAACACTCAAGCAGGCTACTTAAAACTTTCTGTAGTGGAAGGATTCAACCATTATTGGACAGGTGCTTGACTAAGAATTGAAAAATCTAAACAAATTATGCAATTAATTAACAAACTCGTGGAAAAATTGAAACAATAACTGGTCAGCGTAGGAGCGAGAGCCGAGAGGGACGACCTGGACGCAAAGGTTAGCGGCGGCGAGCTGGACGACGATGGAATGGTGTGACAAAGTTGCGGCACGCGAGGCGGTGCTGGCGCGAGGAGGCGACGAGAAAGACGGCGGAACGTGAGGCAGGGGCGTGCGCGCGACAACCTGGATGCGAACGGCAACGAGAAGAAGGTCGTTCCTAGAGCTGGTGCGGAGAGGAGGAAGAAGATAGCTGTGTGCAGCGGGAGGCAGAGTAGGGTTTGCGGGTGAAAAAATTAAAAAACACTGAGATGGGATTCGAACGGGGTGGCGGGGACGAATTTAATGAAATCAGCGCCCAAAGCAATAAACTGTTGTTTCTCTAATTTGGACCCTGTTGTGTAAATCTGATTCATAACAAAAAATAAAAATCCAACTAAACATGTTTTCTTTTCTTGGTTTCTCCAATCTTTAAAAACACAACAAAAAATAAAAACATGCAACAATACTAAAACGGAGCCTTAGTTGTCGGATATCTCCAATCACTTGCTTCCTTCGACTTGTTTTTTCAATTGTATTTATGTACCGATTTTTGTAGATAAATATAGAATTAATTCAATTTTGAGCATATTTTACCAAAAGTCCAAAATCATAATTAAGGAAACCCCTTGGGCGAGTGAATCATATATATTGGGAACAAAAGTAAACAAGGACGACACAAATTATTTTACATTTTTTCATTTAATTTAATGGTACACACGCACGGGCATGGCATGAAAACAATAATAGCAATATGGTGGTTTTTGCCATTAGTTGACTCTTCTGCAGTCAGTCCTGATCTGACCAACGTTGCCAGCCGGGCCAGTGAGTTTTCCCATCTTGACCATGGCGTTGGAGAAGTCGGTGAAGAAAGAAACGGAACCAAGCAAGAAGCTGTTGTAGGTGTTAATCTGGGTGCTGGAGGAGCCTCCATTAGGAAGCAGAGCCTGGTCGGAGTGCAACAGCCCTTTCTTGCCCACCAGGCTCAGATAGTAGCCTCTGTCGAAGGTGTCGGTGGTGGTGGAGTTGTCGAGCGGCGCCAGATTGTCGTCTCCGACTCCGTCGGTTCCCGGGCAGATGGACTGCAGGAAAGCCGCGTAGGCCGGGTCGATGTTGCCTTCGCTGTGAGCACGCTGCCGGAATAGGCCGCATCGAGCTTTCCCCACCGTATGACCTCCTGCATGCATGCAACACATATATATCTAGCTATTAGCGTCCGATCGCGCTAGGGATGGCAAATTGGACCGACAATTTGGGCATTCCTCAAACTCAAATCATTTTGGGTCAAATCGAGTTTGGGTAATATCACTTGTGGATCATACTTATACCCGATCAATTAGTTAGCTGTCCAGTTTAGACTCGCTACGCGCTGACTACCCATGCTCGAAAGAAAACGAATACTCAACTCTAATGTGAAAACACTAACATTGAAGGTGTGAATGGTTTAAGACAAATAGTTAGACGTTCAGTATTGCTTTTCGTATGTGTAATTACATAAATCCAAATAGACCCATTTAAGTTCGATCAAAATGAGTTGACCCAAATTGGACCCAACCCGAACCCAAAATTACTAAAAGTACATATATGAGTCCATTTGTATCCAACCCAATTTGTATCCTAAAAACAATAAGGCTTTCGAATAGACATGAGTAATCAAATGAATCAAACCGTACCTGAGAGGGTGATCATTTCTTGAGTGGAGAAGCCTTTATCTGCGAAGGCCGTGACAAGTTGGCTCAAGTCTAGAAATGGCGACGGCAGGCTTGCGAGGGCGTCTGTGAAGTTGGCGGTGGTGGAGTCTTTCCTTCCCAATGGAACTTGCCAACTTGGCCCTCCCAGCTGTAATTATACAATACAGCCCGCCAAAGATTAAAGAGAATATTGCTTTGCTGGAAATCAATAAATTAAAGATTACCCACTTATTTACTACTACTGCATGCTTACAGCGACAACGGCGTCTCTGGCAGCCACCGTCAAGATATCCGCACAGGAGACCTTTCCAGGACACAGTTTCTCTACTTCGGTTTTGATGTTGTCGATCACTTCAAAACCCCTCAACGAGTTGTCGTTGGGAGGCGCCGTCTTTTCTCCGACGAAACTCGGAAGCACGTCATCCAACAACACGGAAGCATCACACCCCTGCAAATGAAAAAAAAAAAAAAAAAAAAAACTCATCCATTCAGCCATGCATGCGATATGAGATATAGACAGATAGATAGATAGATAGATGTTAATTAGGGGATGGGATGGGATGGGAGACTTGCGTTGTTGACGAAACAGTCGTGGAAGTGAAGGCGGAGGAGAGATGCGCCCATTCGAGTCTCGGTCTGCACTGCCTCGTCCACCATCTCTTTAATCTTGGCAGCGGCGCCCGGGCACGTCGAGGCGTAGAAATCCAAAGTCAAGCTCAAGTTTATGCTGAACAAGGCCGCCACGCTGCTTGTTCCCGCTGCCGCAAGGACACACGCCAATATCATCATCAATGCCGATTTCATGGATCTCAAACCTGACGCACCAGCCATATTACAAACAAACAGAAACGCGTTTGGTATAGCTAGCTAGCTAGCTGGTTTTGCAAGTCAAGTAGGAGCAAGTGGAGGTTTAATTTAGCTGTGTAGTGGAGAATATATGAAGACACTCGAGGGATCGATCAGTATTTATAGAGAGCTAGGGCTTAACTAATTAGAGTTGACATCAATCAATTCACGCTGCTGCCAGCTAGCTCCTCTATGCCGGCTTTGTTGCCTTCATTTGCACACATTTGTTTATATATATATATGGTAGTAACTGTACTTAGATGAGTTCCGACCGATCTAACCGGTCAATTTTTTTAGCATATGATAGTAACCGAAGACGCTATCATATATATATATATATTTATATTTCTTTATCATATGCCATGCCCGAATATTAACAGGATTGTGTCAATAACACTCCACCACTGGATGTGTCAAGTTATAAAATAATAAGGTCAACCATTCCACCATAAGGAGGCCTTCCCAGAAAACAGGGGAAAGCAAGAAGAAGAGTTCACGATGGATTTTGTTAGCTGGCAGACATAAAAATATACTAAAATAATTCACTCCCCTTGGTGCCTTTGGAAATGTGATAGACTAGTTGATCAAAGTTGTTAAGAAAGGGTGACAACGTGCGGGAGTGTATGTTAGAGTTATGTAGCTTAATGTTTGACTAACGTCGATCAAGCAGGGAGGTGGAAATGTGCATTGCTTTACTACTTACAAATAATGTTTCGTATCAGATCCATCGAATCTCATTACTTAAGTTTTAATGGTTAATTAGGTTGGCGATGCGGGCTTTAGGGTAGGATGCATAAGTTATTCATTCGTGTTATTATGACATCACTTTTTTTTTTTTTTAGTGGGATCAACTCTAAGTGTAGAAATAAATAAATAAATATGATATTTTTTGTTTTATTATTTAACTTCTATCTTCTTTGTTTTCATCTGAATTTAATTTTCTTTTTCTCATATGAAACGTGTTTATTGTGATCTACAAAATTATATTTCATTGTTTATATATATTTCGAGAAAATAATTTTTTTTATCATTTGTGATCTACGATTTCGGACAAAAATTATGAACCAAATATACAACCCTAGAATGGGATGGTAAATGGTGGTAGAGGATGGTGAAAGGTTGTACATGATTAGTAGTATATTTCTACTATCATGTATATAATCATTTTACACTATGATATAATTATACCACGATGATGCTCTTCCATATCACCATTGTGTGATCTTATGTACTATCAAACTTTAGCACATGATATGGAGTTGTAAAACATTGCTCATTTTTCAGTACAAAAATATATCCAATTGTACATCATTTTGAAGAGCATGATTATTTTAATTTTTTGATGATTTTTTTTTTTTTGAATTTTGAATTAGAATGAAACAGATAAAACCGATTAAATGTAATAGAGAAAAATGTTATGCATGATATGTAACCAAACACACCTCCCTTCAAAGGTTGTTAAAGCGGTTTAGTGGGTGGAAGATTCATTGCCTTTCCATGGCAGGAAAGGAAAACTTAATTAAGTAGGTAGCTTATGCACTTTTGGTGCACGTTATGTCGTGTTTCAAATTGACGCGTTGGTTGTGATATTCTTTATACAAAGACAAGGACAAGAGTCAAAGCTAGCCAAAGGACAAGGGTATACTGGTAAATGTCACCATCCCTTCCCAATTGAAACTTCGCTTCCTTTCCTGTTCTCCATTTGCGACTTCCTTCTTGGTCTCTTCGTCCTCTCCACTATCGAGCCCACTATCCATCCCAATCTCGTCATCAATTTGGCGAAACAAAGAAACCTGTTACCGAAATTATCCTCCAGAGGTTCAATCGAGAATAAAGTTTCTCAGATCTGGTTGGTTTCCATGCTGAAATCAATAAAAATATTCTCACATGCGGCGGCACATTGATTCGACGAGTGAGAGTTTCGAGTAGGGTCGTCCACTGGACGGCATGGCAAACTCCAAAATTGAGGTTGTATAGTCTTCATAATGAGGATCGATTTCATGACCCAAAATTTAGAGAATTGATCCGTTCGCAATCTCATTTGGAAACGAGAACCACAGGTCGACCTCGTAGAATTTTAATAGCGATTTTTGGAAGAATTTCGACTTCATCGTGGCGAACCTTTTGAACCCCGCCGTTGACAGCAAGGAAGAAGCGGAGGATAGTAGTGGCTGAGGATCAGAGGTCGTAGGTGGCGAGGCGGTGCTTGGTACTTTCGGTGAGGAGAACTCAACGCCCAAAATATCCAATAAGAATAAATAAATTTGCCTCTGCTTCATTATTTTCCATCTTTTTGGAAAAATATAATTAGATGCAAGTATTTGTATTTTGTAAATTGGTGTTTGTAAGGGATTAATTTAGATTGTGGCGGGTTTTAATAATTTGTGGCGTGATTCATGAGATTTGTGGTGTAAGTTTGTAGGACTTGTGGTTAGGGATGGCAACGGGTCGGATTGGGTCGGGTTTTGTCAAAACCAAACTCATGGGTTTATCCGTGAAAAAATTCGGGATAAAACTCACGGGTTTGAAAATCTCAAACTCAACCCAACCCGTTGGGTATCCGCGGGTTCATGGGTATCCACGGGTTTTTGTCGTAAAAAATTTACAATAACAAGTTTCTATCAAAATTAAAGTCAAATATCAATCTCTCAATACAAATTATCCATATATAAAACACCATTCTAGAAAATTCAAGCAAATCACAAATTAACTATACAAATTGTTCAACACTAATCTAGAAAACTCAAGAAAATTGAAGCAAATCACAAATTACCATAAATAACATGATTAATTGAAAGCTTCTTCCTTTCAATTAAGTTTCTTCACTCTCCACTGGATAACATCAACTTTATTCTACACAATTAGAAAGAAAAAATTAGACATATCTCCACAAACATAAATAAGATTAGTTGTTTAGAATATTAAATATACCGAGAAAATTAATTATATGGGTGTGGGCGGGTACCCATGGGACGGGTTTACCTAAACCCAAACTCAACCCAACCCGGTGAATAGTGAACGAGTTTAAACCCAAACCCGGCCCAAAACCCTTCAACACGGATTTTACCCGCGTTGACCGGGTTGAGTCGGGTGGGTACCCGTGGGTTCGGGTTTTGTTGACATCCCTACTTGTGGCGTGCTATAATAAACTTGTGATATGCTTTATGAGACTTGTGATTTGTTTAATAAACTTGTGGTCTACTTTAAAAAATTTGTGATGTACTTTTATTAACTTATAATGTGAGAATTTTGTGGTTCCCAACCCCTTCCCCATTTGATTGCACAAGACCAAGGTCGTCAAACGGGTTTATATCGTCGTGCCGTTTAGTGTGGGGAATGGTACGGCCAGTGGTACAGCCGATTTGTGTCGGTTCATGCCGGCTTAATAAATATGACATTTCATATAAAATAACAAATATTCATATTTAAATACAATAATTAACGTTAATGCTTAAATGTTTATGCCCGAATTCAACAAATTACATCAAATTTTAACTTTTATATTCATAAAATATGTAAAAAAATTATTTTTTATTAATTAAATTCAATAAAATAACGTCATTAGAGTTTGTAAATCGATCATATCGGTCATACCAGTAGTGTTCTGCAAACAAAATATTCATATTAGCTGAAATTAGTGTTATCACCATTCCCCTCCCTACAGTGAACACGTTGGCCTTTTAAAAAAAAAATTTGTCAAAAGATATCATATATTAATCCAATCAAAAAGATAGTTACATCCTGGATAGTAGCCAGACCCTGAAATCAAAGAAACGACTTACAGTCGGGTACAAAGAGAGGGCTTTTCTAGCTACCGAATGAGCTACCCTATTGTTCTCCCGACCTACAAACCGCACACTAAACCCCGGATGGGCACGAAAATACTGACAAATCTCTTCCAGGACTGCCCCCAAGTGACTGTCGCTCGTGTCGGCTTGATTAATCTTGTCTATAATGAACTTCGCATCACCCTCGAACCTAACTTCGGACAAGCCACACTCTAAACACCAGATGATAGCCTCCCGAAGCACAAGCAACTCCACAACCAGCGACTCATCAATTTACGCCATCTGCACACTTTTAGCCCAAAGGAGCGTCCACCCCGGATAAAAAAGAACCATCCCACCAGCCGATTGTGACCCCCTCCTAGTGGCCCCATCCCACATGCAAACCAGTCGAGAATCAACCACCTGGGTCCCTGGTTGAACCACCGGGCAGGATATCCTCGACGGCTGGTCAACCGGCAGCCCCACCCATTCCTCATACTGCAGGAGAAATTGGCACATTAAAGCCGGAATCCCAAACTGTTTTCCTTCAAAGACAACCCAGGTCCGCGATCGCCAGATCCGCCAAAGGACGTCAACCACAGCCATGAACAGCGACGGGTGATGGACAAGGGCGAGCAACTACTTAAGAAACAACGGAAACGTGTGTCGAGGCAAACCCTTCCCCTAAATAGTCCAATCTTGAGTAGTCCCAGTCTTCTAGAGAGTCGTGCGACCGGACAGTAAAGAAACATGTGCTCCATAGTCTCGGGACCATCCCAGCATACCGGACACCGGGGCAACACAAGAACCTTCTTTTCAATGAGAGCCTCGGTGGTCGGCAGAGCCTGATGAAGAATTTGCCAGACAAAGACTTTCAGCTTAGGAGGAATCTTAGCTTCCCACAGCCGGATCCAGCTTGGCCTATCCATCCAACTAATCGAGGACCGCCACCCACCCCTCCTCCTGTCTAGCTCAACTTCCAAATGATGGGCCGTCTTAACCGAGAACACCCCATCAAGAGTGTTATGCCAGATCAGTTTATCATCCACATTCTGCCTCGGAAGTGGGATAGCCTTAATGGCTCGACAGGTAGACGGGTCAAACCATTGACTAAGCTTATCCTCCGCCCAACGCCCTTCCCCTTGCCAAATAACCTCCACCACCAAGGGATCACTCCCATCTGGCAGGACCCGGGGATTATAGCAATGGGGATCCAGCTGAAGCCCTGGGATCCAATTAGAGTGGAGAAGGGAGTCCGAAAGGCCATTGCCGATCTGCCATCTTAAACCCACCGCCAATAACTGGCGCCCAAACAGGATACTCTGCCATCCGCAAGAAGGGCGTGAACGAGCTGTTGCAGACAGAAAAGTTCCTTGAGGAAAGTACTTCCCTTTATACACCTGAGCAAGGAGGGAGTGAGGTTCGTTGAGAATACGTCAGTCAATCTTAGCTAAGAGAGCCTGGTTAAAATGCTCAAACCGGCAAAATCCCAGACCCCCATCATGCTTACTCCTGCATAGGTTACGCCAGGACACCCACCGAACCTTGGGCTGACCCTCCTCAACTTCCCACCAGAGCTGGGCCACATGTCTATCCAAACGACGACAAAGAGAGAGGGGCAACCGGAAACACGACATAACATGCAGGGGCAAGGCCAAAGCTATTGACTTAATTAAAGTCTCCTTTGCCGCCCAGGACAATGTCCTTTACTTCCACCCCTACAGACACTCCAGTAATTTCTCTTCTAAATACCGAAATGTCGCCATTTTGGAGCGGGCAATCAAAGTGGGTAACCCCAGATACTTATCATGGAACCCTACTGCACCGACCCCTAGAATCGCGGCCAAAAATTCTTGATCAGGCAAGGCAACATTTTTACTAAAACAGACTGCCGATTTCTCCAGGTTAACCTACTGCCCACTCAGCTCCTCATACTCATTCAACACCTCAATTAAATTCTCGCACTCCTGAAGAGAACCTCACAGGAATAAATAGGAATCATCCGCGAAAAACAAATGCGAGATTCTAGGAGCACGTGGAGCCACTTTCACCCCCTCCAAATTCTTTTCCGAGATCGCTTTCCGAAGAAGGGCCGCAAACCCTATGTGCATAGCACAAACAAGAGAGGCCACAAAGGATCTCCCTGTCGGAGACCCCGAGAGGAATTGAAAAAACCCGAGGGTGTACCATTAATCAGTACTGAAAAAGAAGCGGATCGAAGGCATTCATGTATCCATCCTTGCCAAACAGAGCTAAAACCCATTTTATCCAAAACTGCCAGAAGGAAGGGCCATTCGACTCTATCATAGGCCTTTTCCATGTCAACCTTTAGAGCCATGTACCCCTTCTTCCCTTGCTTCTTTATTTTTAGATAATGCATTAACTCATGTCCGAGAAGGATGTTATCAATAATTTGCCGGACTCTTATAAACGCATTATGTCCCTCAGAAACGATCTGAGGAAGCAGACCTACAAGTCGTTCAGCCATGATCTTGGTTATTACTTCGTAAACAAATTGGCATAGGCCGATCGGACGCAACTAGCGAACTGTTTCCACAGAATCCACTTTAGGAATCAAAGTGAGCCAAGTATGGTTAAAACTCCGCAACATTCGACTAGTTGAAAAGAATGAACATACTGCATCAATCACCGAGGTGCCCACAATATCCCAGAATGCTTTGAAGAATTTGTCGGTAAAGCCATCAGACCCCGGAGCCTGCTTCGACCCCATTGAAAAGACCGTTCTCCGAACCTCATCAGGCAAAACCACCGCCGTCAACAACGCATTCATTTGCGGAGTAACAGTACGGGAAATGGGGAGAATCGCCACCCTATCAGTCATATTAGGAACCTGGGACTCCGATGTAAACAGAGTTTGGTAAAAGTAGGTAGCAATCGTAGCCTTCCTACTTTCCTCAGTGACTCATTCGCCCTCATCATTCCGGAGCCCAGAGACAAAATTCCTCTTCCGTCGAGCGCGAGTGACGGTATGAAAATAAGCAGAATTTTGGTCCCCTTTTTTTAACCATCGGACTCTGGACTTTTGATGCCAGTATAGCTCTTCTGCATCCCACAGACGAGTCAGCTCCGTCTCCAGGGACCTTATCACATCCCAATCCACCTGATGGATTGACTTGATTCGATCAATCTCTGCCTGGAGAGTCTTTATATTCCGCAAGGAGTTCGTAGTGCCTTCCCTGCTCCAATCATAGAGCAGGTGACAGAGTTTCTTGAGGCGCTCCCAAAGTCGAAACATAGGGGGTACCTTGTATCTCCTCCTGCCAGACATAATGGACCATAGCCCTAACCTCTGGTTTATCCCGCCAACGTGCATCAAACCAGAATAGAGGCCGACTACTCCCAGTATAAGGTTTATCACCGAGAAGGAGGGCACGATGATCCGAACCCTAATCCGTGAAATGTTTGACCAAAGTCTCAGGATAAGTATCAATCCAGGATTGGGAGCAAAGTGCCCTATCCAGACGTTCACGAATGCACGCCGCACCCATACGTTTGTTGGTCCAAGTGAACTGATCCCCTTGGTAGCCTGGGTCATGGAGCCCCAAATCATGAACAAAATCCCGAAGGCTAATGGCTTGCGCCACATTCCATGGACGACCCCCATCTTTTTCTCCCTCATGGAGGGTGGTGTTAAAATCACCTATGATCACAAAGGGATGATGAATAGTCACACAATCATCTCGCAGATGAGCCAATTGTGGCTCGAAGAGCAACATTACAACTAATGTAGACAAAAAAACACCAAATAAGAAAAATCTCCTTCATTAATTTGCGAACAAATATAGAAATTGGAATGACAAAACACTGAAGTGTCAACACCGGGGGCCCAAGCGACTACTAACCCACCCGATGCATCGACTGCATCAACAAAAAAACAATGAGAACTATCAAAACCTAAACCCCGCATACGGCGGGACACTACACGCCGGCTCGATCGTGTTTCAGATAAAAAGACTACATCCGGTTTATTAGAATGAACAAGCCCTACAGCAGTTTGGAAGGTGAGGGATGACCCAATTCCTCTCACATTCCAGGCCAGAAGCCTCATTTATCGGCTGGGGGCCACTCGAGGCTGGCTTCCTCCACCTTTTCCAGAACATCCGCTAATTCCACAAATTGCTTCTTCGGGGTAGGAGGGTCTCCCACATCCCCTCTTTCAATTTGGATTACATGCATACGTAAAATTAAACGCAGTTAATTTTTCTTAAGATACGGGTGATCTTTCAACCGAATTTGTGTCTAATACTAGTTGAACTTAATGCTACTTGGCAAAATGCACTAGTAGTCTAGTACCAGTGCTGCGCTTTACCTTAATTTTTTTTATTATATATTTATTTATTTTTCACTATAGAAGTTCCGTCTTTTTTTTCCTTCTTCTTCATCGTCCCTTCTTTTTTATCTTTTTATTTTTAATTTTTCTTGCCCCCTTCATGTTGTTGTGCCGCCACTGTTCTATGTGCCTCCATCATCACCACCACCTCTCCCCCCGTCTCCGTCTGCCATCTTCTTCTTCTCCGACTTCTTTTCACGCCGTATTCTTCCTTCGCTTCCCGGACGCCGTCTCCATCCCCGCCATGGTCACCATAATTTAGGGTTTAGGAGGTGGTTTCTCTCTCGTCTTCCGAGCTGGATTCTCTCCATTCCACTTTGCGAATCTCCATGTGCCGCTGGTTCAGCGGGTTTGTCGATTAGACTCTCTTAACCGATTTCTGCTGCCCCTCTCTTATCTGCATCGATACTCCTTTCGACCCCTTACGCGCAATCGTCGCTGCCTCACTTCCAAACCCTAGGGTTTTTTGGTCTGCGTGGGGCTGCGTTCGGGTCTGGCTATGCCTTCTCGATTAGGGCAACGCTGCTAAGGCCGTTGGCTTGGCTCGCTCCGGCTCAAATTGCTGTGTACATATTTGTGAGGCTTTTCTAGGGATTTGGATGGCATTGGGAGATTTGATGGCGTCTCGGTTCTCTCAGTCTTCTTCATTGGCAGTGGTCTCCAATCACTACGATGAATGCGCCTCTACTCACGCTGATGATGATGCCGTCGATTTAGCTTCACAGCAAAGGGATTCTGAGGCAGCGAGTAGTAGCTATAGCAATGCTGGCGCAGGCATTACTACAAGCATGGCGTATTTGCCTCAGACAATCGTCTTGTGCGAGCTTCGGCATGAGGCATTTGAAGTTTCCGTGCCAACAGGTCCTTCAGATAGTGGTATCGTATCTAAATGGCGACCAAAGGATCGAGTAAGCTCTCTCTTTTTTCTTCTTTTGCTCTGTTAGGGTTGAGTAAGCTTCATTGGATCCTATTTAGCTGTCTTCCTTCACCATTGACCCTAGGAAGTATGGACTTATATCTTAGGAAGTCCGGTAACCCTACTCTGCATACTGTCATATATGCCTTTTGAGCCTCGTTGAACTTACTTGAATCAGTCAAGCTAAATTGCCATTGTATTCATGAGATTGGATGAATAGGAACACTTCCCCTATCTTCTAGCCTCGAAAAATCAGAGGAGAACCATGATGCAGTGGATCTTAGCCTTCTAAGTTATGTGACTGGAGTGCCTGTATGTTTAGTATCTATGTCAGCTGCTAGGTGAAATCTGCTTTTACAAGTATGTCACTGGAAAATACATTGGAAAAGCTATGGCTTTCCTTGATCGAGGCATTCATTTTTCTCATCTGCAACTGTTTGATAATCTAGGAAAATGCTGTGGATGATAAGGAGAAAACACAGAAGTTTCTTTAGTCATATTGGTAGATTCTTCTTATTCTTAATTCTTTGATAAAGCACTGGAATCTCTTATCCCTCTTTGCTATTCATAGAATGCTAGGTAAGCAAATAAATTTCTCACTTTGAGACCATGTGCAACATATTATGGATGTTTCCAAAAATGCTGACTGTTGGTGCTATAATCAACCATAGTTTCACTGATGCCTGTACTGTGAGTGCTTTTCCTGAGACATGGAAGCTCAATATGAATGAAGTTGATGTACTATTGCCTGGTGAGCTCCAGTGCTGGGGCTGTGAAGTGCTCATGTTAGATTCCAAATTAATTAGTACACTTCCTGGTCCTTGATATAAGTAACTCTTTTTACCTTTTAAAATATCTGGTTCTTGGCCTAATACCTTTAGTTTTATGTTATAATAATGTAATTGGAATCCTTGTTCACATCCTGGTCCCTGATATAAGTAACTCTGTGTTTACCTTGCACATATAGAATATTTGGTTCTTCACCGAATACCTTCGGTCTTGTTAGAATATAAGTAAAACCTTTGTATACCTGAAGTGCCTTCTCCCCATATTTGTTTCTTCCATGAGCTTGTAGACAGTAGAGGCTATTAAGTTTTGTGTTTGAATATCTAACTTCTTCCTTTATGTTGAGTCATTTTACATTTTCTTGCGGTTTTGCTCACAATCTTACATGTATGTGTGTCTTTTTGTTTTAACTCTCACTTTTCTTTGCAGATGAAGACGGGATATGTAGCTCTAGTTTTATGTTTAAACATTAGTGTCGATCCACCTGATGTAATAAAGATTTCACCTTGTGCCAGAATGGAGTGCTGGATAGGTACATTTTACTACTAAGTCTTTTCCTAATATTTATTACTGGTTGCTTCTATCCGTCCTCAGATTCTTGTGGCATCTTTCATTTTATATTCTACTGATTTGAATAACAAGTCCATTGCCTTTCGAACCTGCTGTAGGACATTGTCTCTAGTGTTTAAACTTCACCTTGCTTTTCTTAATTGCTGCCTCCTGTTTGTTGTAAACGATGAAGTAGTTGATATTTTGGACCTAATACTTTCATAACCGCACAATCAAAGTTTTCTATAATCTTTATCTAAATTGTAAATTCTATCCGTATTTGATTGTGTTTGAAGAATGCAATTTTTCTCAGAGCGAGGAATTCTGTCACTTTTTTCTGATCTGAATGGTCCTTTTGTTGGCAGATCCATTTTCAATGGTCCCTTCAAAAGCTCTTGATACAATTGGTAAAACATTGAATCTTCAATATGAAAGATGGCAACCAAGGGTAAGCCACTTCATGTGCTCTGTTTTGGTTTGGATAGTTTATGAAATTCTATTCCAATGTCATTCCATTTGTTCGTGGCAGGCCCGGTATAAAGTTCAGCTTGATCCTACCGTGGAAGAGGTTAAGAAAGTTTGTAATACATGTCGCAAATATGCTAAATCCGAGAGGGTTTTGTTCCATTATAATGGGCATGGTGTCCCAAAACCTACCCCGAATGGTGAAATCTGGCTTTTCAATAAGGTAGTCGTCAATGTTAATTTTTTACTTTCCTTTATGCTTAAGAGCTGTATCACACTCTAACTGCTGGAGTTTGTACAGAGCTATACACAGTACATACCATTGCCTGTCAGTGATCTTGATTCCTGGCTGAAAACACCGTCTATCTACGTCTTTGACTGTTCTGCTGCTGGGATGATTGTGAATGCATTTATCGAGGTATTGATAAACTGATCTTAATTGTAGTTCAACATACTATTGGCTTGAAGTTTGTATCCTGTGGCCTCTCACTTGTTGAATTTTTTTCCCTTGAAAGCTTCATGATTTGAATGCTTCAGCATCCTCTGGGGCAACGAGAGATTGCATTTTGCTTGCAGCATGTGAAGCACACGAGACACTGCCTCAAAGTCCTGAATTTCCGGCCGATGTGTTTACTTCTTGCCTAACGACCCCTATTAAGATGGCATTGAGATGGTGAACATATTCACTTCTGTTCTTTAGATTTGATAATGTATCCACTGTTTGCTTTTGGTTCTATTATTTATTCTATGCATGTCGTATTCCCTGGCATAATTATTTAATTACCTCTCATCTCCTCTTTTGTCCTCATCTTTGAACTCTTTTGTGCAAGCCTTCAATCTAATTGTTACCAATGATCATCTTATTTATGATAACTGCTTCTAGATTCTATCATATTCTGATCTTTTTATCTTTTGAGCATCAGATAAACTTGGTTAACCAATCTCTTAGTCTGATTGGGAAAGTAGGCAATGATTGATGGTATGTTAGTGATCCACATGGATTATGTTGAGGCATGAAGTCTGACATTAGTGTTTCAGATGAATTACATTGTCCCCCATCCATTCGTCCTGCAAGAATGTCTTTCAATGTGTGCTTGGCACTCTGCATGATATCCATTCATGGAAAGTCAATGAGTTAGCTGTGTCTCGTGCATTGTTTTGGTACTAACATTTATCGTGATTTCTTGGACTTCTGTGATTTGGGCTTGTCAGATAGTGTGATTGGCAACCTGGGATGTTAGTGTCATTCAGATAGGACACGCATATTAATTTTTTAGTGCTGTTTGTTAATGCCAGATATTAGGATTTGTTCTTCATCCTGCTTTAACATATATTTATCATATATTAGTTATGATCATCTTTCATTTCCCAGTATAAATCATGTTTATTTTTTTTTTGTGTGCTTTTCTTGTCTTATTTACTGCCTAAGCTTCAATTACTTTGGGCTTATGGATTGCTGGCGATCTTTCTTTCCAGGTTTTGCACGCGGTCGTTACTTCATGACAGCCTTGCTTATTCACTTATAGACAAAATTCCCGGTCGTCAAAATGACCGTAAAACCCTTCTTGGGGAGTTGAACTGGATCTTCACTGCAGTGACAGATACTATTGCTTGGAATGTTCTTCCTCATGGTATTAATTCTTAACTAGTACATCTATGTTGAATGTGGGTTTCTCTGATGAGTTATATTTCATTATTTGTGCATCAGAGTTAATGGGTAGTTTTGTGTTGCAGATCTTTTCCAGAGACTGTTTAGACAAGATTTGTTGGTTGCCAGTCTGTTCCGGAACTTTTTGCTTGCGGAGAGGATTATGCGCTCTGCAAACTGTTCCCCTGTTTCGCACCCAATGTTGCCACCTACCCACCAACACCATATGTGGTACATATGAACGTTCACTCTATTTGGTGGTCATTATCCCATTATTCAGTATCTTACTTATAATTGACATAGGGATGCGTGGGACATGGCTGCTGAAATTTGTCTTTCTCAACTTCCAACTTTGGTTGAAGACCCTAATGCGGAGTTCCAGGTTTTCTCTTGAGTTTGATCCAACTGTCTAGTATCAGACTGATTCTTTGTCAAATGCAATCACCTTTCTTGTCATCTCCAGAACTATTGAAACCTGAATC